CTCCCCTCAGGTCGTTGCGTCCCCTCCGGCCCAGGTCCCCAGTCCAGTTGCTGTGTCTAGCCAGGTAGTAGTGTCCGGTCCGGTCGCTGTGTCCAGTCCAGTCGCTGCGTCTTGCTCCTGTCGCTCTCTCACCCACCGCACCGTCCTGTGGCATCACCGCCTTGGCCACCCGTCGCTCCCTCGCCTACGTGGCATGCTCAGTCAGGGACTTGTCTCAGGTCTCCCACGCACCTTCCCGTCGCTCCCTCTCTCGCCTGCCCCTCCTTGCTCTCCGTGCGTCGCCGGTCGCTTACGCGCCACTCCCCACTCCTCCTCCCTTCGTCCGGCCACCGCTCCCTTCGAGACTCTCCACTTGGACGTCTGGGGCCCTGCCCCGACGCAGGGGTCTGGGAGGGAGCGTTACTTTCTGGTGGTCGTCGACGACTTCTCCAGGTACACCACAGTGTTCCCTCTTGCGAAGAAGTCCGAGGTGACTGCTACGCTGATCAGGTGGCTTCTAGCCACTGAGGGCACTCGTGGTCGTCGAGTCAGTTGTCTCCACTCCGACCGTGGGGGCGAGTTTCGCTCCGGCATTCTCGGCGGATTCTGCGGCGAACAGGGCATCACCCAGTCCTGGACGCTGCCAGAGTCCCCACAGCAGAATGGGGTTGCTGAGCGCCGCATAGGCTTGGTCATGGACATCGCCCGCACGTCCATGATCCATGCCCGTGCGCCCCATTTTCTGTGGCCCCACGCGGTTCGCTACGCCGCACACCAGCTGAACCTCCAGCCGCGTGTCTCGCGGCCCGAGGTTTCACCGACCAGTCTTTGGACTGGTTCCCCTGGTGTCGGGTCGGCCTTTCGAGTCTGGGGCTGCCTTGCCCTTGTTCGCGACACCTCCGCGGACAAGCTCTCGGCACGCGCCGTCCCCTGTGTCTTCCTTGGTTTTCCAGTGGACTCTGCCGACTGGTCCTTTTACCACCCTCCCCTCCACCAGTTCCTCGACTCCCGTGACGTCCGGTTTGACGAGTCCGTGTCCTACTACACCCGGTACCCCTGTCGAGGTCTCCCGGTACCCCCTCCCCCTCTTTTCCTCGCACCCTCTCCTCCTCCTGCTCCCGCTCCTCCGGTACCCCCGCCCCCCCCTGGTCCTGCCCCGTCTGGTGTGTCCCACGTTACCCCTCTACCCTCGGTCGCGCGTCAGGTAGCGTCTCCCTCCCCGCAGTCCTCCTCACAGTCCCCTCAGCAGCCTTCGGCACTTCCGCGACAGGTTACTGTGGACTCGGTTGGTGTTGGAGCTGGAGGTGCAGCCACTGGCGGTGCTCGGTCTGGGGGTACTCGGTCGCGGGGTGCTGGAGCTGGAGGTGCTGGCGCAGGTGGCGCTAGCTCTGGGGGTGCTGGAGCTGGAGGTGCTGGCGCAGGTGGCGCTAGCTCTGGGGGTGCTGGAGCTGGAGGTGCTGGCACTGGTGGTGCTAGTTCTGGGGGTGCAGGAGCTGGAGGTGCTGGCACTGGCGGTGCTAGTTCTGGGGGTGCTGGAGTTGGAGGTCCGGGCACTGGAGGTGCTGGTTCTGGGGGTGCTGAGTCTGAGGAGTCTGACCCTGGTTCTGCGGAGCCCACTCCGCCTCCCCACCGCCACGACACACGACTCCAGGCTGCCCGCCGGCATGAGCGTGAGGAGCAGGAGCGGTTGGAGAGGGAGCGGCAGGAGCTGCGGGTGCTGGACCTTCTGGAGCAGCAGCGGCAGTAGTAGCAGCAGCAGCAGCAGCAGCAGCAGCAGCAGCAGCAGCAGCCGCAGCAGCAGCCGCAGCAGCAGCAGCCGCAGCAGCAGCAGCCGCAGCCGCAGCCGTCACCGCAGCTTCCTCTGGAGCGGCGGTTGTTCCCACCTGTGAGTGGCCTGCGGGCCCTTGGTTTTTCCTCCTCTCCTCCTGTCCGCTCCCAGTCTCCTCCTGTGTTTGTTCCTCCGTTGCCTCCTCCTGACGACCGTCCGGCGGTCTGGTCTTCTCCTCCTCCCCAGTCTCCTCCTCCTTCGGTCCGTCGCGACTTGGTCACTCGTTGTCCTCCGCGTGCTCGTCACTCGTCCCCTGTTACTGACCTCCACACTGCCCTCCTTTGTACGTCTCGTCGTCGTTCTCCTTCTCATGTGTCCGTTCTCCCGTCTCCTCCTCCGTCCTCTCTCCCAGCCCTCCCCACTCCTATCACTGACTACTACCGCACTGTTCGTCCTGTTGCCGCACGTGTCCTCGCCACTCTTGTCACCGACTCTCGTTTCCCTTCGTCGTCGGTCTCTGCTCTTACTGCCGCTGTCGCTGAGTTTGCTGCCGCCACCCGCCTTGACTACGCCACCCGTGTGGTGCCAGCTCCTCCCTACCGTCCTCTGTCCGTCGGGGGTGGGTTTTCCCTTGGCTGTGACGTCCTAGAGGACAGAGAGTCTGAGCTGGAGTACTGGGCAGCCGCTTCTCCCTCTGTGTGTGCCATGCTGCTCTCCCCTGAGGGAGACCCCGACGCCCTTGACATACCGACTCCTCGCACTTACCGCGAGGCAGTGTCAGGGGCGTGGGCCTCTCAGTGGAAAGCGGCTATGGACTCAGAGTTGGCGTCTTGGAGATCCACAGGCACCTACGTCGACGCAGTTCCCCCTCCCAGGGCGAACGTAGTCGATGGCATGTGGCTCTTCAAGGTGAAGCGGCCGCCTGGAGCACCGCCAGTGTTCAAGGCGCGCTACGTGGCTAGGGGCTTCAGTCAGCGTGAGGGAGTTGACTTCTTCCAGACCTTTGCCCCGACCCCGAAGATGACTACTCTTCGGGTGTTACTCCACATAGCAGCGCAGCGAGACTACGAGCTGCACTCCCTCGACTTCTCCACTGCGTTCCTCCAGGGCCGACGGCACGAGGAGATCTGGCTGCGCCGTCCTCCTGGCTTCACTGACACCTTCCCCCCTGGGACCCAGTGGAGCCTGAGGCGACCAGTCTACGGTCTCCGCCAGTCGCCCCGTGAGTGGCACGACACTCTTCGCTCCACGCTTCGTGACCTTGGGTTCAGCCCGTCCTCCGCCGACCCGTCGCTGTTTGTTCGAGCGGGTTCTACTCCCTTCTTTATCCTTGTCTACGTCGACGACTTGGTGTTTGCTACAGCAGACAGGGCAGCCCTGGCTCAGGTGAAGTCCGAACTGCAGAAGAGACACAAGTGCACTGACCTGGGTGAGCTGCAGCGTTACCTTGGCTTGCAGATCACCCGGGACAGAGCCGCTCGCACCATCACACTGACGCAGTCACACATGGTGCAACAGGTCCTTCGGCGGTTCGACTTCCAGTTCTCCACCACACAGCCCACTCCTCTTGCTGTTGACCACAGACTCACTGGCCCCTTTCCCGACGAGCCTTTTGAGTCCAGTGGTCCCTACGCAGAGCTGGTGGGCTGCCTCATATACCTGATGACTTGTACTCGGCCGGACCTCGCCTTTCCCCTCAGCGTCCTCTCTCGCTTTGTCGCGACTGGGAGACACCGTCCTGTCCACTGGACAGCTGCTGTGAGGGTGGCGAAGTACCTGGCGACTACATCAGGCATGGGGCTTGTGCTTGGAGGGACTCAGCCAGTGGCGTTGTCTGGTCACTGCGACTCTTCCTACGCTGACGACGTGGAGACTCAGCGTTCGACTCAGGGTTACTGCTTCAGTTTGGGAGCTGGTGCTGTGTCGTGGAGGTCTACACGGTCGTCGTCTGTGGCTACTTCCAGTGCAGAGGCAGAGATCTACGCTGGTGCCATGGCGGCACAGGAGCTTCGCTGGTTGACCTTCTTGCTTGCCGACCTTGGTGAGCGGCCTCGCTCTGCACCGACCTTGTACGCTGACAACAAGGCCATGATCCTCCTGTGTCGAGAGCCTCGACTGGAGAGCAGAGTGAAGCATATTGACGTGAGGTACTTCCTCCTGCGAGAGCTGCAGCGACGCGGCCAGGCACGCCTGGACTTTGTGGCCTCAGAGGCCAACACTGCAGACGTCTTCACCAAGGCCTTGGCGCTTGGTGACCACCACAGGTTCTGTGTGCAGTTGGGGCTAGTTGAGGTAGGCCCTCGGTTGCTGTAGTCCTGTTGCTCTCTCTGCTTGTTGTGCCTTGTATTTATATCCTAGTGAACCCTTGAACTGGCCTTGTGGCCGCTTGCTTGCGCTCGGAATTTGTGTGGTGTCCTTGAGATCCACCCTGAGCTTGTCTTGGTTCTTGCTTTGACTGGTCTTCTGACTGTTTGTTCACCTTGCTTGCTTTGATGCCCCTCACTTAGCCTATGGGGGTGTGTCAAATGTTGAACATTGATATGATAGGCTGTAGTGAGTTGCACTCTAGGGGGTACAGTTTCTAGGGTTGCTTATTTGTACCCCTTTCGTTTCTATTCCCAACATTCCGTTGCTAACCAATCTTGAGAGTGATTCGCTGTGGTATCACGATTTCCGCAGCATGTGCGGGCGTCGGGCGAGGAGTAATTGCGCAATCTGATGCAGAAACTTTCACATCACACGCACCGCACAATGTGACTCGTTTTTGCAAATTATGGTATTCACACGTCAGTCGTGATAAAGCTGAGTAGAATGAAGGCGTATATCAATATATATTTCTTAGGGAATCAGGGAAATACTATTTTAACAAAGCTATATAAAACATAACAAAAAAGTAACCTCTCATGTTTTAATGATCAAGTCTTGACTTGCAACATCTGTTATGCAAGGTACTCTTGCTTACTACCAATTCACTTGTTCATCTGCCCACCTTTGAACTTCTTGCTTCTACCCTCGCCTGCCCTTTTGTTTCATTCCTTTAAATTGGCTGTTTTGTTAGCAATGTGTGCTGCTTCACAGCTGTAGTTTATAGTCTGAAAACGAATGCATGGCGCTCCTCATCAACGATAAACTCCCATATACCTGTAGCGCACTAACACAAGATACTGTTATTTTGTTCCAGCCAGTGAAGCGACCATTCGACAAAAGAGTGCACTAGTTACAAGAATGTTTATGATGCATCCTCTTGCCCTGTTCATTGGTCTCTCAACACCTTGAAGATGGCACACAGCCGCGAAGGCTTAAAAATCTGGAAAGAAAAGAAAGGAAAAGACAATAAAAAGAACAGAAAATAAAAGAAAAGAGCATAAGCACACACACACCAGAAAGACATGCAAGGTCATGTGCAGGGCAAAGGCGTCTGGTTTGGACCTGCAGTTTAGAAATTACTCAACATCAGAGACCCTTAGAAACCTGAAGACATTACAGAGTGACATGGTACAGAGTGGCATGGGTACAGAGTGGCATGGGTACAGAGTGACATGTGTACAGAGTGACATGTGTACAGAGTGACATGGGTACAGAGTGGCATGGGTACAGAGTGACATGTGTACAGAGTGACATGTGTACAGAGTGACATGTGTACAGAGTGACATGGGTACAGAGTGGCATGGGTAGCTGAGCATTCAGAAGTCCCCGGACAGACTCCCACGCTGATCCCCTGATTGACCCAACCCTCCAGAAACCCGCCCCCTGACGCACCTGTGCTTTGAACACGAAGCTGGGCAACACATTCATGATGATGCAGCTGAACCCACCTCCCCTGGCTGACTGAGATACTGACTTCCCTAATTGACCCAACCCTCCAGTAACCCAAACCTCTGACACACCTGGGCTTTGGGTAGGAAGCAGGGCAGCACTTCATGATGACGCAGCTCTCCTCTTCCACATTATACTTCTCCAACTCCATTCCCACAAGCAAGCCCTCCCTATGGCGTTGACAACGAGCACTCACCCCCTGTGAGTCCCTGACGCACCTGTGCTTTGAACATGAAGTTGGGCGGCACGTTGATGATGATGTAGTTCTCCTTGTCCTCATTGTACTTCTCCAACTCCTGGAGCGAAGAGGACGTTGGTACAGGGTTAAAGCCGGAAGCCCAAATTGCACAAGTTTTAAAAGGATGACGCGAGGGGTTTTTCCTGGTTTGGGTTTTGGCGAGTGATTCCGATTTCGGGCATTTCGTTCTTTTCGCCAAACCCAGCCAGCCCACGTATTTCGCCCTGGGGGTTGTGTCAGCACCCGAAAGTCCCAAATTGCAGGTGCACTACTTTTCAAACCTTGCACACTGCACTTCGTCAAGTTTTAAAAGCATGACCCACGCGCCTCGCAATTTGGGACTCGGGCTTTAAGGCAGGGAGGGAGTGTTGGCACGAGAATTGTCAGGCTTGCTGGCATGGCACGCTGATGATGATGTAGTTCTCCTTGTCCTCATTGTACTCCTGTGGTTTTGGTGAGGAGGAGCCCAAGGAAAGGTCACAATCAAGTATGCAGCCACGAAGCCATGCAGCCATGCAGCCTGCAGCCATTCTCCCATGCAGCCATGCAGCCATGCAGCCATGCTCCCATGCAGCCATGCGCCCATGCAGCCATGCTCCCAAGCACCCATGCACTCATGCACCCATGCACTCATGCACCCATGCACTCATGCACCCATCATGCACTCATGCACCCATCATGCACTCATGCACCCATGCACTCATGCACTCATGCACTCATGCTCCCATGCACCCATGCACCCATGCACCCATGCACTCATGCAGCCCTGGGCCTGTTCCTTTCAAAGTATGTATGCTAGATGGCCTCACATCACATGCACCATGCCAAAGTGCATGACCGCTTACCTCTGCTGACCTTTGTTGACCTCTGCTGACCTCTGTTGACCTGTGCTCTCGCCTGTGCCATTAGGTTTCTCACCTGCGACTTGCTGAAGCGTGTGGTGGGGCTCCACAGCAGGGCCTGGAAGAGCTCACCTCACGTCTGTTGTCCTGTGTAGACCTGCATTGGCCTGTGTTTGGCCTGTGTTTGACCTGTGTTGACCCTGGCTGACCTATGTTGACCACTGTTGACCTACGTTGACCGGTGTTTAGGGCTCCACCTGTGGCATGCCGAAGCTCGTCGTGGGGCTCCATAGCACGGGCGGAACAGCTCAGCTGAAGTCCATTGACCTGCGTTGACCTCTGCTGATATGAGAACGTTGACCTGCGTTGACCGTGCTCACATACTAACCTGAGGCATGCCGAAGCGCGTCGTGGGGTTCCACCGCACGGGCGTGAAGAGCTCACTAGTGTTGAACTTTTTTGACCTGCGTTGAACTGCGTTGACCAATGTTCTCAGGCACTCACCTGAGGCATGCCGAAGCGCGTCGTGGGGCTCCATGGCACGGGTGTGAAGAGCTCGCCAGTGAACTCGGTCCCCGTGATGCCAGCTGGCACGCCAGGCTGGGTCGCCACCTGGACGAACGGGATTGGCGGGAGGAGGCACGTCCGGGAATCCCAGGAAAAGTAAGTACCTAATCGCATGATTGAGACCGAAATGATTGAAATCACTTCACTTTTGAAAGGATTGTTACAATCATCTGTTTCGGCCATTCGCGGGAGTTTTGAGAACGCAAGTTTTTTCACAGATGAGAGGAGAGGACTGATAGGCTTGACAAGGCATATTCCCTTGAAAATCCCTTCGTCCTCCCGGTGCTCTCTCTCAGTGTTTCTTTGCTCGTGGTGCCGGCTCAGCAGTAGCGACCAGCCGACAGAGTGCCCTCCTTGCATCAATAGTGCAATAGAGTGGGCGGTGCAGTGCAACTCCCACGACCTCCACCGACCTGCTACAGCCTAGTCGGCGGGACGCACCTGCTGCAGGAAGACGTTGGACGAGAGCAGATAGACGAGCACCTCCTTGGCCCCTGCTGTCATGCTACAGCCTGCACGACCCCTGCCATCCTGCTACAGCCCGCACTGCCCACACACACAGGGTGGCGAAACGCACCTGCTGCAGGAAAACGTCGGACGAGAGCAGATAGACGAGCACCTCCTTGGCCTGCCGGCGGAACGTAACGCGCATGCACGGGGGATGGGCGCACGGGGATGGGCGCACGGGGGATGGGCGCACGGAGGATGGGCGCACGGGGGATGGGCGCACGGAGGATGGGCCCACGGGTATGGGCGCACAGGGATGGAGGAATGATATGGTTGGGAGCACACGAATGGGAACATGGCGTGTTACAGGGATAGACACGCTCAACAGCACGGGGTACCACCGTGGACATAGATAGGCGGTAACACGGGGATCCGTACGTAGCGACATGAAAATTCCGTTCGTAGTGATCAGAACGGGATTGGATTGCAGCGGCATTGAAAGACGGAATGCAAGAGGGAATGAACGGCGTTTGTCGGGTTGATTCGAAAGTGCACGATAAAGGCGATGTGTTTTTTGAATCAGGTCAAAGGTCGGAGAACCCACATGTCGAAAGAACACCTCGAAGTGTGATGGTAAGGATTCAGGCGCGGATTGGTCAACATGTGAGATTCTGGTTACGGATTGGCCAGGTTATGACTCGGTGCGATAACTTGGTGCGATGTAATCGGGCTCACCTGAGGGTCCAACTCAAAGCTTGTATCGAAGCTCTCAACAGCGCGGATGCCTTGTACGACGTGCGAGCATCGCAGAATTCTGCTGCTGACGGTCGATCGTGCGAAGGACGACGCTGATTGGTTGACGGAAGGCGTGAGCGGTCTAGCGGAAGCGACGATAGGCGAGGCGAACGGACGTCGAGACGACGACGAGGAGGAGGATGAGAATGTGGACGAAGGAGACGCTAGCAGCGATTCGCCGAGAAGCGAGGACGCGAGAAGTGACTGGGTCATGGTCAAGAGCGAGACAAGGGACAAGCTTTAATCTGCAAGGGTATGTACAGAAACTACTACGGTATTCACACTTGACGTGGTCGCGCGTGCAGCTCCAGTGTCTGGTTGATAACTCTGATAGTGAAGAAACTGCACGAAGAAATGGCTCGAGGGACAATCACAGTCAGCTTTGAGAATGTGTAGGAAGGAATTCTGGTGCATATGTGATCAGATCGGACCGTAGGATAGAATATGGGAAGAGAGTCAGGGCCAGGCGTATTCGGATCATTGTGAGTTGTTCACCGCATTTTCTGGTACGATTGAAATGTCAAGATGGGCAGAGCTCGTGTTCAATCATATTCGACATTTATCTCCAATGCTGACTGAAATTGTGCGACGGGATGACACCAGAACCTGGCCTTTTAGTCAATCTCGCATCTGGTACTCACAAAAATTCAGCAGCAAAGCTATCTGACTATGTTTTGAGCATATTGAACGCGTCGAAATACTTGAGAGAAGCGAGTGCATTCACCGCAGCCAGCGGAATCTCCACAATCCGCTTGGGCAAAGGTCTGCGAGGATCCGCACACACGTGGCAATTCTGTGGTTTGAAACACGCACTGCGCAAAGTTTCTCGCAAACTCGATAAGGGGAAACCCATATAAGAACATACGTAGGACAAAGCATGTACAATTCGTAGTGCGTTAATATATATTTAGAAATTCTAAATCAAAAGGAAGGCCATTGTAAACACCACAATGCAAAGTAGCGCTTGCCCATTCGCATTGAATACTGGAAATGGAGGGATGGTGGAGATGAAAAGTGAGGGGGGAAAAAGAGGGGTAAGCATAATTTATTACGTCATTTGTAGTAGACATGAAACAATCGAGAACCATTGATTCACACGCAGACAAGTCATGCAAGAAAATTTTGCAATCAGTAGAATACTCTCATTCAATATTTCAATGTGCGCGCCTCTCACCCTCGACCATATGTTCAACCCCGTGCAAACTGACCATCCCTCCTCCCTCTCTGTCCCTCTCCCTCCCCCTTTCCCCTGCTCCCATCCCTACCAGAATACCTCTCCGCCAGGATTGGCACAAGGAACAGAACATGGTCAGCCCCTTCCATGCCAGCCTACCATCCCTCTCCCACATCCTCTTCACCACCCCCCTTCAACAGGACTACCCACTGTCGATGTGCCTACCTCTCCTCCCCCGTAGGGAGAACCAGCACGTGGTCAGCGCCCTGCACGGCGAGCCTGCCATCAGCAATGGCATCCGTGAGGGCGGGCAGGACAGTGGCGGCTGCCGTGACAGAGTAGGCCGTGTATGGGCTGTCCCTCTCAGGCGTGCTGGCGGTGCCACTGCCACTGCCACTGCCACTGCCACTGCCACTGCCACTGCCACTGCCACTGGCACTGGCACTGGCACCAGTGCTACACAAAACCCTTCACTAGATCTACTAGCCTACCTTTTCCTCCCGCGTTGGCAGGCCCGGTGGGGGGAACCAGCACGTGGTCAGCGCCCTGCACGGCCAGCCTGCCATCAGCAACGGCATCCTTGAGGGCGGGCAGCACAGTGGCGGCTGCCGTGACAGAGTAGGCGGTGTAGGGGCTGTCCCTCACAGGCGTGTTGGCGTTGGCCGGCACGCGGAACACCAGCGACTTGTCCGACTCTATGTGGATCTGAATCGTCTGGTTGGTCCCCACCGCGTATATGTGCCCGTGCTGGGGTGCCTGTGGGAGAGGGGGGGCGGGGAGTGGGGAGGGAAGCGACCTGTCAGAGTCTATGCGGATCTGAATGGTTTGGTTGGTCCCCACTGCGTATATGTGCCCGTGCTGGGGTGCCTGTGGGAGTGGGAGAGAGAATGGGGAAGGGCGGAAGGGGGAAGGGACTTGTCTGATTCTATGTGGATCTGGTTTGTTCCCACCGCCTATATGTGCCCGTGCTGGGGGGCCTATGGGAGGAGAGCGGGGGAAAGGAGGGAGGGAAAGGAGGGGGGAAGGGAGGGAGGGAAAGGAGGTGGGAAGGGAGGGAGGGAGGGGGGGAGGGAGGGGGGAAAGGAAGGGAGTGTACTGGCGCTGACAATTCCGGGAAGCTGCCTCTCTGGGTAGTATGCGCCAGTGAGGTACAGCAACAGAGGGCGCAGCAGCAGAAGGTTCAGGCAGTGCAACTTCTTAGCCCTCTCTGAATCTCACCTGCGCATACAGCTCACCGGGTTGCTTGCATCAGGAGATAGTATGCTCCCATGAGGTGCAGCAGCAGCATCAGCAGCAGCAGCAGCAGCAGCGAGTACATCTGTGTACCGCACAGGACAACCACCTGAGATGAGCTTTCAAGTTCCCTCCATTCAACTCACCGGATTGCTTGCATTGGGAATTGCCATTTCTTCCAGCTGTCTCTCCAGGTGGTATGCTCCCGTGACGTGCAGCAGCAGCACGCCTCTCAGGGCAGCCGTCCCCTCGGGCGACAGGGCGTCCAGGTTCAGAGGCGCGGAGAGGTTGCTGAAGGTGCGGGTGATGTTGGGAGGGCTGGAGGAGGAAGGGGTGGTGATGCTGCTGGCTGCAGCTACGAGGGCGGTTGCGGTGACGCTTGGATAGCCCACAAAGACGTCTGTAGGGAAGGAAAGGAACAGAAGAGGAGGTGGGGCGGGGGAGAGGAGGCGGGGATTTCGTCTTAGCAGCAAGGCAAGGCTATCTATTCCCACCTATCCAAGTCGCAACCGGTTGCTTCGCGTTAGCTCTATTCATACCTCGCTCTAGCACGTCAAAGAATTGCTGCCACGCGAAGTTACTCTGCGCGCATCTACTCCCATCTCCCCATGTCGCTGCTGTATGGTGCTGGGGGTTCGTTACCTGGCCACGTCCCCGCGGGTTGCTTCGCGTTGGCTCGCTCTAGCACGTCGAAGAACTGCTGCCACGCGTAGTTAGTCGGCGCCACCAGCAGCGCGCCGAGCCCCGAGTTCCGCGCGTTAATCACCTCCTGGTCCACGCCCGTGTCGCGCAGCAGGCTCGCGGTCCACGCTAGCGACGCCGCTGACGCGTTCGCGGCGCCTCCGCCACCGGCGCCGCCAGAGCCGGCGAGTCTGGCGGAGGCACGAATCAGCGCGTTATAGAGTGCCTCGGTAGAGTCTATGGCGGCTGCAGCTGGAGGGTTTGCAGCGGCGGAGACGGCGAGAGGGGGTAACCCAGAAAGGAAAAGCGACGCGAGGAGGAGCGGGAGCACCACGGAGATTAACCTGGAAACCATAAGGCGACTGGTTTTGTAACCTGTGGTGCTCGATAGAGTTTTATTTCTACCTGTAGTAGTAGTGGTGGAGTTATTGATAAGTAAGGGAGCCATGGTCATGACGAACCGTGGAAGCAGATAAATGTTGCTCAGTGGTAACACAATCATGCGGCGAGTGGGGACCGTGTGAGGATGATGGCGTTGCGAGAAGTGTCAGAAGCTCGGACGTGGCGACGTTGAGGCGCTATAAAGGCGTCTATTTCTTAGGAGCCTATTTTTAAATATTTTCTTTGAAAAGCGACGTCTATATTATAAGGGCGAGAAACATTCTAATCGTCCATTGTCGATGCATTCGTTTTTCTTTAAGACTTCTATTTCAAGTCGTCTTAATCGAGGCGCCTGAAAAAATAAATAAAAAAGACTCAGAGAGGCGGCGGGGTCGGACTTAAGACGCTTTCAACGTAAGGTTGCGATGCGGGACCACGCGCTCCGGTGAGTTGTCGTTTCAAGCAGTTACTACCGCTGAGAGCTCTAGTTTCGCCGGAGATGCTTCCTGACTGCAAGGCGACGAGATGTTTACCAAACCGCTTTTGAGTCAACTAGATATTGGAACGCCCATTTCTACTGCCTCGGGAAAATTGAACCCCGCTATGGCGTCTGAGCTGAACCTCTTAGTAGTTGTCAGTCACTACCTCCCTTGGTTACTCCTAGGCATTCCCTAGGTTGAGCTCAGCAACGAAGGCGGGGGTCTCATCGGGGGCGTGTTCACATATCGAATGATCAGAACCCGAATAGACGGACCTTATTCTTACCGTGTTCTCGGTCTATCAAACTGGCTGTTTAAGCATTGTGTTTTTGAACTTTCACACACGGATACCTGACACCAGTTTGGTTTCCCAGAGGTGGCACTTAATTATGCAATAATCCAACTACGCTTTACAAGAGTTCTGCACCACACCAGCCAAACCGTGTGGAAACAGAAACGATGGGCACGTGGTCCACGTTGTACGGTTTTGAGAGCAGCATTCTCCACGTGGAAATGTGTTATCGGATCTGAACCGGTCTGTTTGTTTTGGGTTCGACGATTGGCCGATGTTAATCCATCGCCAAATCCAGCCGTCCATCACAGGTAGGCCCCTACACGGACAATATCGAGGTCAGGGAAGACTTCGGTTCGGGCTGTAATTGTGACCGCCAGTTCCATCCACGACCCATCCCTTGCATGTTTAGGGGGTAGCGGTGCCGTGCGGTGCGGCTTGCCCAATGACATTGTTTCGTTTCGCACGGCTGGAAGGAAGTCAAACAGAAGAAATTCCGATACTGGAGCCTCGGTCGCTTTAAAGCTTCTGTGAAGAAAGAAGGGTACTCTATTAGCTGTAGTCAATATGTATCCATTCCACTACATCTATGACATACCGTACGGTGCACCTTCACCTGGGTCTTCCAAAGAACAGTGCAAACTAAAGCTGGAAAAGTAGTTTGGAAAAAGAGAGACCGAAACAGGGGAAAGGGAAGTGGGGAAAATGGGTAGGGCGGGGGAAGAGGGAAAAACTAGTGTTGTCTAGCCAGCTCCCTGGGTTTAGGGAAACATGGAGTTGCACAGATGAAAGAACCAGACAAGGGGTCATGGACTTGGGCTGGTAACAATAGATGAAGATCACACCACATCACATCCCTATGTAATCAGCCAGTCGAAGCAAATCTGTCAAAGCTCCCGGCATCAATTTCCGGGCAAACAGAAAGCAAGGAACACTCTCATCAGCTACTCTACAGCTCAGCGGCCCTCTCATCCTCTCTATAAGCTTCTCCGACACCTGACCCGAACCAAACTGCGCAGGATGCGCAGCACCAGGCTTAGACCAATCCGTCCAAGTAACCGTCCTATTCGCCACATTTCCCGGCATAAGCACTTTCAGCATAGTCGGCATGTAGTGCTCGTCCGCGTAACACGGCGGCCTGCAGAACCGCTTAAAAAGGGGATAGAAAATATCGTCCGCGACAATAACCCTAGCCGCTTCCCTATCCATGGCAAACCACTGTCCTCCCTTCCTCCAGTCTTCCAAACGAACCAGAGGCAGAAACTCCCTCCGCCACCTCCCCCGCCCGTTTGTCCCCGGCTCGTTCTTCAAACGAACGTATGCTTCGGGCGAGGCCATGAGGTACTCGTAAACGAATGTGAAGTTAAAGAGGGGAGCGCAGGACTCTGAAACGAGGATGAACCGTGCATTGCCTGGGTCCAGGAGAGCGTTGGCTAGCAGGCGTCTTTCTGCATCCACCATGCTGATCTCGCCCCAGTGCACATCCTGGGGTGGGAGAAAGGGGGTTGGGGGCGATGGGGAGTGGGGAAGAGTGGGAATGAGGGCGCAGGACTCTGAAACGAGGATGAAGCGTGCGTTTCCCGGGTCCAGGAGGGCGTTGGCTAGCAGTCGGCATTCCGCATCCACCATGCTGGTCTCACCCCAGTGCACGTCCTGAGGGGTGAGAGAGGGGATGGGGGAGATGGCGAGATGGCGAGATGGGGAATGAGGGGGCGATGGGGGATGGGATGAATGTACACCACCAGTGTTGACTAGCAGGCGGCGTTCTGCGTCCACCATGGTGATCTCACCCCAGTGCACGTCCTGAGGGGTGAGAGAGAGGGGAGGTGCGGGAGAGGAGGGGAAGGATAAGAAAGGCGGCAGGTTGGTTAGCAAGATGAGTGTGAGTGTTCACTAGCAGGCGACGTTCTGCATCCACCATGCTAATCTAATCTCACCCCAGTGCACGCCCTGAGGGGTGAGACGGAGGGGATGCGGTGCGAGAGATGGGGAGATGGCAAGATGGGGAATGAGGGAGCGATGGGGGATGGGATGAATGTACACTGCCAGCGTAGACTAGCAGGCGGCGCTCCGCTTCCAACATGCTAATCTGACCCCAGTGCACGTCCTGGGGTGAGAGAGAGGAGGTACGGGGAGATGGGGGCGATGAGGTGATGAAGAATGAGGGAGCGATGAAGGACGGAATCAATGTAGACTACTAGCGTTGGCAATCAGGCGTTTTTCCGCATCCACCATGCTAACTTAAACTCGCCCCAGTGCACGTCCTGGCGGTGAGAAAGAGAGGGGATGGGAGTGGGAAAATGGGAGATGGGCGTTCGGGAGATGGGGAATGAGGGGCGATGGAGGATGGAATGTGTGTGAACAGCCATCGTTGGCTAGCAGGCGCCTCTCCGCGCTGGATGTGTCCACCATGCTGATCTCGCCCCAGTGCACGTCCTGGGGGGTGAGAGAGAGAAGGTGGGAGGGGGATGGGAAAGATGGGGAGTGGGGAAGATGGGGAATGGGGGAGCGATGGACGATGGAATGGGTATGTGATGTGAACTACCAATGTTGGCTGGGAGGGAATCTCCTCTCAGTGTTCTATGTGCTGCTCTCGCCTCAGTGCAGGGCCTGGGATGGGGGAGAGAGGGGATGGGAGTGGGAAGTGGTGTTGGAATGATGGTGTTGGGGAGAAAGGAAGAGAGAGTGACGTGGCAAGGGAGGGGAGAGCGTTTTGAGACGTGTAAAACATAGGAAAAAAAGAGGAGATACGGAAAAGAGATTGGCATAACATCACATGCACCTGCTTGCCTAGACTAACTCACTTGACTCGGTATGTGTGCGCCTTTAAACGCGGATGGAAGCTCCCCTGGCTTATATCGAAACTCGCGAGCCGTGTGGATGTAGATTGAGAAGAAGCCCTCATGGCCTTTGAAGAACCGTTCCCAAAAGGGAGCCAATGGCAAACGGCCACGTGTCATGAAAAGAAAGGCGAGTTTCGGGGTTTGTATGGACGCCTCGGTAAGGCCTACTCTCCCTGCCTTATATCGTAGCAAGAAATCAGCATCTAGCTGATCAGAAACATTAGCCTTAATGGACGGCGAGGATTCCACGACAGATTTAGCCTGTGCGTCAGTGCTGGCAGTGGAACCTGTGATCTGATTGGTCGCCTGGGGAACAGAATCTACCCTAGAATCTACAGCCAAATCTGAACCAATCGTTAAATTGACCGAGATTCCTCCACGATCTCTGATATCTCGATCTCGATTTCCCTCTCTATCGCCATCCTTATCCAATGACATCACTCTCTGCCAATAGCCACGTTGGCACGTCCACCCTCCTGTCATGATCCCTAGAAAGAACACGATCGGGAGCACTAAGATGTATATCGGGCCTGCGCGTCTCGAGGATGCCCTCGCAGCGGATTTTGCGGCGCCAGGGGCGGTGACGGGAGAAGCCGCTAAGGAGGGGAGAGAGGGAGTGCGACCGACGGTCCTAGGCTCGGCCATGGCTGCCGTAAGCGTGCTGTAGGGATTAGAGACCTAGTGATTATCTGAATAACGCACTACGCCGTTCCTGGGATGTAGATCCTATAAAAAAGGAGTCGCCATCATCATGCCTCATGCCGCCCAAAGACGCCATGGCCGCTGGTTCATGCCATGTCATGTGACGCACCACTTGCCGAGACACTTCATAGGGAGATTCCGCACCCGTTACACGTCCAGCTTGACTGACCGTCCCGATAATGTATAGTGGGTTATGGACAAAATATTAGGATACATTTTTAGGAGGATATTAGCTCATGCAAATGTGTAGATGCGTAGTCCACAAAATAATACTACTCATCAGTACTGCACAAATTGTGCAGCCATGTCATTCGATGTCCCTAAAGAAGTCAGCCATTGCCGACCCACGCGCCTTGAAATTTCCACGTCGGTTGGGAGAGCGCCGTCTTTTTCTCCCTGCAATAGCACGTACAGGCGAAAAAAACATGGGATGGATGGGTTGTGCGCACAGGTCCCTTTGTAATGTTCCCCTTGGGCATCACTATACTTCAAATTCGGGACGATGCGTTGAGCGAATACAATTTATCAATAGGTATAATAAAACATGTAATGAGCTCACCTCCCTTGCCCCCGTCGTCGTCGCTGCTGTTGGGGTCACTATCTCTCCCACCTCCTCCTTGCTCACTGTCACTGTCACTCCCCTTACAATCACCACCTCTTCTTATATCAGCATCACTCTGCTCCTTCCCCACCCCTGCACCGTCCGCTGCTAGTTTTGCCCCTCCATTTCCCACTCCCGTTTCATCAGCACCAGCAGCAGCAGATGCCAGCTCATTTGAATCTTTTCCATTTGCCACTGCAGTATCTCCTGCTTCATTCTTTTCATCTTGCTTCTCCTCCTCTTCCTCCTCCTCCTCCTCCCCGTCCTCTCCGTCTTCCTCCTCATCCAAAATTCCTGCAATGTCCCACGCCTAGATGAGGGAGGGAGAGAGCGATGAGAGGAAGGAGAACGGGAGAATGTGCAAGGAGTCTATTTTAGAAGCGCCTCAGAAATAATTTCCTAGCCATCCCCTCCTTCTTCCTCATCCAAAACTCCTGCAATGTCCCATGCCTTAGGGAGTGAGGGAGAGACAGACGAGAGGAAGGAGAACGGGAGAATGTGCAAGGAGTCTATTTTAGGAGCGCCTAAGAAATAATTTCCTAGCCATCCCCTCCTTCTTCCTCATCCAAAACTCCTGCGATGTCCCATGCCTTAGGGAGTGAGGGAGAGCCAGACGAGAGGAAGGAGAAGGAGAGAAGGTCCAAGGTGGAAGGAGTGTGTGGGAAAGGGAGGAAGAGCACCCCAAAAGAACACAGTGAGATGGAGGAGAGGGAAGACATGCAGAGCAGTGACATGTAACAAGAAAAAAACACGTCTGTCAGGCACTTAGGAGGAGCAGAATGCGAGATTTTACCCCCCCAAAAAAACGAGCGACAATTATTGCCCCCAAGCTGTCACCATACCTCTAGCGTCTGGCAGTGTATATCCTGCGTTCACAAAAAGCATATCCATTAACCCTAACCTCGTGCACACTCTGCCACCCTCCCAGTTTGTAGCACCAGCAGCAGCACCAGCAGCAGCACCACAGCAGCAATAGCAGGCTGTCAGCCCCTCACCTTGAGCTTCTGGTCGTGCCCCGCGCTCACAAGCACGTTGTGGCTGTTAGAGAGAGCGCAAATACCCACCAGGCCACCATCCCACCATCCCACCATCCCACCAGCCCACCAGCCCACCAGCCCACTAGTCTGCCACCCTACCAGCCACCCTCACCTTGAGCTTCTGGTCGTGCCCTGCGCTCACAAGCACGTTGTGATCGTGAGAGAGTGCTGTGGGGTACACACACAAAGGGTTGGGCCGAGGGAGGTTGGCGTGGAGGAGAGAGGGATGCGGGAAGGGGGGGAGAGTGAGCAGGGCACAGCAGGCAGTAACAAGACCATAAGTGCGTGCCTCATGTTGTGAGTACCATGATGCTAGGGCGTGTCATGACTGCCAGGACTGGGAGCGAGATTCCCATGATCATATCTTATCCAAGCTACAGTACCCCACCCAGTGCCCTCCACAGCAAAAACCACATGCAATCTCACAGCATCCGGGAGACAACCTCCCTGGTTATTGATTCAACCCAGGAGCCATGAGTAGGGGCGAGATTACCAAGATGCCATGACACCCCAGCCCAGCCACTGTCTCTTCGCCTCGAAAGAAAGTGCAGAGAGGAGCATTATGGTATGAAAGGGCCAGCTGTGTCACCACTCATTGCCACTCCACATCATACCAACGCCATCCCACCCACCCACCAAATGCCTCCACAGCAGAATCGGTTGGGGAAGACCGAAAAAAACCCTACACAATCTCATCAGCTTATCCCAGGGGAGGGATTACTATGACACCTCTTCCCACCAGCCACCCGACTACACACCCACCCACCCGCCCGCCCACCCACCCAGTGCCTCCACAGCAGCGTCGGTGTGCGATCCGACGACATCCAGAAAACGGTTGGGGAAGACAGACACCACTCGGATGAGCCCATCGGAGCAGGCTGTGAGTAGCGTGTCGTCGTCCAACTGGTGGGGAGAAGGGTACGGGGGGGATGAGGGGAGGAGGGGGGGAGAGGCTAAGAGATTGAGACGACACGGATGAGCCCGTCGGAGCAGGCTGTGAGCAGCGTGTCGTCGTCCAGCTGATGGGGGATGTGCGCATGAGGGGTAGAGTACGTAGAAATCACTTTTGAGAATTTTCAAAAAAGAAAGAATGGGAAGGTGCGCATTCGGATGAGAGCCCGTCAGCGCAGGCAGTCAATAGCGTGTCGTGGTCCAACTGACGGGGCACGTGGGCCGAGGGCAAGGGGACATGGGAGCATAGGGGCAGGAAAGGGGGCGTATAGGGCAAGAACAGGAAGGCAGTGACAACTCGGATGGGGTTATCGGAGAAGGCTGTGAGCAGTGTGTGGTCGCCGAGGTGGGAGAGCATGGGGAGGGGAGGGCATGGGGAGGGGAGGGCATGGGGAGGGGAGGGCATGGGGCAGGAGGGCAAGGCGGCAGGAGCAAGTGGCTGGGGAAGGCAGAGACGACTCGAATGAGCCCATGGGAGCAGGCTGTGAGCAGTGTGTGGTCGTGGAGCTGATGGGGCATCAGAACACGAGGGCATGTGAGGCATGGGAGTAAGAGGGCATGGGGAGGGCATGAAGCGGGCATGGGGAAGGCGGCAGGCAGGAGCAAGCAGTTGGGTGAAAAGAGAGAGCACATGGATGAGCAGGCGTGTTGTTGTCCAGCAGATGGGGCGAGGGCATGCGGGGCGAGGGCATGCGGGCATGGGAGAATGAGAGCATGGGGAGATGTGAGGCAGGAAGTGGGAGCAGAGGGCATGTATGGGAGGGAGGCTGTGGGAGCAGCGATTCGCGCACTAGTCGAAGCACGCGAAGGGGAGGGGTTTGGATGGATGGAGAGGGATTGGAGGGGGGGGGGAACAGGAGACGATGGGCGGGGAGGGGAGGAGGATGATGAGGAAGTAGCAGAGAGAGGAGGGGAAGTGAGACACTCACAGGCACAATGGCATCCACTGAACCTCCGTGACCTCGAAACCGATCACTGTGGACGGTGGAGGAGAGAGAAACGAGGGAGAAGAGGGAAATAGGGATAAGAGGGAAAGAGGGGGATTAGAGGGAAAGAGGGATAAGAGGGAAATAGGGATAAGAGGGAAAGTGGGAAAAGAGGGAAAGAGGGATAGGGAAAGACGGACAGAAGGCACGGGAATCAGTTGCGTTCTGACGCAGATGCTTGTAAAGCTCGACTCGAGATGATCACCGTCTCAAAAGTCGCAGATGCACTGTCCACTCCATTCTTGTTCCGACTCTATCGCACTTCGATTCGATACCGCCGGAATTTTGATGCTGTCACACTTACAGTGCTCCACAACAGCACAAGTTTAGATCACGCTCACTTGACACGCTCCGACCCACTCATTTGGAAGAGGTAGAACGGCCCTCTGATAAATGGAAGCTCATATGGTGCCACAATCCAGTACTGTCACACTTCAGTACTGTCACAGCATCTCCTGCTGTTAGAATCACACTCACTTGTCCCGTTCCGCCCCATTCTTGTTGAAAAAGTAGAGCAACCCGATCTAATAGATGTATGCCCATGTGCTGCAAGTCAATCCTGTCACAATACTCATCGCATCACACTCACTTGTCCTGCTCCGCCCCATTCATGTTGAAGAAGTAGAGCAGCCCACTCTGATGGATGTATGCTCATACTGTGCCACGATTTCTTACTGCCATAGCAATACCGTCACAACAAGTATAACATCACACTCACTTGTCTCGCTCCGCCCCATTCATGTTGAAGAAGTAGAGCAGCCCACTCTGATAACCGCAACCTCATATGCTGCCACAATTCAACACTGTCACACTTCAATACTCGTCTTGCTGATACAATCACACTCACTTGTCTCGCTCCGCTCCATTCATGTTGAAGAAGTAGAGCAGCCCGCTCTGAGAGCCACACACCACCTTGGAGTCGCTCTGAAGGGGTGGAGGGTGGGGTGGGTGGGAGATAATGGGGAAGCAAGAAAAAAGTGAGGGGGATATGGGATGCCGTAGAGTGGGAGGGAAAAAAGGTAAAGGAAGGCGACTAGTCCGGGTCAAAGAGCAGAAGCCATACAGCAGACGCAAATGAATAACACATGCATGGTTGGATACACACATGCATGGTTCGATACACACATGCATGCTTGGATACACACATGCATGCTTGGATACACACATGCATGCTTGGATACACACATGCATGCTTGGATACACACATGCATGCTTGGATACACACATGCATGCTTGGATACACACATGCATGCTTGGATACACACATGCATGCTTGGATACACACATGCATGCTTGGATACACACATGCATGCTTGGATACACACATGCATGCTTGGATACACACATGCATGCTTGGATACACACATGCATGCTTGGATACACACATGCATGCTTGGATACACACATGCATGCTTGGATACACACATGCATGCTTGGATACACACATGCATTCTTGGATACACACATGCATGCTTGGATACACACATGCATGCTTGGATACACACATGCATGCTTGGATACACACATGCATGCTTGGCTACACACATGCATGCTTGGATACACACATGCATGCTTGGATACACACATGCATGGTTGGATACACACATGCATGCTTGGATACACACATGCATGCTTGGATACACACATGCATGCTTGGATACACACATGCATGCTTGGATACACACATGCATGCTTGGATACACACATGCATGCTTGGATACACACATGCATGCTTGGATACACACATGCATGCTTGGATACACACATGCATGCTTGGATACACACATGCATGCTTGGATACACACATGCATGCTTGGATACACACATGCATGCTTGGATACACACATGCATGCTTGGATACACACATGCATGCTTGGATACACACATGCATGCTTGGATACACACATGCATGCTTGGATACACACATGCATGCTTGGATACACACATGCATGCTTGGATACACACATGCATGCTTGGCTACACACATGCATGCTTGGATACACACATGCATGCTTGGATAGACACATGCATGCTTGGATACACACATGCATGCTTGGATACACACATGCATGCTTGGATACACACATGCATGCTTGGATACACACATGCATGCTTGGATAGACACATGCATGCTTGGATACACACATGCATGCTTGGATACACACATGCATGCTTGGGTGTTCTAACCTTGACTGCCACAATCGAGAGCAGATCATCATCTGTGCTGTCCTGTGCTGTGAGCTGCACAAGCATTCACACATGTGCACACATGCACACACACACGCACACACGCGCATGCATGCATGCTCATACCTTGACTGCCACAATCGAGAGCAGGTCATCATCTGTGCTGTCCGTGTGTGCTGTGAGCTGCACACGCATTCACACATGTGCACACATGCACACACACACGCACACACGCTTGCATGCATGCATGCTCATACCTTGACTGCCACAATCGAGAGCAGGTCATCATCTGTGCTGTCCGTGTGTGCTGTGAGCTGCACACGCATTCACACATGTGCACACATGCACACACACACACACACACGCTTGCATGCATGCATGCTCATACCTTGACTGCAACAATCGAGAGCAGATCATCATCTGTGCTGTCCGTGTGTGCTGTGAGCTGCACACGCATTCACACATGTGCACACATGCACACACACACGCACACACGCTTGCATGCATGCATGCTCATACCTTGACTGCCACAATCGAGAGCAGGTCATCATCTGTGCTGTCCGTGTGTGCTGTGAGCTGCGCGGTGCATTGGCAGGTGCGAATGGGAGCAGACACGCGGAGAAACACAAAAAAAATCACATGCACACACACACACACACGCGCACATGCACACGGACATACACACGTGCACACACATGTTCACACATGCACACACACACACATGCACACACACACACACACACACACACACACACACACACACACACACACACACATGCACACAGAAACACTTGGTGAGAGGGGATTGGTTGCCAGAATAAGAAAGGCGAGAGTGTAGCACCTAAGGCAAACACGAGTAGGAGAGAGAGGGAGGGAGGGAGGGTGGGAGGGAGGGTGGGAGGGAGGGAGGGAGGGAGGGAGGGAGGGAGGGAGGGAGGGAGGGAGGGAGGGAGGGAGGGAGGGAGGGAGGGAGGGAGAGAGATAAAGGGAGGGAGAGAAGGAGGGAAGAGGAAATTTCCAAGCGCGTACTCAAACACCGATTCAACACATGTGCAGCAGAGATGACTTACTCTGTTGGTTGCAAGGTCGACAACAGCCATGGAGCCATCGCCATTACCAACAAACAGGCGGTTGCATTGCAGGAGGGGAGGGGCGACCTTCAACAATCGACACGTGCAGAAATAGCTCACTCGGTTGGTTGCGAGGTCGACAACAGCCATGGAGCCATCGCCACTGGCGGCAAGCAGGCGATTGCAGGCGGGTAGGGGGCGGATGTCAGTGAGATAGTCTGATGCTACTTGTACCGTGGCTGTGCTGCCCACTGCACTGCCATCCTGCCTGAGATCCCATAACTGGAGGAAAAGAGCACATCATGAACAAGCACACACAGACATACACAGAGTCACACAGGAGGGGAAGGGCCGAATGTCAGTGAGATAGTCCGATGCTACTTGCACCGTGGCTGTGCTGCCCGCTGCACTGCCGTCCTGCCTCAAGTCCCACAGCTGGAGAAGGTGCGAATAGTCAAGCACAGAGCACACAACCGCACACAACCGCACACAACCGCACAGAGGACAAGAGGGGCTGGATGCTAGTGAGATAGTCCGATGCCACGTGCACGGTCGCTGTGCTGCCTGCTGCACTGCCGTCCTGCCTCAAGTCCCACAGCTGGAGAAGGAGCATACAAGCAAGCGCAGAGGTAGACAAAGGAGGGGAGGGATGAGATGCCAGAAAAAGGTAGTGACATCCCACAAGTGCAGACATGAAACGTAAGGCATGCACGCATGGCCGCTGTTGACTCACCTGGACCGCTGTTGACTCACGTTGACCGCTGTTGACTCATGTTGATCGCTGTTGACTCACGTTGACCACTGTTGACTCACCTGGACCACCTTGACTGTTGTTGACTCACCTTGACCGCCTTGACTCACCTTGACTGTGCCGGAATCATCACCGGAAGCCACACAGGAGTCACCCCAACATGCCAACCGGTTGATTCCCTCACTGCACACGGAGAGAGAGCGGAGTGGGAAACAAACAGATCACAGAGAGCAGGGGAAATCAGCATGCCTCCTACTTGAAGTTGAAACAGATCAGTGCATGAATAAGGCGATCCCTGTAACCACAGATTTGCGCCCGCCCGTGCCCCCCTGTACCCACCTGTGAGCGCCCATGACCTTGCTCACTCGCTCCCCCGTCTCCACATCTCGAACCACAATGGACTTGTCCGCTGCTGCTGACACCACAACTGGGGGGGTGTGGAGCGGTGCATGGGGATTGGCAACAATTCGGGAGGGGAGGGGAGAAGAAGAGAAGCTATCACTTCCGCATAACCCGAACGACAATGGACTTGTCTGCTGCTGCTGACACCACAACTGGGGGGGTGAGGAGGGTGTGTGACGATGACAAGGGACGGTGTGTGAAGTGAAGATAATAAGGATGGGAAAGGGAACTTGGGCGGGAGGGTGGATGGGGGGTTACAAAAAGAGAGCAGATGTCACGAGGGTTTTCTAGGCCTTAAAAGTATCCTATCCCCTCCATTCCACAAGCATCAGGAGTAAGTAGCAGACAGCATAAGCTTTATGCCCCTCTAAGCATCCATACTGATATACAGAAGCAGCAACCAGAAAGCTACACACACCTCAGCAGCACCAACCTCAGCACCACACACCCCCAGCAGCACCACACACCCCCAGCAACCAGCACTCACATCGGCCATTGGCAGCAAATCGTGCAGCTTGGCAGGAGTCGGTGTGGCCCCTCTTCTTCCACTTTACACCCCCCCAGTACCACAAACCCCCAGCAGCACCAGCCCCAGCACCACACACCCACAGCAGCACCATGCACACCCCAGCAGCATCACTCACATCGGCCATTGGCAGCGAATCGTGCAGCTCGGCAGGAATCCGTGTGGCCCCTCTTCTTCCACTTGCTGCTCGTGGGTGCAAAGGGGTGAGATGCAAAGGGGTGGGGTGCAAAGGGGTGGGGTGCAAAGGGGTGGGGTGCAAAGGGGTGAGATGCAAAGGGGTGAGGTGCAAAGGGGTGAGGTGCAAAGGGGTGAGGTGCAAAGGGGTGAGGTGCAAAGGGGTGAGGTGCAAAGGGGTGAGGTGCAAAGGGGTGAGGTGCAAAGGGTGAGGAGCGAAGGGTGAGACTGGGTACCATACCTTGCCAATTCTTCTTTTGCATAAGCCTGCCTGCCAGGCTACTCTTTAACTCTAACTGCTATGGCTGAACACAGTAGGTGTGGCGGTGGCAATGGGGTGCGTGATATTGGCAATGGGGAGTGGGCGCACCTTTCGAATTGCAGTGTGGTAGGATCGACATTGAGTCTGGGACAGAGAGTGGGGTGGCAGGGGGGAAGGGGAGGGGAGGCAGTGAGGCAATGGCAAGCATGGATTGGTGGAGGAGTGGACGGGGAGTGCCTTGCCACACGTGCCCCATGTCCACACCCTAAAACCGAAACCCTACACCACTCGTTTACAGTGCATGCATCTGTTGCATACCCAAAACCCGAAACCTTGAACCCCACCCTTGCACGCGCTTGTAGACGTTTACACTGCGCGTGTGCACGCATAACAACCATTACAACCCTAAATCGTCAAGGCCAAGTTCTCGCCTCTGCTGCAAACCTCAAACCCGAAACCTTGACCCAAATTAGTTGGCCTTAAATGCCCTGAACTTAACAATCTAAACCCAGAATCTGATCGCACCCACAGGAATCCATGACCGACGAAAGCACCCCACGACCATAAATCTAGAATGGACGCCTCTGCTCTGAACCGTGACGTCACAAGACCTGCATTCCCGGCGCCAATCCTGCATGTCTCATATCCGATCTCGCATTCCCCCTTCATTTTACCGCTTACAGCTGCACGACACCCGAGATGAAGGAGACGCTGAGCAGGTGAGCCGTCGGATGGAAGTCCACATCGAACGGCTGAAACGACACCTTGAGCGCGTTCGAGGCTCGGCGCGCTGTGGCGCCTTCTCGTGCCATTTCCCGCGAGGAGGATAACCAGGGGAGATCGGCCTCTCAGGCTATGAGGCCGAAGAAATCGTACGGGGGAGAAAAAGGTTCACGAAGACGCAGGGCGGACTAATATGTGGACGAGATCGCACGGGGAGCAGTGCCGGACTAGGCTCTGACACTACGGTTCCGTGTAATCAGTGCTTCGGGACGCACTGGAGCGAGACACGTGGGGAATGTGCACTATGTGGGTCCGAAATTAGTGTTGTCCTACGCGCGCTTTGAAACTAGTGTCCGAAATTAGTGTTCGCCCTCGCGCAATGCCCGGCGGTTGCGAGTTTGGTCTGGTCTAAACTCAGCTGATAAACACCTGCAACTGCAAGCGGTTAGATACTTAGTTGAAGCACTACGGAAGACCCGTTAACCGGTATAAACATGATTCACGAATTCATTAATGGTATGAAGGAGATGTGTGAGTAACATTAGCTTCGATGTCATATTTCATCCTTCACTAGTATTAGCCCCTAGTTAAAACAAAATATATCGATATAATACATTATGCTGATTTAATTCCTATGTTATGTTTGGCTTTGTTGCAAAAAGTTCAATTCATTCGCTTTACAATTATCCTTTTGGAAACCACCAGCTTTCATTTTCAGCACAAAACGCTACCGCTCTCAAACGGATCAGTTATTACAAGGACATTCAGAGGCCATCAGAAGGTGCCATTTTTCCCGCCAAATCCGTTTGTTCGTCTACCATCGCGCGTTTGATAGTTTGTTCACTTGGGGCTCGAAGAACGTATTGTAGTTCATCTCATTGTGACAGCAAGGAGGATCTGTTTCTTTCGTACACGTTATAGAAGCGCTGATCTTCACAAACCATTAGTTTCCACCGAGATATCCCTGTCAGAACTCATTCTGCTCATCGAGAGAGGGAAAGCTCAATTGAAAGCTGATGCATATTCTGATGGAAGGCATCTCGGAGTTGCATTTCTCTCAAGAACAGCAGTTTGCCAATTGAAGGGTTAATATGCTTTACTTTCCGTAACAGGCCTCGAAGCCATGTCCGTTCATGATAGATAGCTCACGTAGTCGCGAACTGTTGTGAACAGTCGCAAGCAGTCCTCCAGTCGCAATCCATCATCGCAATCAGGCGCACATATGTAAGCTCGATGGGGGTAATTCTTAGACCCGTGACGACGCTGAGATTAAATAGTAGTAATCCGCTCGTCCTGCATACCTCCTCTGGGACCAATCACCAACTTCAACACAGAACCGTTTGTGACTCTGCGGTGAAGTGTTGGCTAAGTAAACAGCAGCGACCCGTCGGACAGGACAGACCGACCAGACCGGCCAGACTGGTCATTAATGTTTGGCAGAATAGTGGCGATGACGGAATCAAAGGAGATTTTGGATCCCGGAGATTGCGGAGAGACGTCTCGGTGGCTGCAGCGGGGAACCAGTGGTTTCCGGGAGGGCGACGGGAGCAGCAGCGGTGGCAGGAACGGCAGCAGCTGCTGCTGCAGCAACAACAGCTGCTACAACAGCGAAGGCAACAACAGCAGCAACAGCCGTTACAACAGCAGCAGGAGCAGCAGCGATTGATTCAGCAGCAGGAGCAGCATCAAAGCTGGCAGCAGCAGCAAGAGCAGGCCGCACAACAACAGAGCGAGTGGCAGCAAGAGCAGCAAGGAAGGGAAATAAGGAATTGGTCAGAGGAGAGAGGGAGAAGTATGGGAGGGCAGGGAGGGATTGACATGGCAGGGAGGGGTGTGGAGGAGGAGGAGGGGGAGAGTGCGGTGAGAGGGAGGAGCAATTGGATGGAGGAGACGGGGAAGAGCCGGGGGCAGATGGAGGCGCGAGGCGTGACGTGTCTGTACATCAAGCGGAGCATCCGGCAGTTCGAGGAGATCAGCTATGATGGCACCATTATTGTGCGTGTAAAGGGGTGATGTGCGCTTGTAGGGGGCGCTGCGTGAATGTGAGTAAGGGGCGCGGGTGTGCAGGGGGCGTGACGTGTCTGTACATCAAGCGGGGAATCAGGCAGTTTGAGGAGATAAGCTACGAGGGCACCGTCATTGTGCGTGTAGGGGGGTGCGGGTGTCATTGTGCGTGTGAGGGCGTGAGTGTGCGTGCAAAGGGGTGACGTGCCTTTATGTCAAGTGGAGTATCCGGCAGTTCGAGGAGATCAGCTACGAGGGCACCATTATTGTGCGTGTAGCGGGGTGAGGGTGTCATTGTGCGTGTAGCGGGGTGAGGGTGTCATTGTGCGTGCAGAGGGGTGACGTGTCTGTACGTTAAGCGGAGTATCCGGCAGTTTGAGGAGATCAGCTACGATGGCACCGTCATTGTGCATGTAAAGGGGTGGTGCGGGTGTCACTGTGCGTGTAGGGGGGTGATGTGTGCTTGTAAAGGGCGCGAGTGTGAGTAAGGGGCTGCAGGGAGTGATGATCCTTGGCCTCCCCTCCCACTTTCCCTTTCCCCCCTCCCCCTTTCCCCATTCCCCTCCGTTTCCCCATCCCTCTCCTTTTCCCCACCCCCCTCCCTTTCCCCAACCTTCTCCCAAGTGTACGGGGATGTGAGGCCAAGGGCTGTGGTGCGAGCAGCAGGGAGCAAAGATCCTCTCTCTGCCCCCCGTTCAAATACTATATCCCCTTCCCCTCCCTTTGCATCCTCTCTGTAACTCCCAGGTGTATGGGGACGTAAGTCCAGGGGTTGTGGTGCAAGCAGCAGGGAACACGATCGCGCTGTTTTACCAGAAGTGGAGCGTGCAGTGAGCTATGGTTCTCCGTCCCCTCCCTTCATCCCCACCCCCCCTCTCCCCATCCCTCTCCCAGGTGTATGGGGACGTGAGTCCAGGGGCTGTGGTGCGATTTCTGCAGGCAAGGTGCAGGCGGGGTGTTTTTTTGAGAATTATTAAGTACTCCTTGCGATTTCTTAGGAACAACCTGATGCTTGGGCGAGGTGCATGCGGGCAGCAATGATTCCTCCCCGCTCCCACCATTCTCCCCATAACCCACACTCGCAGGTGTATGGGGATGTGAGTCCAGGGGCAGTGGTGAGAGCAGCAGGGGACGTCATAGTTCTCGGGCGGCTGGCAGGCAAGGTGCATGCGGGGAGCGGTGGAAACCGGCGCAGTGTGGTGGTGGCGCTGTGCATGGAGCCCAGTGTGGTGGCCATTGCCACTGAGGTGGTGCAGGGCGCACAGGGGAAGGCCGCAGGGCATCCCGAAGTCGCTTCTATAGATTCATCCGGGCATATATGGTACGTTGGTGCGGTGGGGAGCGGTTGGAAGCGGTGGCAGCAGCAGGGTAAAGGTAGGCGCAGTGTGGTGGTGGCGCTGTGCATGGAGCCCAGTGTGGTGGCCATTGCCACTGAGGTGGTGCAGGGCGCACAGGGGAAGGCCGCAGGCCACCCTGAGGTGGCTTCTATAGACTTAACCGGGCACATATGGTAGGCCATGCTGTGAAAGAAGGGTGGTTTTGAGAGACGTCTCAAAACCACCCTTCTTTCACGTAGGAAGGCAGCAGGGCACCCTGAAGTGGCGTTTACTGTTCCATCCGGGCATATATGGTAGGCCATGTTGTGTGGGAGGCGCCTCAAAACTATGCTGTTTTGAGGCGCCTCAAGACTAGACACCCTGAAAGTGGCGTTTTTTTACTCATCCGGGCATATATGGTAGGCCATGCTGTGTGGTAGGCGGGTGTGGGGTGCATGGAGCAACGAAGGTGCATGCGGGAGAGCAACAGGGCAAATGGCAGGCGCGGTGTGGTGCTGGCCCTGTGCATGGTTCCCGGTCCGGTGGGCAGTGGTGGGCAGCGGTGGGCAGTGGTGGGCAGTGGTGGGCAGTGGTGGGCAGTGGTGGGCAGTGGTGGGCAGTGGTGGGCAGTGGTGGGCAGTCGTCCCTCCTCCGCTTCCACTCCCGCCCTCCTCCCCTTCCTCTCCCTCCCTCGCCCCCTCCCTTCCACTCCCTCCTTCCTCCTTGTGTCCATAGAGCAGCAGGCCCCAGCCAGCGTCAGCAGCAGCAGAACGCTCAGGGCAGGTGTCAACCTTCCATCCCTCCCTCCTTCGTTCCCTCTCTCCTGCTTGCACCCTTTCCTTCCAACCTTTCCCTTACTTCCACTCATTCTATTCATTCCTCATTTTGAGGTTCCCTATTCCTTCTATACGGCGCCCGTCCCTCTTGTCCCGCTGCATCCCTCAGCATAGCGCCAGCAGGCCTCACTCTTCACCAGCGGCAGGTGAACGGGAAGGGGAGGGTGGATCTGGTGATGGCACATCTGCCTACAACCATATCCCTGCCCTCCTCCCCTACCCTTTCCTTCTTCCCTTCCACTTGCTCCTCCTCATTTCCTCAGCATAGAGCCTGCCAGCCCCAGCAGGCAGGTGCACGTGAACGGGAAGGGGAGGGCGGATCCGGTGATGGCACACCTGGCCGCCACTCAGTGCCCCTTCCTTTCTTCCATTCTATGCTCCTCTCACCCCTTCTTCTCTCCGCTCCTTCTCAGCATAGAGCCTGCCGGCCCCAGCAGGCAGGTGCAGGGCGGATCCGGGGATGGTACACCTGGCCAGCACTCATTTTCCCCTCCGTTCTTCCATTCTATGCTTTTTTCACCCCTTTCGTCCCTCTGTCTCCCCGCAGCATCGAGCCTGTTGGCCCCAACAGGCAGGTGCAGGTGAACGGCAAGGGCAGGGCGGATCCAGTGATGGCACACCTGGCCAGCACTCATATCCCGTCCCTCCTTCCCATCTGCTCCCTCCTCCCCTTCCAATTGCTCCTCCCCATTCCCTCAGCATCGAACCTGCCGGCCCCAACAGGCAGGTGCACGTGAACGGCAACGGCAGGGCGGATCCAGTGATGGCACACCTGGCCAGCACGCACTTGATGGACGTCTCTTGGAATGTCGAGCCTCCACCAGCCGCCGCTGCTGCAGCGGGGAAGAAGCTCTCTCGGACAGCTGTGGCCTCGCTGGTGACGGGGGCGTACATCTGTGTGGCTGGCGCCATGGCTCTCGCGTTTCCCACCTTCACGTTTGGTAAGCCCGATGTGGTGGTTTTTCTTGTTTTTTTCTCCTGTTTTCTCTCGGAAATCTGTGGCCTCGCTGGTGACGGGGACGTACACCTGTGTGGCTGGTGCCATGGCACTCGCGTTTCCCACCTTCACGTTTGTTTTGCCGAAGTTTCCGGTGATGGCGGTTTTTCGTGTTTTTGTTTCCTACTTTCTTTTCCCATTTATATCGCTTTTTCGTATGCTCCGTGCTTGATTTTGTGAGTGTCATGTGGCCTGACCTGACTCGTGCCTGTTATGGGCCCATTGCTACCTTTGTTTGTTTGCTTAATTCTTACAATGCATTCTGATCTTGTTCCTGCTCTCTTTATGGGTTCCAGGTTTATTGTTTGGCCGTGATGTATTGACACCTGGATGGATTCGTGTTCTAGGGACCCTTGGCATGGTGGGTTCTGTTTTATATGCGTTTCTGTTTGTTTATCTGTTGTCTCTCTCGGTTGCTTACAGTGGGTCCTGTTATTGAGTATACCCGTTTTGATGTGGTCAGGTGTTTGGCATCTACTACATTGGCGCTGCCAGGGGTGAGAGAAATGGTTCAGGGGTCCGAGGCTTCTATGAGGCAACTGTTGTCGGCCGAATTGTGAGTAGCACTATGTGCTTGCGTTTCTTATGTCCCTCAAGTAGTTTCTCGCATTTCCTTCAAGTTTTCCAGCAGGTGCATTGTTGTACTAAGATTTCTTGTGGTGACTCATGCAGTTTCTTTTCTTCAGTTTCTGTGCTCTCGTGGCATCTGGCGCAGTTCCAGCCATGGTTTTGCTTGTAAGTTCCATGTTCTCTTTGTGACAGAAAGCAGTCTCGCTGTGACAAATGTGAAAGTTCCGTTCATGGCTGCCTTCAGACAGCATACATGTGGTGCTGATATGGTGTATCTGTTTCTCGGAATTCTTGTGTGCAGCTCGGCCTAGTAAATCTGCTTGGAGCATTATCGATGGCCTTCTGTTTACAGCAGTGAGGAGTAGCAGCGGAATGCCGCCACATTTGTTGTTCATAGCCTTGATACCGTACAAGCATTCAGGAGCAATGGTTTGTGTATGCTTAGTTCAAAAGGCAAGATAATGCTCCCTTCGGTTCGGACGTTACAAGGTCTGGTATATGAATGAGTTGTGCACAATGTGCTTATTGTTGATAACAAAACCCAGCTTGGAATCCTGCACATACCATAGATAGAGCTTATTGTTGATAACAAAACCCAGCTTGGAATCCTGCACATACCGTACCGTAGATAGTGCTTATTGCCATGTCATTCTTTTTTGTTCACTCCATACCAGCTCCCTTCTGCAACTATCATCATTCTTCTTGCTTCACTCCATACCAACTCCCTTCTACAACCAAATCTCCTCCATTTGAACCCATGGCCTCGTCCGTTGCCACCTTCATGGTGCTACTTTGCTTGGATCAAAGAAGTGAAAGATGATGGCACCTTTGCCACCACCCAGCTTCAGCTTACAGCCATGTTCCAGGACTGCATAACGCTGTAATAGCCTACCATCAACACTTGCCATAGCATTTCCATATACCAAAATGCTGACTCGAGTGGTTGTCTTGTGACCACTGGCATTCTGTCGACCAGGTATGTGCAGGACCTCACAGTGATCTTCCAAAAGACTGGGAACATGGATGTCAGCTCCTTTGCCAGATCCAATCTTAGTTACTCCTGGCTGAAGCACATGCTTAACACCTGTCACGTTGAGAAGGAAATGTGAGATCACAAGGCCCAGGATAACCACAGAGAAACGTACTAGTTCTGGCTTACCTGTGATAATCTCCGAGTCGGTATCTTCATCTGATAGCAACAGGGGGACGAAGAATGGATACGCCGTCTTAGTGGACTCAGGATAGGCTGGCTTGGTGGAGTTGGATATCATGCCTGGCTTCTTAAGAACATCTGTCAGCTTCTAAATCAGCGTGTCTGTCTGAGTCTCCAGAGGGGTCAAGGCTTTTGGTGCATTAGTAGCAACAGTTACGCTGCCAGCAGGGCACTCTCCAAAAATGAAAGGCTTCACGTTCTCCATTTCGCCTCTGGTGTTGACTTGCTGAAGTTGAGCGGAAGGCTTACCTCCATGGACGAGCATTGGGCTTGAAGAGGCTTCACTTGCGGCACTCTTTTGCACCACCTGAGAGGTCATGCCAAGCGACAGCACCCTCTCAAGTGCACTAGACCTTCTCTTTAGGGCAGTTTCAGACTGGCTGTCAGGGATCGTTAACACATTCGGCTTTGGGAAAGGATTAGGAAAGAGCGGTGTGAATGGGAGGGCAAGTGATGTCGAGGATGGCTCTCGGAAAGCAAAGCTGTCACGCTTCTGAGGAAGCTTGATGGCCAAACATGAATCTGTCTGGTGTGGAAACTCTGGCACCTGTGAAATATCTCAGAGGGCTTAGTAGGAAACAAAATGAGACTATCTGAAGTGATCAATGCCAATTTCGTTTTACCTGAACTCCCACGCTACGGAGCCGAACAGAAGGATGAAAAGAGGCCCGCAATGCCAAATACTCCACCATTTTGCGGAGAGTTTTCACTTCGGACATCAGGCAATGGATAGTCAAGTCCTTTGGATCTTCATTGATAGTTGGCTTGTTCTGGATCCGCTTGGCACGATTCGCGTAGCGCAAAGTGCTTAACGTCTCCCTCAAATCCTGCAATCCAGCTTTCAGTCGCAAGCTGTTTGATCGACAAAGCAATGCTGGCAAATCATTGCCGCCAAACACATACCTCGAAGGCAGGTGAGATGTTGGCTATCATCACTGTCTTGCTGTTTCCTCCAAGACTTTCCTTAAGCAGCCAGGTCAGAACGGAATTCCGATATGGCACAAAATCACTTCCTTGAGAGAGTTGTGTTATAACCTGCAGACAGAAAAGGATATTGTCATTCAGGCTTAAACACAAACCTTCAAATTTTAATACTTACATTGTTCAAGAGAGACAGGGATCTGTTGATGTAGCCCGACTCCTTAAGCCTCTGCCCGCTCGCATGTGTCCGAGCTTGTCGCTCGCTTCCTGGGATATTATTGTCAGAGGTGAACTTGCAGTCATGCACTGCAAGTTATGCCAAGATGGTCTTACCAGCAAGATCAACCATGTTAAGCTGGCTCGTCCTTTGGCTGTCCAGGCCGTCCTGCGCCTTCACCTTCTGAGATGGAACAACATCAGAAACATTCCGTGACAAGAAGTTTCAAAGTTGCAGCCTACTCAAACAAACCTGGGTGATTGTCATGGTGAAAACAGTGTGGCTTCGACTGGACTTCTGATTCATGTCGGTAGCTCCGAAGGTCCTGTTCGAATGTCCTTCTGCCAGAGCATCCTTCATCTCCTCCCATGACGTCACAAAGCGTCGTGTCAAGCCAACCACATATGGACCTAATTTGGGATGTTCTCGGATCTTGAGCTTCTCTTGTGCACCATTTGGTGAGGAGAGGGGTGACATGGATGGAGACCGAGGCGACCTTGGCGAGCGAGGGGATGCTGGGGTCCTAGGAGACGCTGGTGATGCTGGAGCATGCTCTGTTGAATGCTTGGCCTTTTTTGGCGAATGAATCGGAGAGGCGTTCTGATCCTTGAGATTCTGAGCTTGTAGGTGAGAGTATGACATAGAACCCTCCTTACTAGCATGTTCCTCTGCTGGCAGCTGCTGTTCATTGTGAGTAAAAGAGGCAGCAAATGCTTCACTTGCACTGGTCGCAGAATGTGCAGGGTGCTTGCTGGTCAGAAGGTCCCTTATCTTCTCTTGATATATCTCTAGAAAGCTCACCTGGAACAAAAGAATAAGTGCTGGTTGTACATTTGCAATCATGCAGAAATGAGTTCCCACCTACTTGAACGTGACATTCTGGGTCGCCATGATACAGGTATGACATTCTTTGCAAAAGTGCCGACGCAATCCTTGGAACCTGCAAATGACAATGGTGGTCATTACGTAACCTAAATGACATAGCGAAGTCAAATGCAAAAAGTACCATTCCTTTCCCTGCGGATGTCCCGTCTCCCATCATCGTGTACGTCTTCCCTGACCCCGTCTGACCATAAGCGAAGACCTGAAATAGCATGACCACATTACAGCTCTAAACTGTTACGTGGCAGTTCGCCTGGAATAGCAGGGGGAGGTTGCGAGGGGAGGCACGGGGAGGTTGCGAGGGGAGGCACGGGGAGGTTGCGAGGGGAGGCACGGGGAGGTTGCGAGGGGAGGCACGGGGAGGTTGCGAGGGGAGGCACGGGGAGGTTGCGAGGGGAGGCACGGGGAGGTTGCGAGGGGAGGCACGGGGAGGTTGCGAGGGGAGGCACGGGGAGGTTGCGAGGGGAGGCACGGGGAGGTTGCGAGGGGAGGCACGGGGAGGTTGCGAGGGGAGGCACGGGGAGGTTGCGAGGGGAGGCACGGGGAGGTTGCGAGGGGAGGCACGGGAGGTTGCGAGGGGGAGGCACGGGGAGGTTGCGAGGGGAGGCACGGGGAGGTTGCGAGGGGAGGCACGGGGAGGGTTGCGAGGGGAGGCACTGGAGGTTGCGAGGGGAGGCACGGGGAGGTTGCGAGGGGAGGCACGGGGAGGTTGCGAGGGGAGGCACGGGGAGGTTGCGAGGGGAGGCACGGGGAGGTTGCGAGGGGAGGCACGGGGAGGTTGCGAGGGGAGGCACGGGGAGGTTGCGAGGGGAGGCACGGGAGGTTGCGAGGGGAGGCACGGGGAGGTTGCGAGGGGAGGCACGGGGAGGTTGCGAGGGGAGGCACGGGGAGGTTGCGAGGGGAGGCACGGGGAGGTTGCGAGGGGAGGCACGGGGAGGTTGCGAGGGGAGGCACGGGGAGGTTGCGAGGGGAGGCACGGGGAGGTTGCGAGGGGAGGCACGGGGAGGTTGCGAGGGGAGGCAACGGGGAGGTTGCGAGGGGAGGCACGGGGAGGTTTGCGAGGGGAGGCACGGGGAGGTTGCGAGGGGAGGCACGGGGAGGTTGCGAGGGGAGGCACGGGGAGGTTGCGAGGGGAGGCACGGGGAGGTTGCGAGGGGAGGCACGGGGAGGTTGCGAGGGGAGGCACGGGGAGGTTGCGAGGGGAGGCACGGGGAGGTTGCGAGGGGAGGCACGGGGAGGTTGCGAGGGGAGGCACGGGGAGGTTGCGAGGGGAGGCACGGGGAGGTTGCGAGGGGAGGCACGGGGAGGTTGCGAGGGGAGGCACGGGGAGGTTGCGAGGGGAGGCACGGGGAGGTTGCGAGGGGAGGCACGGGGAGGTTGCGAGGGGAGGCACGGGGAGGTTGCGAGGGGAGGCACGGGGAGGTTGCGAGGGGAGGCACGGGGAGGTTGCGAGGGGAGGCACGGGGAGGTTGCGAGGGGAGGCACGGGGAGGTTGCGAGGGGAGGCACGGGGAGGTTGCGAGGGGAGGCACGGGGAGGTTGCGAGGGGAGGCACGGGGAGGGTTGCGAGGGGAGGCACGGGGAGGTTGCGAGGGGAGGCACGGGGAGGTTGCGAGGGGAGGCACGGGGAGGTTGCGAGGGGAGGCACGGGGAGGTTGCGAGGGGAGGCACGGGGAGGTTGCGAGGGGAGGCACGGGGAGGTTGCGAGGGGAGGCACGGGGAGGTTGCGAGGGGAGGCACGGGGAGGTTGCGAGGGGAGGCACGGGGAGGTTGCGAGGGGAGGCACGGGGAGGTTGCGAGGGGAGGCACGGGGGAGGTTGCGAGGGGAGGCACGGGGAGGTTGCGAGGGGAGGCACGGGGAGGTTGCGAGGGGAGGCACGGGGAGGTTGCGAGGGGAGGCACGGGGAGGTTGCGAGGGGAGGCACGGGGAGGTTGCGAGGGGAGGCACGGGGAGGTTGCGAGGGGAGGCACGGGGAGGTTGCGAGGGGAGGCACGGGGAGGTTGCGAGGGGAGGCACGGGGAGGTTGCGAGGGGAGGCACGGGGAGGTTGCGAGGGGAGGCACGGGGAGGTTGCGAGGGGAGGCACGGGGAGGTTGCGAGGGGAGGCACGGGGAGGTTGCGAGGGGAGGCACGGGGAGGTTGCGAGGGGAGGCACGGGGAGGTTGCGAGGGGAGGCACGGGGAGGTTGCGAGGGGAGGCACGGGGAGGTTGCGAGGGGAGGCACGGGGAGGTTGCGAGGGGAGGCACGGGGAGGTTGCGAGGGGAGGCACGGGGAGGTTGCGAGGGGAGGCACGGGGAGGTTGCGAGGGGAGGCACGGGGAGGTTGCGAGGGGAGGCACGGGGAGGTTGCGAGGGGAGGCACGGGGAGGTTGCGAGGGGAGGCACGGGGAGGTTGCGAGGGGAGGCACGGGGAGGTTGCGAGGGGAGGCACGGGGAGGTTGCGAGGGGAGGCACGGGGAGGTTGCGAGGGGAGGCACGGGGAGTTGCGAGGGGAGGCACGGGGAGGTTGCGAGGGGAGGCACGGGGAGGTTGCGAGGGGAGGCACGGGGAGGTTGCGAGGGGAGGCACGGGGAGGTTGCGAGGGGAGGCACGGGGAGGTTGCGAGGGGAGGCACGGGGAGGTTGCGAGGGGAGGCACGGGGAGGTTGCGAGGGGAGGCACGGGGAGGTTGCGAGGGGAAGGCACGGGGAGGTTGCGAGGGGAGGCACGGGGAGGTTGCGAGGGGAGGCACGGGGAGGTTGCGAGGGAGGCACGGGGAGGTTGCGAGGGGGAGCACGGGGAGGTTGCCGAGGGGAGGCGCGGGGAGGGTTGCGAGGGAGGCACGGGGAGGTTGCGAGGGGAGGCACGGGGAGGTTGCGAGGGGAGGCACGGGGAGGTTGCGAGGGGAGGCACGGGGAGTTGCGAGGGAGGCACGGGGAGGTTGGAGGGGCACGGGGAGGTTGCGAGGGGAGGCACGGGGAGGTTGCGAGGGGAGGCACGGGGAGGTTGCGAGGGGAGGCACGGGAGGTTGCGAGGGGAGGCACGGGGAGGTTGCGGAGGGGAGGCACGGGGAGGTTGCGAGGGGAGGCACGGGGAGGGTTGCGAGGGGAGGCACGGGGAGGTTGCGAGGGGAGGCACGGGGAGGTTGCGAGGGGATGCACGGGGAGGTTGCGAGGGAGGCACGGGGAGGTTGCGAGGGGAGGCACGGGGAGGTTGCGAGGGAGCACGGGGAGGTTGCGAGGGGAGCACGGGGAGGTTGCGAGGGGAGGCACGGGGAGGTTGCGAGGGAGGCACGGGAGGTTGCGAGGGGAGGCACGGGGAGGTTGCGAGGGGAGGCACGGGGAGGTTGCGAGGGGAGGCACGGGGAGGTTGCGAGGGGAGGCACGGGGAGGTTGCGAGGGGAGGCACGGGGAGGTTGCGAGGGGAGGCACGGGGAGGTTGCGAGGGGAGGCACGGGGAGGTTGCGAGGGGAGGCACGGGGAGGTTGCGAGGGGAGGCACGGGGAGGTTGCGAGGGGAGGCACGGGGAGGTTGCGAGGGGAGGCACGGGGAGGTTGCGAGGGGGAGGCACGGGGAGGTTGCGAGGGGAGGCACGGGGAGGTTGCGAGGGGAGGCACGGGGAGGTTGCGAGGGGAGGCACGGGGAGGTTGCGAGGGGAGGCACGGGGAGGTTGCGAGGGGAGGCACGGGGAGGTTGCGAGGGGAGGCACGGGGAGGTTGCGAGGGGAGGCACGGGGAGGTTGCGAGGGGAGGCACGGGGAGGTTGCGAGGGGAGGCACGGGGAGGTTGCGAGGGGAGGCACGGAGGCACTGGGGTGGTTGCGAGGGGAGGCACGGGGGAGGTTGCGAGGGGAGGCACGGGGAGGTTGCGAGGGGAGGCACGGGTGAGGTTGCGAGGGGAGGCACGGGGAGGTTGCGAGGGGAGGCACGGGGAGGTTGCGAGGGGAAGGCACGGGGAGGTTGCGAGGGGAGGCACGGGGAGGTTTGCGAGGGGAGGCACGGGGAGGTTGCGATGGGAGGCACGGGGAGGTTGCGAGGGGAGGCACGGGGAGGTTGCGAGGGGAGGCACGGGGAGGTTGCGAGGGGAGGCACGGGGAGGTTGCGAGGGGAGGCACGGGGAGGTTGCGAGGGGAGGCACGGGGAGGTTGCGAGGGGAGGCACGGGGAGGTTGCGAGGGGAGGCACGGGGAGGTTGCGAGGGGAGGCACGGGGAGGTTGCGAGGGGAGGCACGGGGAGGTTGCGAGGGGAGGCACGGGGAGGTTGCGAGGGAGGCACGGGGAGGTTGCGAGGGGAGGCACGGGGAGGTTGCGAGGGAGCCGGGGAGGTTGCGAGGGGAGGCACGGGGAGGTTGCGAGGGGAGGCACGGGGAGGTTGCTGAGGGGAGGCACGGGGAGGTTGCGAGGGGAGGCACGGGGAGGTTGCGAGGGGAGGCACGGGGAGGTTGCGAGGGGAGGCACGGGGAGGTTGCGAGGGGAGGCACGGGGAGGTTGCGAGGGGAGGCACGGGGAGGTTGCGAGGGGAGGCACGGGGAGGTTGCGAGGGGAGGCACGGGGAGGTTGCGAGGGGAGGCACGGGGGAGGTTGCGAGGGGAGCACGGGGAGGTTGCGAGGGAGGCACGGGGAGGTTGCGAGGGGAGGCACGGGGAGGTTGCGAGGGGAGGCACGGGGAGGTTGCGAGGGGAGGCACGGGGAGGTTGCGAGGGGAGGCACGGGGAGGTTGCGAGGGGAGGCACGGGGAGGTTGCGAGGGGAGGCACGGGGAGGTTGCGAGGGGAGGCACGGGGAGGTTGCGAGGGGAGGCACGGGGAGGTTGCGAGGGGAGGCACGGGGAGGTTGCGAGGGGAGGCACGGGGAGGTTGCGAGGGAGGCACGGGGAGGTTGCGAGGGGAGGCACGGGGAGGTTGCGAGGGGAGGCACGGGGAGGTTGCGAGGGGAGGCACGGGGAGGTTGCGAGGGGAGGCACGGGGAGGTTGCGAGGGGAGGCACGGGGAGGTTGCGAGGGGAGGCACGGGGAGGTTGCGAGGGGAGGCACGGGGAGGTTGCGAGGGGAGGCACGGGGAGGTTGCGAGGGGAGGCACGGGGAGGTTGCGAGGGGAGGCACGGGGGAGGTTGCGAGGGGAGGCACGGGGAGGTTGCGAGGGGAGGCACGGGGAGGTTGCGAGGGGAGGCACGGGGAGGTTGCGAGGGGAGGCACGGGGAGGTTGCGAGGGGAGGCACGGGGAGGTTGCGAGGGGAGGCACGGGGAGGTTGCGAGGGGAGGCACGGGGAGGTTGCGAGGGGAGGCACGGGGAGGTTGCGAGGGGAGGCACGGGGAGGTTGCGAGGGGAGGCACGGGGAGGTTGCGAGGGGAGGCACGGGGAGGTTGCGAGGGGAGGCACGGGGAGGTTGCGAGGGGAGGCACGGGGAGGTTGCGAGGGGAGGCACGGGGAGGTTGCGAGGGGAGGCACGGGGAGGTTGCGAGGGGAGGCACGGGGAGGTTGCGAGGGGAGGCACGGGGAGGTTGCGAGGGGAGGCACGGGGAGGTTGCGAGGGGGGCACGGGGAGGTTGCGAGGGGAGGCACGGGGAGGTTGCGAGGGGAGGCACGGGGAGGTTGCGAGGGGGAGGCACGGGAGGTTGCAGGAGGGGAGGCACGGGGAGGTTGCGAGGGGAGGCACGGGGAGGTTGCGAGGGGAGGCACGGGGAGGGTTGCGAGGGGAGGCACGGGGAGGTTTGCGAGGGGAGGCACGGGGAGGGTTGCGAGGGGGAGGCACGGGAGGTTGCGAGGGGAGGCACGGGGAGTGCGAGGGGGGGGAAGGTGCGAAGGGGAGGTTGCTGAGGGGAGGCACGGGGGAGTTGCGAGGGAGGCACGGGAGGTTGCGAGGGGAGGCACGGGGAGGTTGCGAGGGGAGGCACGGGGGAGGTTGCTGAGGGGAGGCACGGGGAGGTTGCGAGGGGAGGCACGGGGAGGTTGCGAGGGGAGGCACGGGAGGTTGCGAGGGGAGGCACGGGGAGGTTGCGAGGGGAGGCACGGGGGAGGTTGCGAGGGGAGGCACGGGGAGGTTGCGAGGGGAGGCACGGGGAGGTTGCGAGGGGAGGCACGGGGAGGTTGCGAGGGGAGGCACGGGGAGGTTGCGAGGGGAGGCACGGGGAGGTTGCGAGGGGAGGCACGGGGAGGTTGCGAGGGGAGGCACGGGGAGGTTGCGAGGGGAGGCACGGGGAGGTTGCGAGGGGAGGCACGGGGAGGTTGCGAGGGGAGGCACGGGGAGGTTGCGAGGGGAGGCACGGGGAGGTTGCGAGGGGAGGCACGGGGAGGTTGCGAGGGGAGGCACGGGGAGGTTGCGAGGGGAGGCACGGGGAGGTTGCGAGGGGAGGCACGGGGAGGTTGCGAGGGGAGGCACGGGGAGGTTGCGAGGGGAGGCACGGGGAGGTTGCGAGGGAGGCACGGGGAGGTTGCGAGGGGAGGCACGGGGAGGTTGCGAGGGGAGGCACGGGGAGGTTGCGAGGGGAGGCACGGGAGGTTGCGAGGGGAGGCACGGGGAGGTTGCGAGGGGAGGCACGGGGAGGTTGCGAGGGGAGGCACGGGGAGGTTGCGAGGGGAGGCACGGGGAGGTTTGCGAGGGGAGGCACGGGGAGGTTGCGAGGGGAGGCACGGGGAGGTTGCGAGGGGAGGCACGGGGAGGTTGCGAGGGGAGGCACGGGGAGGTTGCGAGGGGAGGCACGGGGAGGTTGCGAGGGGAGGCACGGGGAGGTTGCGAGGGGAGGCACGGGGAGGTTGCGAGGGGAGGCACGGGGAGGTTGCGAGGGGAGGCACGGGGAGGTTGCGAGGGGAGGCACGGGGAGGTTGCGAGGGGAGGCACGGGGAGGTTGCGAGGGGAGGCACGGGGAGGTTGCGAGGGGAGGCACGGGGAGGTTGCGAGGGGAGGCACGGGGAGGTTGCGAGGGGAGGCACGGGGAGGTTGCGAGGGGAGGCACGGGGAGGTTGCGAGGGGAGGCACGGGGAGGTTGCGAGGGGAGGCACGGGGAGGTTGCGAGGGGAGGCACGGGGAGGTTGCGAGGGGAGGCACGGGGAGGTTGCGAGGGGAGGCACGGGGAGGTTGCGAGGGGAGGCACGGGGAGGTTGCGAGGGGAGGCACGGGGAGGTTGCGAGGGGAGGCACGGGGGAGGTTGCGAGGGGAGGCACGGGGAGGTTGCGAGGGAGGCACGGGGAGGTTGCGAGGGGAGGCACGGGGAGGTTGCGAGGGGAGGCACGGGGAGGTTGCGAGGGGAGGCACGGGGAGGTTGCGAGGGGAGGCACGGGGAGGTTGCGAGGGGAGGCACGGGGAGGTTGCGAGGGGAGGCACGGGGAGGTTGCGAGGGGAGGCACGGGGAGGTTGCGAGGGGAGGCACGGGGAGGTTGCGAGGGGAGGCACGGGGAGGTTGCGAGGGGAGGCTGCGACGGGAGGTTGCGAGGGGAGGCACGGGAGGTTGCGAGGGGAGGCACGGGGAGGTGCGAGGGGAGGCACACGGGGCGGTTGCGAGGGGAGGCACGGGGAGGTTGCGAGGGGAGGCACGGGGAGGTTGCGAGGGGAGGCATCGGGGAGGTTGCGAGGGGAGGCACGGGGAGGTTGCGAGGGGAGGCACGGGGAGGTTGCGAGGGGGAAGGCACGGGGAGGTTGCGAGGGGAGGCACGGGGAGGTTGCGAGGGGAGGCACGGGGAGGTTGCGAGGGGAGGCACGGGGAGGTTGCGAGGGGAGGCACGGGGAGGTGCGAGGGGAGGCACGGGGAGGTTGCGAGGGGAGGCACGGGGAGGGTTGCGAGGGGAGGCACGGGGAGGTTGCGAGGGGAGGCACGGGGAGGTTGCGAGGGAGGCACGGGGAGGTTGCGAGGGAGGCACGGGGAGGTTGCGATGGGGAGGCACGGGAGGTTGCGAGGGGAGGCACGGGGAGGTTGCGAGGGGGAGGCACGGGGAGGTTGCGAGGGAGGCACGGGGAGGTTGCGAGGGGAGGCACGGGGAGGTTGCGAGGGGAGGCACGGGGAGGTTGCGAGGGGAGGGCACGGGGAGGTTGCGACGGGGGAGGCACGGGGAGGTTGCGAGGGGAGGCACGGGGAGGTGCGAGGGGAGGCACGGGGAGGTTGCGAGGGGAGGCACGGGAGGTTGCGAGGGGAGGCACGGGGAGGTTGCGAGGGGAGGCACGGGAGGAGGTTGCGAGGGGAGGCACGGGGAGGTTGCGAGGGGAGGCACGGGGAGGTTGCGAGGGGAGGCACGGGGAGGTTGCGAGGGGAGGCACGGGGAGGTTGCGAGGGGAGGCACGGGGAGGTTGCGAGGGGAGGCACGGGGAGGTTGCGAGGGGAGGCACGGGGAGGTTGCGAGGGGAGGCACGGGGAGGTTGCGAGGGGAGGCACGGGGAGGTTGCGAGGGGAGGCACGGGGAGGTTGCGAGGGGAGGCACGGGGGAGGTTGCGAGGGGAGGCACGGGGAGGTTGCGAGGGGAGGCACGGGGAGGTTGCGAGGGGAGGCACGGGGAGGTTGCGAGGGGAGGCACGGGGAGGTTGCGAGGGGAGGCACGGGGAGGTTGCGAGGGGAGGCACGGGGAGGTTGCGAGGGGAGGCACGGGGGAGGTTGCGAGGGGAGGCACGGGAGGTTGCGAGGGGAGGTTGCACGGGGAGGTTGCGAGGGGAGGCACGGGGAGGTTGCGAGGGGGAGGCACGGGGAGGGTGCGAGGGGAGGCACGGGGAGGTTGCGAGGGGAGGCCACGGGGAGGTTGCGAGGGGAGGCACGGGGAGGTTGGCGGAGGGGAGGCACGGGGAGGTTGCGAGGGGAGGCAACGGGGAGGTTGCGAGGGAGGAGGCACGGGGAGGTTGCGAGGGGAAGGCACGGGGAGGTTGCGAGGGGAGGCACGGGGAGGTGTGCGAGGGGAGGCACGGGGAGGTTGCGAGGGGAGGCACGTGGAGGTTGCCGAGGGAGGCACGGGGAGGTTGCGAGGGGAGGCACGGGGAGGTTGCGAGGGAGGCACGGGGAGGTTGCGAGGGGAGGCAACGGGAGGTGTTGCGAGGGTAGGCACGGGGAGGTTGCGAGGGGAGGCACGGGGAGGTTGCGAGGGGAGGCTACGGGGATGTTGCGAGGGGAGGCACGGGAGGTTGCGAGGGGAGGCACGGGAAGGTTGCGAGGGGAGGCACGGGGAAGGTTTGCGAGGGGAGGCACGGGGAGGTTGCGAGGGAGACAAGGGGGAGGTTGCGAGGGGAGGCACGGGGAGGTTTGCGAGGGGAGGCACAGGGGAGGTTGCGAGGGAGCAAGGGGAGGTTGCGAAGGGGAGGCACGGGAGGTTGGCGAGGGAGGCACGGGGAGGTTGCGAGGGGAGGTTGCACGGGGAGGTTGCGAGGGGAGGCACGGGGAGGTTGCGAGGGGAGGCACGGGGAGGTTGCGAGGGGAGGCACGGGGAGGTTGCGAGGGGAGGCACGGGGAGGTTGCGAGGGGAGGCACGGGGAGGTTGCGAGGGGAGGCACGGGGAGGTTGCGAGGGGAGGCACGGGGAGGTTGCGAGGGGAGGCACGGGGAGGTTGCGAGGGGAGGCACGGGGAGGTTGCGAGGGGAGGCACGGGGAGGTTGCGAGGGGAGGCACGGGGAGGTTGCGAGGGGAGGCACGGGGAGGTTGCGAGGGGAGGCACGGGGAGGTTGCGAGGGGAGGCACGGGGAGGTTGCGAGGGGAGGCACGGGGAGGTTGCGAGGGGAGGCACGGGGAGGTTGCGAGGGGAGGCACGGGGAGGTTGCGAGGGGAGGCACGGGGAGGTTGCGAGGGGAGGCACGGGGAGGTTGCGAGGGGAGGCACGGGGAGGTTGCGAGGGGAGGCACGGGGAGGTTGCGAGGGGAGGCACGGGGAGGTTGCGAGGGGAGGCACGGGGAGGTTGCGAGGGGAGGCACGGGGAGGTTGCGAGGGGAGGCACGGGGAGGTTGCGAGGGGAGGCCACGGGGAGGTTGCGAGGGGAGGCACGGGGAGGTTGCGAGGGGAGGCAACGGGGAGGTTGCGAGGGGAGGCACGGGGAGGTTGCGAGGGGAGGCACGGGGAGGTTGCGAGGGGAGGCACGGGAGGTTGCGAGGGGAGGCACGGGGGAGGTTGCGAGGGGAGGCACGGGGAGGTTGCGAGGGGAGGCACGGGGAGGTTTGCGAGGGGAGGCACGGGGAGGTTGCGAGGGGGAGGCACGGGAGGTTGCGAGGGGAGGCACGGGGAGGTTGCGAGGGGAGGCACGGGGAGGTTGCGAGGGGAGGCACGGGAGGTTGCGAGGGGAGGCACGGGGAGGTTGCGAGGGGAGGCACGGGGAGGTTGCGAGGGGAGGCACGGGGAGGTTGCGAGGGGAGGCACGGGGAGGTTGCGAGGGGAGAGGCACGGGGAGGTTGCGAGGGGAGGCACGGGGAGGTTGCGAGGGGAGGCACGGGGAGGTTGCGAGGGGAGGCACTGGGAGGTTGCGAGGGGAGGCACGGGGAGGTTGCGAGGGGAGGCACGGGGAGGTTGCGAGGGGAGGCACGGGGAGGTTGCGAGGGAGGCACGGGGAGGTTGCGAGGGGAGGCACGGGGAGGTTGCGAGGGGAGGCACGGGGAGGTTGCGAGGGGAGGCACGGGGAGGTTGCGAGGGGAGGCACGGGGAGGTTGCGAGGGGAGCACGGGGAGGTTGCGAGGGGAGGCACGGGGAGGTTGCGAGGGGAGGCACGGGGAGGTTGCGAGGGGAGGCACGGGGAGGTTGCGAGGGGAGGCACGGGGAGGTTGCGAGGGGAGGCACGGGGAGTTGCGAGGGGAGGCACGGGGAGGTTGCGAGGGGAGGCACGGGGAGGTTGCGAGGGGAGGCACGGGGAGGTTGCGAGGGGAGGCACGGGGAGGTTGCGAGGGGAGGCACGGGGAGGTTGCGAGGGGAGGCACGGGGAGGTTGCGAGGGGAGGCACGGGGAGGTTGCGAGGGGAGGCACGGGGAGGTTGCGAGGGGAGGCACGGGGAGGTTGCGAGGGGAGGCACGGGGAGGTTGCGAGGGGAGGCACGGGGAGGTTGCGAGGGGAGGCACGGGGAGGTTGCGAGGGGAGGCACGGGGAGGTTGCGAGGGGAGGCACGGGGAGGTTGCGAGGGGAGGCACGGGGAGGTTGCGAGGGGAGGCACGGGGAGGTTGCGAGGGGAGGCACGGGGAGGTTGCGAGGGGAGGCACGGGGAGGTTGCGAGGGGAGGCACGGGAGGTTGCGAGGGGAGGCACGGGGAGGTTGCGAGGGGAGGCACGGGGAGGTTGCGAGGGGAGGCACGGGGAGGTTGCGAGGGGAGGCACGGGGAGGTTGCGAGGGGAGGCACGGGGAGGTTGCGAGGGGAGGCACGGGGAGGTTGCGAGGGGAGGCACGGGGAGGTTGCGAGGGGAGGCACGGGGAGGTTGCGAGGGGAGGCACGGGGAGGTTGCGAGGGGAGGCACGGGGAGGTTGCGAGGGGAGGCACGGGGAGGTTGCGAGGGGAGGCACGGGGAGGTTGCGAGGGGAGGCACGGGGAGGTTGCGAGGGAGGCACGGGGAGGTTGCGAGGGGAGGCACGGGGAGGTTGCGAGGGGAGGCACGGGGAGGTTGCGAGGGGAGGCACGGGGAGGTTGCGAGGGGAGGCACGGGGAGGTTGCGAGGGGAGGCACGGGGAGGTTGCGAGGGGAGGCACGGGGAGGTTGCGAGGGGAGGCACGGGGAGGTTGCGAGGGGAGGCACGGGGAGGTTGCGAGGGGAGGCACGGGGAGGTTGCGAGGGGAGGCACGGGGAGGTTGCGAGGGGAGGCACGGGGAGGTTGCGAGGGGAGGCACGGGGAGGTTGCGAGGGGAGGCACGGGGAGGTTGCGAGGGGAGGCACGGGGAGGTTGCGAGGGGAGGCACGGGGAGGTTGCGAGGGGAGGCACGGGGAGGTTGCGAGGGGAGGCACGGGGAGGTTGCGAGGGGAGGCACGGGGAGGTTGCGAGGGGAGGCACGGGGAGGTTGCGAGGGGAGGCACGGGGAGGTTGCGAGGGGAGGCACGGGGAGGTTGCGAGGGGAGGCACGGGGAGGTTGCGAGGGGAGGCACGGGGAGGTTGCGAGGGGAGGCACGGGGAGGTTGCGAGGGGAGGCACGGGGAGGTTGCGAGGGGAGGCACGGGGAGGTTGCGAGGGGAGGCACGGGGAGGTTGCGAGGGGAGGCACGGGGAGGTTGCGAGGGGAGGCACGGGGAGGTTGCGAGGGGAGGCACGGGGAGGTTGCGAGGGGAGGCACGGGGAGGTTGCGAGGGGAGGCACGGGGAGGTTGCGAGGGGAGGCACGGGGAGGTTGCGAGGGGAGGCACGGGGAGGTTGCGAGGGGAGGCACGGGGAGGTTGCGAGGGGAGGCACGGGGAGGTTGCGAGGGGAGGCACGGGGAGGTTGCGAGGGGAGGCACGGGGAGGTTGCGAGGGGAGGCACGGGGAGGTTGCGAGGGGAGGCACGGGGAGGTTGCGAGGGGAGGCACGGGGAGGTTGCGAGGGGAGGCACGGGAGGTTGCGAGGGGAGGCACGGGGAGGTTGCGAGGGGAGGCACGGGGAGGTTGCGAGGGGAGGCACGGGGAGGTTGCGAGGGGAGGCACGGGGAGGTTGCGAGGGGAGGCACGGGGAGGTTGCGAGGGGAGGCACGGGGAGGTTGCGAGGGGAGGCACGGGGAGGTTGCGAGGGAGGCACGGGGAGGTTGCGAGGGGAGGCACGGGGAGGTTGCGAGGGGAGGCACGGGGAGGTTGCGAGGGGAGGCACGGGGAGGTTGCGAGGGGAGGCACGGGGAGGTTGCGAGGGGAGGCACGGGGAGGTTGCGAGGGGAGGCACGGGGAGGTTGCGAGGGGAGGCACGGGAGGTTGCGAGGGGAGGCACGGGGAGGTTGCGAGGGGAGGCACGGGGAGGTTGCGAGGGGAGGCACGGGGAGGTTGCGAGGGGAGGCACGGGGAGGTTGCGAGGGGAGGCACGGGAGGTTGCGAGGGGAGGCACGGGGAGGTTGCGAGGGGAGGCACGAGGAGGTTGCGAGGGGAGGCACGAGGAGGTTGCGAGGGGAGGCACGAGGAGGTTGCGAGGGGAGGCACGAGGAGGTTGCGAGGGGAGGCACGAGGAGGTTGCGAGGGGAGGCACGAGGAGGTTGCGAGGGGAGGCACGAGGAGGTTGCGAGGGGAGGCACGAGGAGGTTGCGAGGGGAGGCACGAGGAGGTTGCGAGGGGAGGCACGAGGAGGTTGCGAGGGGAGGCACGAGGAGGTTGCGAGGGGAGGCACGAGGAGGTTGCGAGGGGAGGCACGAGGAGGTTGCGAGGGGAGGCACGAGGAGGTTGCGAGGGGAGGCACGAGGAGGTTGCGAGGGGAGGCACGAGGAGGTTGCGAGGGGAGGCACGAGGAGGTTGCGAGGGGAGGCACGAGGAGGTTGCGAGGGGAGGCACGAGGAGGTTGCGAGGGGAGGCACGAGGAGGTTGCGAGGGGAGGCACGAGGAGGTTGCGAGGGGAGGCACGAGGAGGTTGCGAGGGGAGGCACGAGGAGGTTGCGAGGGGAGGCACGAGGAGGTTGCGAGGGGAGGCACGAGGAGGTTGCGAGGGGAGGCACGAGGAGGTTGCGAGGGGAGGCACGAGGAGGTTGCGAGGGGAGGCACGAGGAGGTTGCGAGGGGAGGCACGAGGAGGTTGCGAGGGGAGGCACGAGGAGGTTGCGAGGGGAGGCACGAGGAGGTTGCGAGGGGAGGCACGAGGAGGTTGCGAGGGGAGGCACGAGGAGGTTGCGAGGGGAGGCACGAGGAGGTTGCGAGGGGAGGCACGAGGAGGTTGCGAGGGGAGGCACGAGGAGGTTGCGAGGGGAGGCACGAGGAGGTTGCGAGGGGAGGCACGAGGAGGTTGCGAGGGGAGGCACGAGGAGGTTGCGAGGGGAGGCACGAGGAGGTTGCGAGGGGAGGCACGAGGAGGTTGCGAGGGGAGGCACGAGGAGGTTGCGAGGGGAGGCACGAGGAGGTTGCGAGGGGAGGCACGAGGAGGTTGCGAGGGGAGGCACGAGGAGGTTGCGAGGGGAGGCACGAGGAGGTTGCGAGGGGAGGCACGAGGAGGTTGCGAGGGGAGGCACGAGGAGGTTGCGAGGGGAGGCACGAGGAGGTTGCGAGGGGAGGCACGAGGAGGTTGCGAGGGGAGGCACGAGGAGGTTGCGAGGGGAGGCACGAGGAGGTTGCGAGGGGAGGCACGAGGAGGTTGCGAGGGGAGGCACGAGGAGGTTGCGAGGGGGAGGCACGAGGAGGTTGCGAGGGGAGGCACGAGGAGGTTGCGAGGGGAGGCACGAGGAGGTTGCGAGGGGAGAGCTACCGAGGAGGTTGCGAGGGGAGGCACGAGGAGGTTGCGAGGGGAGGCACGAGGAGGTTGCGAGGGGAGGCACGAGGAGGTTGCGAGGGAGGCACGAGGAGGTTTGCGAGGGGAGGCACAGAGGGAGGTTTGCGAGGGGAGGCACGAGGAGGTTGCGAGGGGAGGCACGAGGAGGTTGCGAGGGGAGGCACGAGGAGGTTGCGAGGGGAGGCACGAGGAGGTTGCGAGGGGAGGCACGAGGAGGTTGCGAGGGGAGGCACGAGGAGGTTGCGAGGGGGAGGCACGAGGAGGTTGCGAGGGGAGGCACGAGGAGGTTGCGAGGGGAGGCACGAGGAGGTTGCGAGGGGAGGGCACGAGGAGGTTGCGAGGGGAGGCACGAGGAGGTTGCGAGGGGAGGCACGAGGAGGTTGCGAGGGGAGGCACGAGGAGGTTGCGAGGGGAGGCAACGAGGAGGTTGCGAGGGGGAGGCACGAGGAGGTTGCGAGGGGAGGCACGAGGAGGTTGCGAGGGGAGGCACGAGGAGTTGCGAGGGGAGGCACGAGGAGGTTGCGAGGGAGGCAACGAGGAGGTTGCGAGGGGAGGCACGAGGAGGTTGCGAGGGGAGGCACGAGGAGGTTGCGAGGGAGGCACGAGGAGGTTGCGAGGGGAGGCACGAGGAGGTTGCGAGGGGAGGCACGAGGAGGTTGCGAGGGGAGGCACGAGGAGGTTGCGAGGGGAGGCACGAGGAGGTTGCGAGGGGAGGCACGAGGAGGTTGCGAGGGGAGGCACGAGGAGGTTGCGAGGGGAGGCACGAGGAGGGTTGCGAGGGGAGGCACGAGGAGGTTGCGAGGGAGGCACGAGGAGGTTGCGAGGGGAGGCACGAGGAGGTTGCGAGGGGAGGCACGAGGAGGTTGCGAGGGGAGGCACGAGGAGGTTGCGAGGGGAGGCACGAGGAGGTTGCGAGGGGAGGCACGAGGAGGTTGCGAGGGGAGGCACGAGGAGGTTGCGAGGGGAGGCACGAGGAGGTTGCGAGGGGAGGCACGAGGAGGTTGCGAGGGGAGGCACGAGGAGGTTGCGAGGGGAGGCACGAGGAGGTTGCGAGGGGAGGCACGAGGAGGTTGCGAGGGGAGGCACGAGGAGGTTGCGAGGGGAGGCACGAGAGGTTGCGAGGGGAGGCACGAGGAGGTTGCGAGGGGAGGCACGAGGAGGTTGCGAGGGGAGGCACGAGGAGGTTGCGAGGGGAGGCACGAGGAGGTTGCGAGGGGAGGCCACGAGGAGGTTGCGAGGGGAGGCACGAGGAGGTTGCGAGGGGAGGCACGAGGAGGTTGCGAGGGGAGGCACGAGGAGGTTGCGAGGGGAGGCACGAGGAGTTGCGAGGGGAGGCACGAGGATGTTGCGAGGGAGGCACGATGGACGGTTGCGAGGGGAGGCACGAGGAGGTTGCGAGGGGAGGCACGAGGAGGTTGCGAGGGGAGGCACGAGAGAGGTTGCGAGGGGAGGCACGAGGAGGTTGCGAGGGGAGGCACGAGGAGGTTGCGAGGGGAGGCACGAGGAGGTTGCGAGGGGGAGGCACGAGGAGGTTGCGAGGGAGGCACGAGGAGGTTGCGAGGGAGGCACGAGGAGGTTGCGAGGGAGGCACCCGAGGAGGTTGCGAGGGGAGGCACGAGGAGGTTGCGAGGGGAGGCACGAGGAGGTTGCGAGGGAGGCACGAGGAGGTTGCGAGGGGAGGCACGAGGAGGTTGCGAGGGGAGGCACGAGGAGGTTGCGAGGGGAGGCACGAGGAGGTTGCGAGGGGAGGCACGAGGAGGTTTCGAGGGGAGGCACGAGGATGGTTGCGAGGGAGGCACGAGGAGGGTTGCGAGGGGAGGCACGAGGAGGTTGCGAGGGGAGGCACGAGGAGGGTGCGAGTGGAGGCACGAGGAGGTTGCGAGGGGAGGCACGAGGAGGTTGCGAGGGGAGGCACGAGGAGGTTGCGAGGGGAGGCACGAGGAGGTTGCGAGGGGAGGCACGAGGAGGTTGCGAGGGGAGGCACGAGGAGGTTGCGGGGGAGGCACGAGGAGGTTGCGAGGGGAGGCACGAGGAGGTTGCGAGGGGAGGCACGAGGAGGTTGCGAGGGGAGGCACGAGGAGGTTGCGAGGGGAGGCACGAGGAGGTTGCGAGGGGAGGCACGCGGAGGTTGCGAGGGGAGGCACGAGGAGGTTGCGAGGGGAGGCACGAGGAGGTTGCGAGGGGAGGCACGAGGAGGTTGCGAGGGGAGGCACGAGGAGGTTGCGAGGGGAGGCACGAGGAGGTTGCGAGGGAGGCACGAGGAGGTTGCGAGGGAGGCACGAGGAGGTTGCGAGGGGAGGCACGAGGAGGTTGCGAGGGGGAGGCACGAGGAGGTTGCGAGGGGAGGCACGAGGAGGTTGCGAGGGGAGGCACGAGGAGGTTGCGAGGGGAGGCACGAGGAGGTTGCGAGGGGAGGCACGAGGAGGTTGCGAGGGGAGGCACGAGGAGGTTGCGAGGGGAGGCACGAGGAGGTTGCGAGGGGAGGCCACGAGGAGGTTGCGAGGGGAGGCACGAGGAGGTTGCGAGGGGAGGCACGAGGAGGTTGCGAGGGGAGGCACGAGGAGGTTGCGAGGGGAGGCACGAGGAGGTTGCGAGGGGAGGCACGAGGAGGTTGCGAGGGGCACGAGGAGGTTGCGAGGGAGGCACGAGGAGGTTGCGAGGGGAGGCACGAGGAGGTTGCGAGGGGAGGCACGAGACCAGGAGGTTGCGAGGGGAGGCACGAGGAGGTTGCGAGGGGAGGCACGAGGAGGTTGCGAGGGGAGGCACGAGGAGGTTGCGAGGGGAGGCACGAGGAGGGTTGCGAGGGGAGGCACGAGGAGGTTGCGAGGGAGGCACGAGGAGGTTGCGAGGGGAGGCACGAGGAGGTTGCGAGGGGAGGCACGAGGAGGTTGCGAGGGGAGGCACGAGGAGGTTGCGAGGGGAGGCACGAGGAGGCACGAGGAGGTTGCGAGGGGAGGCACGAGGAGGTTGCGAGGGGAGGCACGAGGAGGTTGCGAGGGGAGGCACGAGGAGGTTGCGAGGGGAGGCACGAGGAGGTTGCGAGGGGAGGCACGAGGAGGTTGCGAGGGGAGGCACGAGGAGGTTGCGAGGGGAGGCACGAGGAGGTTGCGAGGGGAGGCACGAGGAGGTTGCGAGGGGAGGCACGAGGAGGTTGCGAGGGGAGGCACGAGGAGGTTGCGAGGGGAGGCACGAGGAGGTTGCGAGGGGAGGCACGAGGAGGTTGCGAGGGGAGGCACGAGGAGGTTGCGAGGGGAGGCACGAGGAGGTTGCGAGGGGAGGCACGAGGAGGTTGCGAGGGGAGGCACGAGGAGGTTGCGAGGGGAGGCACGAGGAGGTTGCGAGGGGAGGCACGAGGAGGTTGCGAGGGGAGGCACGAGGAGGTTGCGAGGGGAGGCACGAGGAGGTTGCGAGGGGAGGCACGAGGAGGTTGCGAGGGGAGGCACGAGGAGGTTGCGAGGGGAGGCACGAGGAGGTTGCGAGGGGAGGCACGAGGAGGTTGCGAGGGGAGGCACGAGGAGGTTGCGAGGGGAGGCACGAGGAGGTTGCGAGGGGAGGCACGAGGAGGTTGCGAGGGGAGGCACGAGGAGGTTGCGAGGGGAGGCACGAGGAGGTTGCGAGGGGAGGCACGAGGAGGTTGCGAGGGGAGGCACGAGGAGGTTGCGAGGGGAGGCACGAGGAGGTTGCGAGGGGAGGCACGAGGAGGTTGCGAGGGGAGGCACGAGGAGGTTGCGAGGGGAGGCACGAGGAGGTTGCGAGGGGAGGCACGAGGAGGTTGCGAGGGGAGGCACGAGGAGGTTGCGAGGGGAGGCACGAGGAGGTTGCGAGGGGAGGCACGAGGAGGTTGCGAGGGGAGGCACGAGGAGGTTGCGAGGGGAGGCACGAGGAGGTTGCGAGGGGAGGCACGAGGAGGTTGCGAGGGGAGGCACGAGGAGGTTGCGAGGGGAGCACGAGGAGGTTGCGAGGGGAGGCACGAGGAGGTTGCGAGGGGAGGCACGAGGAGGTTGCGAGGGGAGGCACGAGGAGGTTGCGAGGGGAGGCACGAGGAGGTTGCGAGGGGAGGCACGAGGAGGTTGCGAGGGGAGGCACGAGGAGGTTGCGAGGGAGGCACGAGGAGGTTGCGAGGGGAGGCACGAGGAGGTTTGCGAGGGGAGGCACGAGGAGGTTGCGAGGGGAGGCACGAGGAGGTTGCGAGGGGAGGCACGAGGAGGTGCGAGGGGAGGCACGAGGAGGTTGCGAGGGGAGGCACGGAGGAGGTTGCGAGGGGAGGCACGAGGAGGTTGCGAGGGGAGGCACGAGGAGGTTGCGAGGGGAGGCACGAGGAGGTTGCGAGGGGAGGCACGAGGAGGTTGCGAGGGGAGCACGAGGAGGTTGCGGAGAGCCTAGGAGTTGCATGGAGGCACGAGGAGGTTGCGAGGGGAGGCACGAGGAGGTGCGAGGGGAGGCACGAGGAGGTTGCGAGGGAGGCACGAGGAGGTTGCGAGGGGAGGCACGAGGAGGTTGCGAGGGGAGGCACGAGGAGGTTGCGAGGGAGTCACGAGGAGGTTGCGAGGGGAGGCACGAGGAGGTTGCGAGGGGAGGCACGAGGAGGTTGCGAGGGGAGGCACGAGGAGGTTGCGAGGGGAGGCACGAGGAGGTTGCGAGGGGAGGCACGAGGAGGTTGCGAGGGGAGGCACGAGGAGGTTGCGAGGGGAGGCACGAGGAGGTTGCGAGGGGAGGCACGAGGAGGTTGCGAGGGGAGGCACGAGGAGGTTGCGAGGGGAGGCACGAGGAGGTTGCGAGGGGAGGCACGAGGAGGTTGCGAGGGGAGGCACGAGGAGGTTGCGAGGGGAGGCACGAGGAGGTTGCGAGGGGAGGCACGAGGAGGTTGCGAGGGGAGGCACGAGGAGGTTGCGAGGGGAGGCACGAGGAGGTTGCGAGGGGAGGCACGAGGAGGTTGCGAGGGGAGGCACGAGGAGGTTGCGAGGGGAGGCACGAGGAGGTTGCGAGGGGAGGCACGAGGAGGTTGCGAGGGGAGGCACGAGGAGGTTGCGAGGGGAGGCACGAGGAGGTTGCGAGGGGAGGCACGAGGAGGTTGCGAGGGGAGGCACGAGGAGGTTTGCGAGGGGAGGCACGAGGAGGTTGCGAGGGGAGGCACGAGGAGGTTGCGAGGGGAGGCACGAGGAGGTTGCGAGGGGAGGCACGAGGAGGTTGCGAGGGGAGGCACGAGGAGGTTGCGAGGGGAGGCACGAGGAGGTTGCGAGGGGAGGCACGAGGAGGTGCAGGGGAGGCACGAGGAGGGTTGCGAGGGGAGGCACGAGGAGGTTGCGAGGGGAGGCACGAGGAGGTTGCGAGGGGAGGCACGAGGAGTGTTGCGAGGGGAGGCACGAGGAGGTTGCGAGGGGAGGCACGAGGAGGTTGCGAGGGGAGGCACGAGGAGGTTGCGAGGGGAGGCACGAGGAGGTTGCGAGGGGAGGCACGAGGAGGTTGCGAGGGGAGGCACGAGGAGGTTGCGAGGGGAGGCACGAGGAGGTTGCGAGGGGAGGCACGAGGAGGTTGCGAGGGGAGGCACGAGGAGGTTGCGAGGGGAGGCACGAGGGAGGTTGCGAGGGGAGGCACGAGGAGGTTGCGAGGGGAGGCACGAGGAGGTTTGCGAGGGGAGGCACGAGGAGGTTGCGAGGGAGGCACGAGGAGGTTGCGAGGGGAGGCACGAGGAGGTTGCGAGGGGAGGCACGAGGAGGTTGCGAGGGGAGGCACGAGGAGGTTGCGAGGGGAGGCACGAGGAGGTTGCGAGGGGAGGCACGAGGAGGTTGCGAGGGGAGGCACGAGGAGGTTGCGAGGGGAGGCACGAGGAGGTTGCGAGGGGAGGCACGAGGAGGTTGCGAGGGGAGGCACGAGGAGGTTGCGAGGGGAGGCACGAGGAGGTTGCGAGGGGAGGCACAGAGGGGTTGCGAGGGGAGGCACGAGGAGGTTGCGAGGGGAGGCACGAGGAGGTTGCGAGGGGAGGCACGAGGAGGTTGCGAGGGGAGGCACGAGGAGGTTGCGAGGGGAGGCACGAGGAGGTTGCGAGGGGAGGCACGAGGAGGTTGCGAGGGGAGGCACGAGGAGGTTGCGAGGGGAGGCACGAGGAGGTTGCGAGGGGAGGCACGAGGAGGTTGCGAGGGGAGGCCACGAGGAGGTTGCGAGGGGAGGCACGAGGAGGTTGCGAGGGGAGGCACGAGGAGGTTGCGAGGGGAGGCACGAGGAGGTTGCGAGGGGAGGCACGAGGAGGTTGCGAGGGGAGGCACGGAGGTGCTAGGAGGCACGAGAGGTTGCGAGGGGAGGCACGAGGAGGTTGCGAGGGGAGGCACGAGGAGGTTGCGAGGGGAGGCACGAGGAGGTTGCGAGGGGAGGCACGAGGAGGTTGCGAGGGGAGGCACGAGGAGGTTGCGAGGGGAGGCACGAGGAGGTGCGAGGGGAGCGAGGAGGTTGCGAGGGGAGGCACGAGGAGGTTGCGAGGGGAGGCACGAGGAGGTTGCGAGGGGAGGCACGAGGAGGTTGCGAGGGGAGGCACGAGGAGGTTGCGAGGGGAGGCACGAGGAGGTTGCGAGGGGAGGGCACGAGGAGGTTGCGAGGGGAGGCACGAGGAGGTTGCGAGGGGAGGCACGAGGAGTTGCGAGGGGAGGCACGAGGAGGTTGCGAGGGGAGGCACGAGGAGGTTGCGAGGGGAGGCACGAGGAGGTGCGAGGGGAGGCCACGAGGAGGTTGCGAGGGGAGGCACGAGGAGGTTGCGAGGGGAGGCACGAGGAGGTTGCGAGGGGAGGCACGAGGCGGTTGCGAGGGGAGGCACGAGGAGGTTGCGAGGGGAGGCACGAGGAGGTTGCGCAGGGGAGGCACGAGAGGTTGCGAGGGGAGGCACGAGGAGGTTGCGAGGGGAAGGCACGAGGAGGTTGCGAGGGGAGGCACGAGGAGGTTGCGAGGGGAGGCACGAGGAGGTTGCGAGGGGAGGCACGAGGAGGTTGCGAGGGGAGGCACGAGGAGGTTGCGAGGGGAGGCACGAGGAGGGTTGCGAGGGGAGGCACGAGAGGTTGCGAGGGGAGGCACGAGGAGGTTGCGAGGGGAGGCACGAGGAGGTTGCGAGGGGAGGCACGAGGAGGTTGCGAGGGGAGGCACGAGGAGGTTTGCGAGGGGAGGCACGAGGAGGTTGCGAGGGGAGGCACGAGGAGGTTTGCGAGGGGAGGCACGAGCGAGGAGGTTGCGAGGGGAGGCACGAGGAGGTTGCGAGGGGAGGCACGAGGAGGTTGCGAGGGGAGGCACGAGGAGGTTGCGAGGGGAGGCACGAGGAGGTTGCGAGGGGAGGCACGAGGAGGTTGCGAGGGGAGGCACGAGGAGGTTGCGAGGGGAGGCACGAGGAGGTTGCGAGGGGAGGCACGAGGAGGTTGCGAGGGGAGGCACGAGGAGGTTGCGAGGGGAGGCACGAGGAGGTTGCGAGGGGAGGCACGAGGAGGTTGCGAGGGGAGGCACGAGGAGGTTGCGAGGGGAGGCACGAGGAGGTTGCGAGGGGAGGCACGAGGAGGTTGCGAGGGGAGGCACGAGGAGGTTGCGAGGGGAGGCACGAGGAGGTTGCTGAGGGGAGGCACGAGGAGGTTGCGAGGGGAGGCACGAGGAGGTTGCGAGGGGAGGCACGAGGAGGTTGCGAGGGGAGGCACGAGGAGGTTGCGATCAAGTGAGGTTGGAGGGAGGCACGAGGAGGTTTGCGAGGGGAGGCACGAGGAGGTTGCGAGGGGAGGCACGAGGAGGTTGCGAGGGGAGGCACGAGGAGGTTGCGAGGGGAGGCACGAGGAGGTTGCGAGGGAGGCACGAGGAGGTTGCGAGGGGAGGCACGAGGAGGTTGCGAGGGGAGGCACGAGGAGGTTGCGAGGGGAGGCACGAGGAGGTTGCGAGGGGAGGCACGAGGAGGTTGCGAGGGGAGGCACGAGGAGGTTGCGAGGGGGAGGCACGAGGAGGTTGCGAGGGGAGGCACGAGGAGGTTGCGAGGGGAGGCACGAGGAGGTTGCGAGGGGAGGCACGAGGAGGTTGCGAGGGGAGGCACGAGGAGGTTGCGAGGGGAGGCACGAGGAGGTTGCGAGGGGAGGCACGAGGAGGTTGCGAGGGGAGGCACGAGGAGGTTGCGAGGGGAGGCACGAGAGGTTGCGAGGGGAGGCACGAGGAGGTTGCGAGGGGAGGCACGAGGAGGTTGCGAGGGGAGGTTGCGAGGGGAGGGCACGAGGGGAGGTTGCGAGGGGAGGCACGAGGAGGTGCGAGGGGAGGCACGAGGAGGTTGCGAGGGGAGGCACGAGGAGGTTGCGAGGGGAGGCACGAGGAGGTTGCGAGGGGAGGCTACGAGGAGGTTGCGAGGGGAGGACGAGGAGGTTGCGAGGGGAGGCACGAGGAGGTTGCGAGGGGGAGGCACGAGGAGGTTGCGAGGGGAGGCACGAGGAGGTTGCGAGGGGAGGCACGAGGAGGTTGCGAGGGGAGGCACGAGGAGGTTGCGAGGGGAGCACGAGGAGGTGTGCGAGGGGAGGCACGAGGAGTTGCGAGGGGAGGCACGAGGAGGTTGCGAGGGGAGGCACGAGGAGGTTGCGAGGGAGGCACGAGGATGGAGGTTGCGACGGGGAGGCACGAGGAGGTTGCGAGGGGAGGCACGAGGAGGTTGCGAGGGGAGGCACGAGGAGGTTGGCGAGGGGAGGCTCACGAGGAGGTTGCGAGGGAGGGCACGAGGAGGTTGCGAGGGGAGGCACGAGGAGGTTGCGAGGGGAGGCACGAGGAGGTTGCGAGGGGAGGCACGAGGAGGTTGCGAGGGGAGGCACGAGGAGGTTGCGAGGGGAGGCACGAGGAGGTTGCGAGGGGAGGCACGAGGAGGTTGCGAGGGGAGGCACGAGGAGGTTGCGAGGGAGGCACGAGGAGGTTGCGAGGGGAGGCACGAGGAGGTTGCGAGGGGAGGCACGAGGAGGTTGCGAGGGGAGGCACGAGGAGGTTGCGAGGGGAGGCACGAGGAGGTTGCAGGGGAGGCACGAGGAGTTGCGAGGGGAGGCACGAGGAGGTTGCGAGGGGAGGCACGAGGAGGTTGCGAGGGGAGGCACGAGGAGGTTGCGAGGGGAGGCACGAGGAGGTTGCGAGGGGAGGCACGAGGAGGTTGCGAGGGGAGGCACGAGGAGGTTGCGAGGGGAGGCACGAGGAGGTTGCGAGGGGAGGCACGAGGAGGTGCGAGGGAGGCACGAGGAGGTTCGAGGAGGCACGAGGAGGTTGCGAGGGGAGGCACGAGGAGGTTGCGAGGGGAGGCACGAGGAGGTTGCGAGGGAGGCACGAGGAGGTTGCGAGGGGAGGCACGAGGAGGTTGCGAGGGGAGGCACGGGAGGTTGCGAGGGGGAGGCACGAGGAGGTTGCGAGGGGAGGCACGAGGAGGTTGCGAGGGGAGGCACGAGGAGGTTGCGAGGGGAGGCACGAGGAGGTTGCGAGGGGAGGCCGAGGAGGTTGCGAGGGGAGGCACGAGGAGGTTGCGAGGGAGGCACGAGGAGGTTGCGAGGGGAGGCACGAGGAGGTTGCGAGGGGAGGCACGAGGAGGTGCGAGGGGAGGCACGAGGAGGTTGCGAGGGGAGGCACGAGGAGGTTGCGAGGGGAGGCACGAGGAGGTTGCGAGGGGAGGCACGAGGAGGTTGCGAGGGAGGCACGAGGAGGTTGCGAGGGGAGGCACGAGGAGGTTGCGAGGGAGGCACGAGGAGTTGCGAGGGGAGGCACGAGGAGGTTGCGAGGGGAGGCACGAGGAGGTTTGCGAGGGGAGGCACGAGGAGGTTGCGAGGGGAGGCACGAGGAGGTTGCGAGGGGAGGCACGAGGAGGTTGCGAGGGGAGGCACGAGGAGGTTGCGAGGGGAGGCACGAGGAGGTTGCGAGGGGAGGCACGAGGAGGTTGCGAGGGGAGGCACGAGGAGGTTGCGAGGGGAGGCACGAGGAGGTTGCGAGGGGAGGCACGAGGAGGTTGCGAGGGGAGGCACGAGGAGGTTGCGAGGGGAGGCACGAGGAGGTTGCGAGGGGAGGCAGGAGGTTGCGAGGGAGCACGAGGAGGTTGCGAGGGGAGGCACGAGGAGGTTGCGAGGGGAGGCACGAGGAGGTTGCGAGGGGAGGCACGAGGAGGTTGCGAGGGGAGGCACGAGGAGGTTGCGAGGGGAGGCACGAGGAGGTTGCGAGGGGAGGCACGAGGAGGTTGCGAGGGGAGGCACGAGGAGGTTGCGAGGGGAGGCACGAGGAGGTTGCGAGGGGAGGCACGAGGAGGTTGCGAGGGGAGGCACGAGGAGGTTGCGAGGGGAGGCACGAGGAGGTTGCGAGGGGAGGCACGAGGAGGTTGCGAGGGGAGGCACGAGGAGGTTGCGAGGGGAGGCACGAGGAGGTTGCGAGGGGAGGCACGAGGAGGTTGCGAGGGGAGGCACGAGGAGGTTGCGAGGGGAGGCACGAGGAGGTTGCGAGGGGAGGCACGAGGAGGTTGCGAGGGGAGGCACGAGGAGGTTGCGAGGGGAGGCACGAGGAGGTTGCGAGGGGAGGCACGAGGAGGTTGCGAGGGGAGGCACGAGGAGGTTGCGAGGGGAGGCACGAGGAGGTTGCGAGGGGAGGCACGAGGAGGTTGCGAGGGGAGGCACGAGGAGGTTGCGAGGGGAGGCACGAGGAGGTTGCGAGGGGAGGCACGAGGAGGTTGCGAGGGGAGGCACGAGGAGGTTGCGAGGGGAGGCACGAGGAGGTTGCGAGGGGAGGCACGAGGAGGTTGCGAGGGGAGGCACGAGGAGGTTGCGAGGGGAGGCACGAGGAGGTTGCGAGGGGAGGCACGAGGAGGTTGCGAGGGGAGGCACGAGGAGGTTGCGAGGGGAGGCACGAGGAGGTTGCGAGGGGAGGCACGAGGAGGTTGCGAGGGGAGGCACGAGGAGGTTGCGAGGGGAGGCACGAGGAGGTTGCGAGGGGAGGCACGAGGAGGTTGCGAGGGGAGGCACGAGGAGGTTGCGAGGGGAGGCACGAGGAGGTTGCGAGGGGAGGCACGAGGAGGTTGCGAGGGGAGGCACGAGGAGGTTGCGAGGGGAGGCACGAGGAGGTTGCGAGGGGAGGCACGAGGAGGTTGCGAGGGGAGGCACGAGGAGGTTGCGAGGGGAGGCACGAGGAAGGTTGCGAGGGGAGGCACGAGGAGTTGCGAGGGGAGCACGAGGAGGTTGCGAGGGGAGGCACGAGGAGGTTGCGAGGGGAGGCACGAGGAGGTTGCGAGGGGAGGCACGAGGAGGTTGCGAGGGGAGGCACGAGGAGGTTGCGAGGGGAGGCACGAGGAGGTTGCGAGGGGAGGCACGAGGAGGTTGCGAGGGGGAGGCACGAGGAGGTTGCGAGGGGAGGCCGAGGAGGTTGCGAGGGGAGGCACGAGGAGGTTGCGAGGGGAGGCACGAGGAGGTTGCGAGGGGAGGCACGAGGAGGTTGCGAGGGGAGGCACGAGGAGGTTGCGAGGGGAGGCAGGAGGAGGTTGCGAGGGGAGGCACGAGGAGGTTGCGAGGGGAGGCACGAGGAGGTTTGCGAGGGGAGGCACGAGGAGGTTGCGAGGGGAGGCACGAGGAGGTTGCGAGGGGAGGCACGAGGAGGTTGCGAGGGGAGGCACGAGGAGGTTGCGAGGGGAGGCACGAGGAGGTTGCGGAGGGGAGGCACGAGGAGGTTGCGAGGGGAGGCACGAGGAGGTTGCGAGGGGAGGCACGAGGAGGTTGCGAGGGGAGGCACGAGGAGGTTGCGAGGGGAGGCACGAGGAGGTTGCGAGGGGAGGCACGAGGAGGTTGCGAGGGGAGGCACGAGGAGGTTGCGAGGGGAGGCACGAGGAGGTTGCGAGGGGAGGCACGAGGAGGTTGCGAGGGAGGCACGAGGAGGTTGCGAGGGGAGGCACGAGGAGGTTGCGAGGGGAGGCACGAGGAGGTTGCGAGGGGAGGCACGAGGAGGTTGCGAGGGGAGGCACGAGGAGGTTGCGAGGGGAGGCACGAGGAGGTTGCGAGGGGAGGCACGAGGAGGTTGCGAGGGGAGGCACGAGGAGGTTGCGAGGGGAGGCACGAGGAGGTTGCGAGGGGAGGCACGAGGAGGTTGCGAGGGAGACGAGGGGAGGCACGAGGAGGTTGCGAGGGGAGGCACGAGGAGGTTGCGAGGGGAGGCACGAGGAGGTTGCGAGGGGAGGCACGAGGAGGTTGCGAGGGGAGGCACGAGGAGGTTGCGAGGGGAGGCACGAGGAGGTTGCGAGGGGAGGCACGAGGAGGTTGCGAGGGGAGGCACGAGGAGGTTGCGAGGGGAGGCACGAGGAGGTTGCGAGGGGAGGCACGAGGAGGTTGCGAGGGGAGGCACGAGGAGGTTGCGAGGGGAGGCACGAGGAGGTTGCGAGGGGAGGCACGAGGAGGTTGCGAGGGGAGGCACGAGGAGGTTGCGAGGGGAGGCACGAGGAGGTTGCGAGGGGAGGCACGAGGAGGTTGCGAGGGGAGGCACGAGGAGGTTGCGAGGGGAGGCACGAGGAGGTTGCGAGGGGAGGCACGAGGAGGTTGCGAGGGGAGGCACGAGGAGGTTGCGAGGGGAGGCACGAGGAGGTTGCGAGGGGAGGCACGAGGAGGTTGCGAGGGGAGGCACGAGGAGGTTGCGAGGGGAGGCACGAGGAGGTTGCGAGGGGAGGCACGAGGAGGTTGCGAGGGGAGGCACGAGGAGGTTGCGAGGGGAGGCACGAGGAGGTTGCGAGGGGAGGCACGAGGAGGTTGCGAGGGGAGGCACGAGGAGGTTGCGAGGGGAGGCACGAGGAGGTTGCGAGGGAGGCACGAGGGAGGTTGCGAGGGGAGGCACGAGGAGGTTGCGAGGGGAGGCACGAGGAGGTTGCGAGGGGAGGCACGAGGAGGTTGCGAGGGGAGGCACGAGGAGGTTGCGAGGGGAGGCACGAGGAGGTTGCGAGGGGAGGCACGAGGAGGTTGCGAGGGGAGGCACGAGGAGGTTGCGAGGGGAGGCACGAGGAGGTTGCGAGGGGAGGCACGAGGAGGTTGCGAGGGGAGGCACGAGGAGGTTGCGAGGGGAGGCACGAGGAGGTTGCGAGGGGAGGCACGAGGAGGTTGCGAGGGGAGGCACGAGGAGGTTGCGAGGGGAGGCACGAGGAGGTTGCGAGGGGAGGCACGAGGAGGTTGCGAGGGGAGGCACGAGGAGGTTGCGAGGGGAGGCACGAGGAGGTTGCGAGGGGAGGCACGAGGAGGTTGCGAGGGGAGGCACGAGGAGGTTGCGAGGGAGGCACGAGGAGGTTGCGAGGGGAGGCACGAGGAGGTTGCGAGGGGAGGCACGAGGAGGTTGCGAGGGGAGGCACGAGGAGGTTGCGAGGGGAGGCACGAGGAGGTTGCGAGGGGAGGCACGAGGAGGTTGCGAGGGGAGGCACGAGGAGGTTGCGAGGGGAGGCACGAGGAGGTTGCGAGGGGAGGCACGAGGAGGTTGCGAGGGGAGGCACGAGGAGGTTGCGAGGGGAGGCACGAGGAGGTTGCGAGGGGAGGCACGAGGAGGTTGCGAGGGGAGGCACGAGGAGGTTGCGAGGGGAGGCACGAGGAGGTTGCGAGGGGAGGCACGAGGAGGTTGCGAGGGGAGGCACGAGGAGGTTGCGAGGGGAGGCACGAGGAGGTTGCGAGGGGAGGCACGAGGAGGTTGCGAGGGGAGGCACGAGGAGGTTGCGAGGGGAGGCACGAGGAGGTTGCGAGGGGAGGCACGAGGAGGTTGCGAGGGAGGCACGAGGGGAGGCACGAGGAGGTTGCGAGGGGAGGCACGAGGAGTGGAGGGGCACGAGGAGGTTGCGAGGGGAGGCACGAGGAGGTTGCGAGGGGAGGCACGAGGAGGTTGCGAGGGGAGGCACGAGGAGGTTGCGAGGGGAGGCACGAGGAGGTTGCGAGGGGAGGCACGAGGAGGTTGCGAGGGGAGGCACGAGGAGGTTGCGAGGGGAGGCACGAGGAGGTTGCGAGGGGAGGCACGAGGAGGTTGCGAGGGGAGGCACGAGGAGGTTGCGAGGGGAGGCACGAGGAGGTTGCGAGGGGAGGCACGAGGAGGTTGCGAGGGGAGGCACGAGGAGGTTGCGAGGGGAGGCACGAGGAGGTTGCGAGGGGAGGCACGAGGAGGTTGCGAGGGGAGGCACGAGGAGGTTGCGAGGGGAGGCACGAGGAGGTTGCGAGGGGAGGCACGAGGAGGTTGCGAGGGGAGGCACGAGGAGGTTGCGAGGGGAGGCACGAGGAGGTTGCGAGGGGAGGCACGAGGAGGTTGCGAGGGGAGGCACGAGGAGGTTGCGAGGGGAGGCACGAGGAGGTTGCGAGGGGAGGCACGAGGAGGTTGCGAGGGGAGGCACGAGGAGGTTGCGAGGGGAGGCACGAGGAGGTTGCGAGGGGAGGCACGAGGAGGTTGCGAGGGGAGGCACGAGGAGGTTGCGAGGGGAGGCACGAGGAGGTTGCGAGGGGAGGCACGAGGAGGTTGCGAGGGGAGGCACGAGGAGGTTGCGAGGGGAGGCACGAGGAGGTTGCGAGGGGAGGCACGAGGAGGTTGCGAGGGGAGGCACGAGGAGGTTGCGAGGGGAGGCACGAGGAGGTTGCGAGGGGAGGCACGAGGAGGTTGCGAGGGGAGGCACGAGGAGGTTGCGAGGGGAGGCACGAGGAGGTTGCGAGGGAGGCACGAGGAGGTTGCGAGGGGAGGCACGAGGAGGTTGCGAGGGGAGGCACGAGGAGGTTGCGAGGGGAGGCACGAGGAGGTTGCGAGGGGAGGCACGAGGAGGTTGCGAGGGGAGGCACGAGGAGGTTGCGAGGGGAGGCACGAGGAGGTTGCGAGGGGAGGCACGAGGAGGTTGCGAGGGGAGGCACGAGGAGGTTGCGAGGGGAGGCACGAGGAGGTTGCGAGGGGAGGCACGAGGAGGTTGCGAGGGGAGGCACGAGGAGGTTGCGAGGGGAGGCACGAGGAGGTTGCGAGGGGAGGCACGAGGAGGTTGCGAGGGGAGGCACGAGGAGGTTGCGAGGGGAGGCACGAGGAGGTTGCGAGGGGAGGCACGAGGAGGTTGCGAGGGGAGGCACGAGGAGGTTGCGAGGGGAGGCACGAGGAGGTTGCGAGGGGAGGCACGAGGAGGTTGCGAGGGGAGGCACGAGGAGGTTGCGAGGGGAGGCACGAGGAGGTTGCGAGGGGAGGCACGAGGAGGTTGCGAGGGGAGGCACGAGGAGGTTGCGAGGGGAGGCACGAGGAGGTTGCGAGGGGAGGCACGAGGAGGTTGCGAGGGGAGGCACGAGGAGGTTGCGAGGGGAGGCACGAGGAGGTTGCGAGGGGAGGCACGAGGAGGTTGCGAGGGGAGGCACGAGGAGGTTGCGAGGGGAGGCACGAGGAGGTTGCGAGGGGAGGCACGAGGAGGTTGCGAGGGGAGGCACGAGGAGGTTGCGAGGGGAGGCACGAGGAGGTTGCGAGGGGAGGCACGAGGAGGTTGCGAGGGGAGGCACGAGGAGGTTGCGAGGGGAGGCACGAGGAGGTTGCGAGGGGAGGCACGAGGAGGTTGCGAGGGGAGGCACGAGGAGGTTGCGAGGGGAGGCACGAGGAGGTTGCGAGGGGAGGCACGAGGAGGTTGCGAGGGGAGGCACGAGGAGGTTGCGAGGGGAGGCACGAGGAGGTTGCGAGGGGAGGCACGAGGAGGTTGCGAGGGGAGGCACGAGGAGGTTGCGAGGGGAGGCACGAGGAGGTTGCGAGGGGAGGCACGAGGAGGTTGCGAGGGGAGGCACGAGGAGGTTGCGAGGGGAGGCACGAGGAGGTTGCGAGGATATACATCATGTTGCCTACCGACTCAGTTCTTACCGTTTCGTGTGACGACGCCCGTCTACGATTGCAATGCCCGCGTGAATTGTATAGGTACCACTAGTACGGAAAGGCGTCTCGTTGCCTACATCCCTAACACTCGAGCTCGAAGTAGCGTACTCTGAACATGGACCCTTCAATGTACACACGCATCGTGGCATTCGCTATTAGTAGCAGCAGTGCTAAGACTACAATAGAAGGGACCGGATAACAAAGACACCCAGATTGGCCGAGTATAGTATTGTGGCTGGTTAGAATCTGCGCATCGAGCCGTCAAATCTGCCGATTATGGCGCTTCCTAAACCGTAAGCGCCAAGTGGAGCATTTACTTTTGAACGTTACACCTGAAGAGATTGACAGGGTCATCTGCGTTGCACACTCGATAAGATACGCAGTATTGTACGCTTCATAAGCTTTATTTCACGTGCTTGTCAGGCATTCCTTGCTGCTACAAACAGGACGAAGGCCAGGACGTTTGGTGATGTTCGGGCTAGTCCCAAGGTCAGGTGGGTAACTTCAACGAAGAGAATACGTGTCCTTCGCACGCGCTTGTCGCCGGAATGATCCGAACAAAAACGAACGTGTTCAAAATGAGGGTCATTTAAGGCAAACGAGAACGAAACGAAACGCAGCTGAAGCTGATTTCAAGGTGCTCAGTAAATCGTACTACAGCCTCGAGAATGCCGCGAGCTGTCCTTGTTGCGCATAGAATATAAATTCACATGTTCGCCGGACACGAACCAGGGGAATTTGTCGGACTAGGAGAAGCATAGAAATACACCCTGGGGTCAAACCTAGAAGCCAACCCATGCTTCTAATTTTGATGCAAGGCATTGTGTTTGATTGATTCATGCTGTGATCTGTGCAATGAGGTTAGTGGTGGTCCTGCGAACTGCATGTTCTAAAGACGTCCCGAAGGCGAATCAGGAAGCTTACGAAGATAGCGGCACGCGGCGAGCTTACCCTACCCCATTATACATCACAGCATAAGGCTCTCGAGGGAGCTGACTTGATGAGGGTCTAGTAGTGTGTCTCGCAGTATAAGTGGTATCTTAGGGGGGTACTTGTCAGGGATAGCAAGAGCACCTCGAAGCGCGGAGTGCTTTCGCGCTGATTCCGCCGTTATTCACGCTTCTTGCCTCCGTTCGTGACTGCGTGCGTGTTCTAGTATTCCCCGACGGCTCTTTAGGCGTTCGCGTCGAATCTCCCTCGTTTCGCATATCCGCGGTATCGCCATGTCCGCGATTTCGCTACAAGCCTTCCGGCCAACCGCCGAGAAGGTGTATCACGTGGACGTGCACCCCACGCTGCCGTGGATCGTCTCATCGGACGGCCATGACAACGTCGTCGTGTGGGATTGGGAACACCGTCAGGTGCGTTCTTTACCCCCTAGATTGAGAGTAAGTTCGTGGCGTACCACGTGACGTGCACCCGCCGCCGCCGCTGCTGAGGTGAATTTATTATAGCCATCCAATTTCAACTCAATGGCACTGGTGGCTGTGGCAGGTGCTGTACGAGGTGAATGCGGGCGGGGTGGACGAGCGGCGCCTGGTGGACGCCCAATTACAGCGCATCGCCGACGGGGAGGAGCGTGAGTGCCTTCATTCCTAGAGTGCCCTGCCCTCAGATTGTTGATGATGGCAGGCGCGTGAGAGCTGGGGAGGAGCGTGAGTGGGCTAGTCGTTCAAGTGCCCTCGTGCTCTCAGAGGTGAATGCGTGCGGGGTGGACGAGCGGTGTCTGGTGCCCAGCTGCAGCGCATCACCGATGGTGGGAGGAGCGTGAGTGGATTTCTTCTTAGGGAACCCTGAGATCAGAGTGTTGTTGCCTGTTGACTGGGGAGTGGTGTGAGCGGGCTGATGGGGAGGAGCGAGATCGGTGCCTTTGCAGCCTTGATCCCTTTTTTCTCTGTGTGACCATTATAGCAAGCAAGTGTTGAGGGAAGTTAGCTAGCACTACGCACGCGTTTCAACTCAGATATGCAGGCAAGCGAGCGAGTGCCATACACTCCTTTCCTTTCATCCGGTTAGTGCGCTGTGCTTTCTCCTTCCCTGCAGATGCCAAGACACGGTCGTCAGCAGTGGGAGCAGAGGCCATTCGAGGAGGAGGGTGAGTGAGTCTACTCTTCGTCTCTCTTCTCTTAAGCTTCGAGAAGAAAGGTCACTCTTTGAGGCTCCTCGAAACTAGGATTCGAGAAGGAAAATCACTCTGATGCTCTGAGCCTAGGGAAGGCTTCAGGGATCAGAATGATTCTCGTACACTCTGAGGTCTTTAGCCTTAGATTCTGATCCTTGACCTCCCTAGGCTCTGTTTGGCGTACTCCCTTAATGGCTGGCTGTGTGCATTCCTCTGCTGCAGCTCATTCTGCTCTGTTCCGCTGCTTCCCTTGCTCCCTTCCATTGTGCGCCACGTGATAAAAGTTGGGTTTTGAGACGTCTCAAAACCCAACTTTCCCTTGCTCCCTTCCATTGTGCTCCACACATTATTACCTTTCCCCTTCAACCAGGCATCGTCATGTGTCGCCTATCCCATATGTCCCTTCACTATTCCCTGCTCCCCCTACCTCTTAATACGCGTCGTTCCCCCCGGTTCCTCATATCCCCTGCTGCACCACCCTACGCACTACATCCCCTATCCCTTGCTCTCTGTTTCCCATGCTTCCCATATCCCACCCCATATTCCCCAATCCCCATCTGCCACCCCCTTAGCGTCAACGGCCACAAGTTCTTTGGCAATGACGTTCGCTTTTTAGGGGAGCCACTGCTCGGACGGCAGTGGTGCGAGCGGCAATAGCAGAATCCCTCATTCTGCATGCACCGTTCCCCTGTCTGCCTCTATAACATCCCCTACCCACCCGCCCGCCCACCCACCCACCCACAGAGTGAAGGACGTTAAGTTCTATGACAACGATGTTCACTTCTGGACAGGAGCCATTGCGCGGGCTGCAGTGGTTCCAGCAGCAGTGGCCGAATCCCCCAGTTGCTTTATCTTACCCCTATTCTGTATCCCCCTCCCCTCTCTCCCCCCTCCCCCTCTAACCCCTCTATCACCCACTCCCCCACTTCCCCAGAGTGAAGGACGTCAAGTTTTATGACGATGATGTTCGCTTTTGGACAGGAGCCATTGCCCGGGCGGCGGTTGCCGAATCCCCCACCGTCACATCTGCCGGCCTGCTCGTGCCGCCCATCGGCGCCGCCCCGTCCGCGGTGCGCGGGCGGCGGTTCTTGTTTGTATGCTGCGACAACAAGGCGATCGTTGCCGACCTTGTGACGATGAGGACGAAGGACATTCCAAAGCTTCTGCTGGACAACCGCTCTCCGCTTTGGTGAGTTGGGAGGTGATGAGTTTGCGGCGCCTCAAATGACCTTGTGACAATGAGGACGAAGGACATTCCGAAATTGCTGCTGGACAACCGCTCTCCCCTTGGGTGAGTTTACTTTTGAGGCGCCTTTATAGACCTTGTGACAATGAGAACAAAGGACATTCTCAAGCTGCTGCTGGACGATTTCTCTCCGCTTTGGTGAGTTGGGAGGTGATGAGTTTGCGGCGCCTCAAATGACCTTGTGACAATGAGGACGAAGGACATTCCGAAATTGCTGCTGGACAACCGCTCTCCCCTTGGGTGAGTTTACTTTTGAGGCGCCTTTATAGACCTTGTGACAATGAGAACAAAGGACATTCTCAAGCTGCTGCTGGACGATTTCTCTCCGCTTTGGTGAGTTGGGAGGTGATGAGTTTGCGGCGCCTCAAATGACCTTGTGACAATGAGGACGAAGGACATTCCGAAATTGCTGCTGGACAACCGCTCTCCCCTTGGGTGAGTTTACTTTTGAGGCGCCTTTATAGACCTTGTGACAATGAGAACAAAGGACATTCTCAAGCTGCTGCTGGACGATTTCTCTCCTCTTTGGTGAGTTGGGAGGAGTAGTGTGCGCGTTCTCTTGACAGCTCTCAAAGGACATTCCCAGATTGCTGCTTTTCGCTCTCAGCTTTTGGTGGGTAGCTGGCATTGTATGCATTCTCCTGTGAACTAGGTGACTTTTGAGTCGACTCAAAATTCACCGCATTGTACGCATTCTCCTGTGAACTCTGAAAGGGCGCTATGTGACTGACTGCGTCAACTTTTTAAAACCGCCTGCAAACCAATGTCACGCTTTCTTTTCTCCCCCCTCCCTCCTCCTCCTCTCTCTCTGTCCCTCCCTCCCCAGTGTGGAGTTCCTACCTCGCTCCAGTGCACTGAGTGATGGTCCCTTTGTGTGCTTTGGAGGGTCTGATGGAGCCATCTGGGAAGCCGTAGTTCTGTTGAGTGCATCGTGTGAGAGCCATCAGCTTGACAATAGCTTATGCGGCCATTCCCTTCCTCCCCCATCCCCCCCCCAACCCCCCTCCCCCCCTCTTCTCCTCCGCCCCAGTGTGGAGTTTCTACCTCGCTCCAGTGCACTGGGTGACGGTCCCTTTGCGTGCTTCGGAGGACCTGACGGGGCAATTCGCGTGCTCTCTCTTGCGACCTGGCAGGTAAGTGAGCGTGCAGGCAGGCTGGCCGCAGGTGAGTGATCGTTCAGGCAGGTGAGCGTGCAGCAGGCAGGTGAGCGTGCAGCAGGCAGGTGAGCGTGCAGCAGGTAGGAACAGCCTTGTCAAGCAGACAGAGACGTACCTTTCTTACTGCTTGATCGTGTGTCTGCTCCTCTGCCTGCCTCTCTGCATGCATCTCCCTCTGCCTGCCCTCTGTCTACCTCTCTGCACCCACCTCTTTCTTCCCCTCTGACTGCCCCTCTTTCCTCCCCTCTGACTGCCCCTCTGGCTGCCCCTCTGACTGCCCCTCTGACTGCCCCTCTGACTGCCCCTCTCTCTGCCTCTCTGTCTCCCTCTCTGCTTACATGTGTCTGCCAGATATCTCGCAAGTTCACCGGGGGGCACAAGGGAGCGGTGCACTGCCTGCTGCCCTTCATGGCCGGCAATGGGGAGGTGAGAGGCTAAGGGAAGGGAAGGGGGCAGCAGATGGGCTGGCATGCGAGGCACACACATAGGCCTCAAGGGCGCAGTGCCTTTTATGGTTGGCAAGGGGAAGGTGTGTGGTAGAAGTACCATGGTTTTCAATTCCTGTTTCGTCCTCGCCTGCTCCCCCTCCTCAACGTGAGGGCTGGCTGGACTCCCAGGCGAGTGCAGCACGAGAGGTGCCGCTCTCTCTTCACAGTACTTCTTGTATCCACCTTCCATAATCTCCCTCCCTTGCCCCATCCCCCTCTTTTCTACGCCCTTCCAGATGCTGCTACCATCAGGAGGGGCGGATGGAGTGCTGGACATGTGGGGGGCGGATGGAGTGCTGGACATGTGGGGGGCGGACTCCCAAGCCAGCGCATCAAGGGAGGTGGCGCCCAAGCTCACTCTCCCCAAGGCGCATGACGGGGGCGTGGTGGGCATCAGCCTGGCTCTCCCTTTACTACCCTAACCGCTTCCTTTGCTCTCTCCCTCTCTGCCCTCCCTGCTCCCCCATCCGTCACCCTCCCCAGATGCTGCTGGCATCAGGAGGAGCGGATGGCGTATTGGTGATGTGGGGGGCGGACTCGCAGAAGAACACAGCAAGAGAAGAGGCACCCAAGCTCACTCTCTCCAATACTTCCTTTCATGCTCACCGTTCCTTGCCCCATCCCTTCCTTTACTCACCCTTCCAGATGCTGCTCGCATCAGGAGGAGCGGATGGTGCTGTGCTGGTCATGTGGGGGGGGGACTCCCTGGCGAGTGCAGCCAGGGAGGTGGCGCCCACATCACTCTTCCCAAGGCACATGACGGGGGCGTCGTGGGCATCAGCCTGGCTCTCCCTTCACTCCCCGCTCTGCCCTCCCTGTTCTTTCATCCTTCTCTCTCCTCAGATGCTGCTCGTATCAGGAGGAGCGGGCGGGGCCCTGGCCATGTGGGGGGCGGACTCTCAGGCGAGCGCATCAAGGGAAGTGGCGCCCAAGCTCACTCTCCCCAAGGCGCATGACGGGGGCGTGGTGGGCATCAGCCTGGCTCTCCCTTTCCTCCCCAAACCCCTTCCTTGCTCTCTCTCTCTCTTGCTCCCTCTCTCTGCCTCCCCTGCGCTCCCACACTCTCCCCCCAGATGATGCTGGCATCAGGAGGAGCGGACGGGACGCTGGTGATGTGGGGGGCGGACTCCCAAGCAAGCGCAGCAAAGGAAGTGGCGCCCAAGATCACTCTCCCCAAGGCGCACGACGGGGGAGTGGTGGGCATCAGCCTGGCCCGCATCCATGGCGCTGCCCCCCACCTGGTGACGTGCGGCGGTGACAAGGCCGTGGCGTTCTGGGATACCACCATGTTCCGGGTGCGTTATCAGAGTCAGGGTGCGGTACGGTGAAGTGCGGTACGGTGAAGTGCAGTGCACCTTGTGATGTGCAGTGCTGACAAGGCCGTGACACCACCCTGTTCCGGGTGCGTTGGTTGGTGTTAGGATGTCAGGGGTTCAGGATGTATCGAGGTGTGCTCCTTTCTTGTGCTTCTTACTGAGTAGGCTGTCCGGGGAGCACACAGAGATGCAATTCTCTCCCTTGCTTCGCCATTCCCAAGGCTGATATACCCCCGTATTGGAGTTGCGATTCATTCACTGCTTATTTTCTGCCCTTTCCCCCTTCATCTCTTGCCTCACTGTGCCTCGCCTTGCCTTTCCTTGTGTCTAATCTTTGCAGGAGGTGCGGCGGATGAAGCACGCCATTCCCCTCCCTCCTGCACGCCATTCCCCTCCCTCCTGCACGCCATTCCCAAGGCCGACTGCAACACTTGACTTGGCTGCACTCACCACTTACCATCTGCCTTTTCCCCTCCCTTCCCGGTCCATCTCTTGCCTTGCCTCGTCGTGTCTTGTTTACTATCTGATGCAGGAGGTTTGCCAGATGAAGCATGCCATTCCCAAGGCCGCTTGCCTGCCACACTTTGAATTGGGTCTGCTCACCTCACCACTTACCATCTGCCCTTTTCTCTTACTTCCCACTTATGTAATGTCTTGCCTTACCCCCTCTGTTCCCTGCAGGAGGTGCGGCGGATGAAGCATGCCATTCCCAAAACCGTCTGCCACACCATTGCCAGCTGGCGCCACCCGCGCGTGCCAGCTGTCGAGGTGCTCGCCTGCGCCAAGGACTCGCACATGTGGTGGGTGGCGTGCTTTGTCTCTTGTGTGGGTGGCATGCTTTGGCGCTTGTGGTGGGCAGCAGGGACTGGCGGAGCGAAGGGATGTTGCGTTTGATGCATGTGTGGACTAACGGTGTGTGCGTGGGTTGCTGGCTAGATGGCATGCTTCTTCTTTCAGAGCAATGGAGGCAGCAGGAGGCAGCAGACCCATCTGTGACCTTGCCACGCCGCTCACACGCACCCCCCATCTCCCTCTCCTCTTCCCCTCCCTCCTCCTTCACCTGCCCATGGCCCATCTCTTCCCCATCTTCGCCTCAGGGCGTTGGAGGCATCAGGGGGCAGCAGGCCTATCTGCGACCTCTCCACCCACGCACCCCCCACCCCCCAGCTGGCAGCAGGCAAGAAGCTCAAGGTGAGTAGTTTTAAGGATTCTAAGCAATTAATCAAAAGAAGCTAGAGTGAAATACTGTGAGATTGTTTCTTCCCCACTCTACCCCGCTTTCCCCTGCCTTCCCCCTCTCCTTCCATCCGCCCCTCCCTACCCATCAAATTTACTGCATGATGCCGTACCGCCTGCAGCCTCACCTGGTGGTGTGTGTGCAGCACCAACGTGGGAGTGATTCTCATCTTCTTCCACCCCATATTCCTCCCTTCTCCCTCCTCTTTTCCCCGCTCTCCCCCCCTCTCCCCGCCGCCTCTCCCCGTCTATCTCCCCCCCCCCCTGCCCATCAGATCTACTGCATGATGCCACACAGCCTACAGCCTCACCTGGTGGTGTGCGGCACCAACGTGGGGGTGATGCTCATCTGCTTCGACCGCACTGCTGTGCCCCCTGCTGCAGCTCTGCCCACGCCACAAGGCTCTCGGCAGCACCAGGTATGACGTGCAGCACGAGGTGGGTTGGGCAGCACCTGGTGTGCCTGGGAGTGAGTGGCATGAGTGAGTGAGTGAGAGTGCGGCACCAACGTGGGGGTGATGCTCATCTGCTTCGACCGCACTGCTGTGCCCCCCGCAGCAGCTCTGCCCACGCCACAGGGCTCCCGGCAGCATCAGGTGTGAAAATGGGATGCAAGTGAGGGATATCAGGGTGCACATGTGAGTGCCTGAGTGAGTGAGTGAGTGAGTGAGTGAGTGCGGCACCAACGTGGGGGTGATGCTCATCTGCTTCGACCGCACTGCTGTGCCTCCCGCAGCAGCTCTGCCCACACCACAGGGCTCCAGGCAGCACCAGGTGGGCACATGGTGAATACGGCCGGCACACCTTGTGTTGTATGGTATGCACATGGTGAATACGGCCGGCACACCAGATATGCTGTGCACAAGGGATTGAGTGGGTAATTCCAGTAGCCTCCGACCGAACTCACTAACCCCTAGAGCTGGAACTTGGATGAGCCAAGAACGCCTCGGACCAAATTGCTGGTGTGGCCACAGCCAACACTGAGTGTTCTCATGGGTTAAGAGTGAGTGAGGTGGATCAGAGGCTCTCAGTGCAGCCCCATACTCCAGCCTACTACCACCAATCCCCCACCCCTCCTCTTCTCCTCCAGGTGGCGTTCTGCTGCCTGCCTAGGCAGGGGGCTGAATGCGCTGGCCTTCCAGCTGCTCATTGACTCACCCTCGCCTGCCCTCCTCCATCTCTTCTCTTTCCCTCTTACCCCTTCTCTCACACCCTTTCAGGTGGCGTTCTGCCTGGGCAGGGGGCTGAACGCGCTCGCCTTCCAGCTGCTGACTTGACGAGACTCAGAAAATGGTTCGATCTGGTAGTGTTTGTGAGGCGTATATTCCCAACCTACTACCACCCGTCCCCTCCCCTCAACCCCTCAGGTGGCGTTCTGCCTGGACAGGGGGCTGAACGCGCTCGCCTTCCAGCTTCTAACAGCAGGGCAGGTCGGGCCTGGGGCGGGTGTGACTGTGGCGGGGGGCGGCGGCAGTGGCAGCCAGAGGCCAGTCACCCCGGCTGGAGTCACACGCGTGGATGCTCTTGAAGCCGCTGTGCCTGAGGTGAGCGCTGTCTTGAGGGTGGCCGGCTGGGAAGGGGGCGGGGGCAGTGGCAGCCAGAGGCCAGTCACCCCTGCTGGAGTCACACGCGTGGATGCTCTTGAAGCTGCTGTGCCTGAGGTGAGTTGAGTCTGTAACGGGTATGACTGGGGCGGGTGTGACTGGGGCAGGTGTGACTAGGGCATGTGTGACTGGGTCGGGTGTGACTTGGGTGAATGGGGGCTGGGGAGGGGGGTGGGGGCAGCTTGCTGGAGTCACAAGGGTAGATGCGCTTCAAGTTGCTGTGCCTGAGGTGAGTCAGTTCGTATAGGGTATGGAGTGCACTTGGCTTGGACAACAGTTTCCGAATCACCTCGTTGTCAGTTTCTAAAGGGCTTGGAGGGGTCAATAGCTGGCGCAGCTGACCTGGTAGTCCTTCATAGAGTGTAAGTACAGTGGGCAGGCGTCAAATTTCACATGTCAAAGCTCTTGTATGGTGTTTAAGTTTTGACTTCCTGCGTGCCTCCACACCCCACTCCGCCCGCTCACCCCACCTGCCCACCCTACGTGCAGGTGAAGCAGGAGAGGCGGAGGGCAACGCCTGTTGCGCATGAGAGCTACTCTCACCTCTCTGTCAGCAAGTCCGGCAAGTAAGTAGGTCCGGCAAGTAAGTAGGTCCGGCAAGTAAGTAGGTCCGGCAAGTAAGTCCTACCACGATGGACGTCCCACCAATCAAGGCTTGCTACAGTGACTATCAGGCTTAAGATCAGATTCTTACAAGTACGCAAGCCCTAATCTTGTGATTCCAAATCAGCTCCCATCATCAAGTACATGGCAGTGCTGCAGCCCTTCACGCCTTACTCTTGGCCCCCAATCCGCTTGATTGCTTGCTACAAGAGCTGCACCAGGTGGCTTGAGCGGCTCACCTTGGTGTGCTGCTTATGGTTGGAGGAGCAGGAATGACTCAAACTGCTCAGTGCATGTGCTAAGCTGGGGGGGCTAAGGTTGCAACAGAATGACACCTTTCCAGACGCAGTGGTAGCAGAATGACACCTTCCCATTGGCCCATAAATCCCACAACCCCATGAGGTACCTGGCAGTGTTGTGGCCCGAGGTGCCGTTCTACAGCGTGTACAGCACAGCGGGCGTGGTAGACTCAGGCACGGCCTCACCCTTTTCCCTCGCCCCTTACTTGGGCCCTCACTTCCCTTCTCTCCTCACCATCAGGTACCTAGCAGTGCTGTGGCCCGAGGTGCCATTCTACAGCGTCTACAGCACAGCGGACTGGGGCGCTGTAAATACTCCAGCTGTCCCTCACCCCTCACCCTGTTCTCTTGTCCCTCAACCGTTTCCCTTGACTGTTAATCACTCACCAGATACCTGGCAGTGTTGTGGCCCGAGGTGCCGTTCTACAGCGTGTACAGCACAGCAGACTGGGGCGTCGTGGACTCGGGCACGGCCCGCCACTTCGCCTGGGACACCTGTCAGGACCGCTTTGCCATCCTGGGAGGGGCTGTGGTGCCCAAGGTACGAGTGCTACCTGCCTGTGCCGCCTCTGCCTGTGCTGCGGTTGTGTTTCCTCTCTCTCCTCTCCCTCTCCATGCATCATGATTCACACCCACGGCCCGCCACTTCGCCTGGGACACCTGTCAGGACCGCTTTGCCATTCTGGGAGGGGCTGTGGTGCCGAAGGTAAGGAGTATCTACAACCACTGTCAGTGTGTTCTTCCTTTCCATGCATCGCACGCCCACCGCCCTTCACTTCACTTCGTCAGGACACCTTCCATGATTCGCTTCGCCATCCTGGGGGGGGCTATGGTGCCCAAGGTACGAGAGCCGCGCATGTGTGTATCCCTGTGCCCTAGCTGCCTCTGATTTGCCGTGCATCCTAATTCACAATATATTATTTACAATTCACTGCCCGCCACTTTGCAGGGGACACCTCGCAAGTCACTTCGCCATTCGGGAAGAGGCCGCTGCTAGCAGAGTCTAACTCCCTCCTGTGTCTCTCCCCTGTGGGCTTCCCACCATTTTCCCCCAGGTGCGAAGCAGCGCTGCCAGCTCAGGTCAGCAGGCACGGGTTCAGAGGGCGCAGCAAGAAGAGGAAGCAGAGGCAGCAGCAGCTTCCGCACTCTGAACTCTTTTCACTATCTGCCTGCCCTTCCCGGCCACACCCCTGTTCTCTTCAACCCAGGTGCAGAGCAGTTCCACCAGTTCAGGCAGGCACGGGTTCAGAGGGCGCAGCAAGAAGGACGCCAAGGAGGCAGAGGCAGCAGCAACTGATGCCAGCAGAGGTCAACTCTCTCTTCTGTCTCTCCCTTTTGCGCCTCCTGCCTGCTATCACTTTTCCCCAGGTGCAAAGCAGCTCTGCCAGCTCAGGCAGGCACGGGTTCCGGGGAAGAAGCAAGAAGGACGCTAAAGAAGCAGAGGCGGCAGCAGCGGCTGCCATGGCTGCTGCGGCGGCAGCGCTGGCAGGGGCGACTGTGGAGGTCCGGCGGATCAGGAAGGACGGGAAAGTGCAGATCATGTGCACATCCATTGAATCTGGACGCCGCGAGCAGGTGTGTGGGAAGTGAACTGAGACCTGGGATGACTGGGAACTGGATCCATTGAATCTGGACGGTGCGATCTGGAACCTGTATGCCCTCCGGTCCGATCCCTCCCTACCAAGCAAGGCTTGACTCTGGGTCTTATCACAGTTTTCACAAGGCGTTCTTCTGCCGTCCTGTGCTGTCTCTGCAGGTCACGGGTCTCTTCCCAGGCGCACTGCTGGGAGTGGCCTACCGCATGCCCAAGAAGGCCTCTCTGCCGGGAGTCAGCCTGCCCTCTGCTGCCCTCTCCTCCCGAGCCGGTGAGTTGGGCCGCTAAAGCGGTAAAACGCCTGAGAAAGTAAAAAATATTCCTGCCTTGCGAAAGCATACACGTCATGGCAGTTTCAGCATTATCAGCCCTTTAGTTCGGGTTTTGTCCTTCTAAAAGCTTTTTCATGCCCCATTTCTCCCCTCTCTCCTTATAACTGCCTCATTGTCGTCTCCCCCAATCAGAATCAATGGCGGACTACTGTGAGCATCCGCCAAACTTCCACCTTATAAGGTGCTCCCTTTCCCTAACAATCAGTCAGCCCATCAGCCTTTCAAACCTTCTCTCTATCAGTGTCTCACGATCTCGTTTTTCACCTTCACTTCCTTTCCTCCCCATCCTTCTTCCACCTGTCTGCTCCAGCTGCCCTCACCCTTCCCACTCCCCACACCCCGTTCCTGTTACACCTCTTCTTTCCTTCAACCATTCCCAACCGTTCCCAACCATTCCCTTCCCATTCTCAGCTGGGAGATGTTCAAGCCAATCAGCGGCATGCTTCCAAAACCGCACTGAACCGCATGAACCCTGCGGTGGAATATTGCGCCCTTGCCTCCCTCTCAAACGGTCCTTGGTGTTGATTCAGGCGAGGTACAAACATGCAGCTTCCTTCTCTCCCTCACCCATCCTCCCTTCCTCCCCCTTCCAATCCAACTTCCCATACTCAGCTGGGAGTCATTCAAGCCGGTCAGCGGCATGCTACCAGAACCGCACTGGACCGCGTGGGACCCCATCGTAGAGTACTGCGCCTTTGCCTACGCCACGCACATCGTGGTGGCAACGCTGCGCCCGCAGTTCCGCTGCCTGGGCCACGTGGCAGTCAGAGGGGCCACTGGGGGCACCTGGCACCGCCGCCAACTCTTCCTCGCTACGCCTACCTCTGTTGAGTGAGTTTTTTTTGTTCCTTTTGGCTTTAGTTCAGGTATTATGGGTTTCAGAGGGGTTTTGAGGGGTTAGAAAGGGGTTTCAGGGGTTGGTTCGGAGTGCACAGGTGTGGAGTCTGCTGTGCCCTCTGCCCTCCGCCTTTGCCTACGCCACACTGCGCCCGCAATTCCGCTGCCGTGTATGTTTCTTGAGAATTCTCAAAAAACATACGCTACAAGAGATTATGCTACAAGAGATTATCGCCACACTGCGCCCGCAGTTCCGCTGCCGTGTATGTTTCTTGAGAATTCTCAAAAAACATACGCTACAAGAGATTATGCTACAAGAGATTATCGCCACACTGCGCCCGCAGTTCCGCTGCCGTGTATGTTTCTTGAGAATTCTCAAAAAACATACGCTACAAGAGATTATGCTACAAGAGATTATCGCCACACTGCGCCCGCAGTTCCGCTGCCGTGTATGTTTCTTGAGAATTCTCAAAAAACATACGCTACAAGAGATTATGCTACAAAAGATCATCGCCACACTGCGCCCGCAGTTCCGCTGCCTCGGCCACGAAAAAAAGGCTCTTGTAGGTATCTGAACCACCGCCCCTCCCCCCATATCCCTCATTGCCCCACCCTCACTGCTTGCTAGGTGTGTGTTTGTGGATGAAGGGGGGCGCTATAGACCTGGAAGCAAGGAGGTGCAAGGAGCAGAGGAGGGGGAGTGGCAGAGAAGGGTGTTTACAGGTGCCTAACCTCCCTGCTCCTCCCTCCCCGCACTTGTGTTTTCCCCACTCCCTCCATCCAGGTGTGTGTTTGTTGATGCAGGGGTGAGTGCCATCGACCTGGAAACGAGGAGGCGCAAGGAGGAGAGGAAGAGGCGGGAGGAGGAGGCGAAGGTGGTGGCAGAGAAGGGTGAGCTGGCTCTGCTGGCCATGGCGCCTCCCAAGACAGAGGAGGCACCGGAGAGAGTGCAGTTGCGGCCTCCCATGCTGCAGGTGCGCGTGGGGTAGCGTGTGCCAAGGTGCATGCAGTGCGGTGCAGTGTGGTGTAGGATATTGCAGCAGGTTGCTGTGTCCGCTGTGAGCTAAAGAAGGGCGAGCTGGCTCTGCTGGCCATGGCGCCTCCCAAAACAGATGACGCACCGGAGAGGGTTCAGCTGCGGCCTCCCATGCTGCAGGTGAGTCGGTGCAGTGCAGTGCAGCGTGTTACAGTAGGGTGTCTTTGTTCACCTGTGAGCCAGGAAAGGGCGAGCTGGCTCTGCTGGCCATGGAACCACCCACGACGGAGGAGGCACCTGAGAGAATGCAGCTGTGACCGCCCATGCTGCAGGTGAGTGTGGTGCAGTGCAGTGTAGCGTGTTACAGCAGGATGCCGCTTATCTTGTGAGCCTGTGAAGGGCGAGCTGGGTGTGTAGGTGAGTGAATGGACTAAGCTCACTCGCTCCCTGTATCTCTTTCTCTCCTTCTCCCTCCCTTCTTCCCCCTCCACCCAGGTGGTCCGCCTCGCCTCCTTCTCCTCACCGCCGGCAGTCCCCCCCATCTCAGCCATGGCTCGGGCCCGCAGCCTATCAGCCGACGCCACGTCAGCGCCGCCCGGCGCCTCGTCTGGTCCGGGGCTGCTGGACGGCCCTGAGGTGAAGCCGCCCGAAGTGGTGGTGGGCGGCGGGGGCGTGCCGGTGGCAGCCGGGCGGCTGCCGATGGAGCAGAGGCGGCCGGTGGGGCAGGTGTATGTGGTGGGGGTGCGAGATGGAGTTCTATGGCTCGTGGACCGGTGAGTAAAGTTGCTGTGGTGGTCTCTGAGTAGAAAGGCCCATAGCCCTCTCTTTAGTGTCTCCCCTTACCCCTCTTCCCTCGTTGATCCTAACTCGCCTTCCATCCTGACCCCTTCAACCCTCACTGCCCACACCACCCTTACCCTACACTGTGTCATTGCTCTCACCCCCCTCACCCCCCTCACTCCCCCTCACCAGGTATTTGACAGCGCATGCCATCTCCCTCTCCCACCCTGGAGTGCGCTGCCGGTGCCTTGCTGCTCATGGCGACCCTGTTGGTGCCGTCAAGTGGTGTGTGCCCCTTCTATATCCCTCTCCACCAGTCTTTATCCCTCTCCACCTCTCTCTCCGTATCTCTTGGCATTTCTCTCTATCTCGCTGTAGTATTTCGTGTCTCGTCACTTCCCTCTTCCTTTATCGCTCTCTACCCTCGTCCATTTTCTTCCGCTCCCTCCCTCCTTACCACTCCCCACCACTGCATCTCGCCTGGGGCAAATCACTACTGACTTGCCCTAGTGATAGGCACGAGCGGGTGCATGTTTCTACCTGCTCTGTCTAAATACTTCACAATCCCTCACCACTCCTCACCAATCCTCACCACCCCTCACCACTCCCCACCAGGGCGTCCCGCCTGGGGAGAGAGCACCATGACGACTTGGCGCAGTTCATGGTGGGCATGGGGTATGCGAGAGAGGCGCTGCACCTGCCAGGGCTGTCCAAGAGGTATGGTAGTGACTACTGCAGTATAGTACATGCATGTATGTATACAGGCTGACTCACGCAGTGCATGGTGGGCATGGGGTATGCGAGAGAGGCGCTGCACCTGCCAGGGCTGTCCAAGAGGTATGGTAACGACTACTGCAGTATAGTACATGCATGTATGTATACAGGCTGACTCACGCAGTGCATGGTGGGCATGGGGTATGCGAGAGAGGCGCTGCACCTGCCAGGGCTGTCCAAGAGGTATGGTAACGACTACTGCAGTATAGTACATGCATGTATGTATACAGGCTGACTCACGCAGTGCATGGTGGGCATGGGGTATGCGAGAGAGGCGCTGCACCTGCCAGGGCTGTCCAAGAGGTATGGTAACGACTACTGCAGTATAGTACATGCATGTATGTATACAGGCTGACTCACGCAGTGCATGGTGGGCATGGGGTATGCGAGAGAGGCGCTGCACCTGCCCGGGCTGTCCAAGAGGTGGGTGGCGACAAGTGGATTGGAGTGACGGCAGATTGTGGAGTGACGGTAGGTAGGTAGGGTGCTTCTTGCGCAGTGCATGGTGGGCATGTGGGGTATGCGAGAGAGGCGCTGCACCTTCCTGGGCTGTCCGAGAGGTGGGTGTTTGAGTTTGAATCAATGGGTATCGTATCGACAGTAGTATCGTACATACATGTGTATGGGGTGTTGCATCGACAGCATAGTACATGCATACCAGTATACAGGATCCTGACTGACTCACACACTGCATGGTGGGCACGGGTGTGGGAGAGAGGCGACTTTTGAGACGTCTAAAAAATCGACAGCATAGTACATGCATGCATGTATACAGGTACAGGATGCTGACTGACTCACACACACTTCATGGTGGGCACGGGTGTGGGAGAGAGACGCTGCACCTGCATAATGCTCTCCCCCTCCCCAATCCCCCTCCCCATCAGGTTTGAGTACGAGCTAGCATTATCATGTGGCGAGTTGGACCGCGCTCTTCACTGCCTCATGTCCTGTCCGCCTCGTGGGGCAGCCGTTGCCGACGCAGATGCTCATGATCCTCCCCTGTTCCCAATCCCCCTCCCCGTCAGGTCTGAGTACGAGTTGGCTCTGTCATGTGGCGAGTTGGACCGCGCGCTGCACTGCCTCATGGCGCTCTCCCGCCCGGCCATGTCCGCCTCGGGGGCAGCCGTGCCCCATGCTTATGCTGCTGCTACTTCTGCTACTGCTGCTTCTCCCGCCCTTCTGTGGCAGGTTTGAGTACGAGTTGGCGCTCTCGTGCGGCGAGTTAGACCGCGCGTTGCACTGCCTCATGGCGCTCTCCCGCCCCATGTCCGCCTCGGGGGCGGCCATGGCTGATGCCGATGCAGCCATGGACAGCCAGATGGACTCCACGGGCATCCTCGCCATGGCGGCAAGTCAAGCCAAGTGAGTGCTGAGATGACTGCTGTTGGGAAGGTGTTTGCCCCGCACTTTCCCCCTCGCCTTCCGCCTCCCTCCACCCCACACACTGCGCTCTCCACCAACCTACCAGTTGCGACCCTTCTGAAACTTTCAACCATGAATCTCAATGCCTGGTCTTGGGACATTTTCCAGTGCCACTCAAGATCTGAATCTCAATGCCACTCAACCTCTTTCAAATAAATATTCCCCCTTACCACCCCTCTTCCCTTCTAACCTCTCCCACAATCCCCCGCACATGAGCAGCATGATGGAGGCAGCGGTGGGCGTGGCGCGCTATGCCTCCGAGTTCCTCGACCTGGTTGACGCAGCCGACGCCACGGGGCAGGCTGACACCTCCTCTTATCGATACACCTATCCGAACTCCCGAATACTTCATCTTTCCAATCCAACCTCCCCAGCATGATGGAAGCAGCGGTGGGCGTGGCGCGCTATGCCTCAGAGTTTCTTGACTTGGTTGACGCAGCCGACGCCACCGGGCAGGCTGACGTGGCGGTGCGAGCGCTGCGCCAGCTGGCGGGGGCGAGTCTGCTGGAAGGCGCCTTGCTGCCAGCCGTGCAGAGGAGGGTTTCGTTGCGCCTGGCCCTGCACGGGGAGGGAACCAGGCTGCAGGTGAGCCACACAAGCATGCTGCAGTTGTATGGCGGGGTTTGTGTTGCAGCAGGTTTGTGTTGCAGCAGGCTTGTGTTGCAGCAGGTTTGTGTTGCAGCAGGTTTGTGTTGCAGCAGGTTTGTGTTGCAGCAGGCTTGTGTTGCAGCAGGTTTGTGTTGCAGCAGGTTTGTGTTGCAGCAGGTTTGTGTTGCAGCAGGTTTGTGTTGCAGCAGGCTTGTGTTGCAGCAGGTTTGTGTTGCAGCAGGTTTGTGTTGCAGCAGGCTTGTGTTGCAGCAGGTTTGTGTTGCAGCAGGTTTGTGTTGCAGCAGGTTTGTGTTGCAGCAGGCTTGTGTTGCAGCAGGTTTGTGTTGCAGCAGGTTTGTGTTGCAGCAGGTTTGTGTTGCAGCAGGCTTGTGTTGCAGCAGGTTTGTGTTGCAGCAGGTTTGTGTTGCAGCAGGTTTGTGTTGCAGCAGGTTTGTGTTGCAGCAGGTTTGTGTTGCAGCAGGCTTGTGTTGCAGCAGGTTTGTGTTGCAGCAGGTTTGTGTTGCAGCAGGCTTGTGTTGCAGCAGGCTTGTGTTGCAGCAGGCTTGTGTTGCAGCAGGTTTGTGTTGCAGCAGGCTTGTGTTGCAGCAGGTTTGTGTTGCAGCAGGTTTGTGTTGCAGCAGGTTTGTGTTGCAGCAGGCTTGTGTTGCAGCAGGCTTGTGTTGCAGCAGGTTTGTGTTGCAGCAGGTTTGTGTTGCAGCAGGCTTGTGTTGCAGCAGGTTTGTGTTGCAGCAGGTTTGTGTTGCAGCAGGTTTGTGTTGCAGCAGGCTTGTGTTGCAGCAGGCTTGTGTTGCAGCAGGTTTGTGTTGCAGCAGGTTTGTGTTGCAGCAGGCTTGTGTTGCAGCAGGCTTGTGTTGCAGCAGGCTTGTGTTGCAGCAGGCTTGTGTTGCAGCAGGCTTGTGTTGCAGCAGGCTTGTATGGGGACCAAGCATCGTAGAGGGCGCTAGGGCAGCCGGGAGGGGCAAGTCTACTTTTGAGGTGCCTTTAAAGTCCCAAGCGTGCTGCAGGTTTGTATGCATCTTAGAGGGCGGTAGGGCAGCTGGCGGGGGTGAGTCTGCTGGAGAGCCCTCTGAGTGCCTCTGATATGTCAGATCTGCCTTGCCCCATGCTCTATTCTCATCTCACATCACTCTCTCCTCTTCACCCACCCTCGCGCACTTGCAGATGCAAATTCAATCACTTGTGCGGGGAGGGTGTGGTCGGGAGGCGGCGTGTGCAGCAGCGCTGCTGGGGGATGCGAATATGTTGGAGAAGGCATGGGCTGACACGGGCATGGTGCCTGAAGCTGCTCTGCACGCCCTGGTGAGTGGCATGGATAGAGTCACGACATAGAGTCCCCTGGATAGAGTTACGTCAATGGAATCACACACTCGTATTATCATCCCACGGCGGACCCACGCTCGGAGCTCTGCTGAAGCATTGGAACCGGTAGTTGCAAACTGAGGAGAGTGCACTTGAGGCACCACCTATCTCTCTCTCAACGCCTCTCCATCTCTCCCCTTCTCCCCCCCGCCAGTCCCACGGCCGGCCTACCCTGGCAGCCCTCCTCAAGCAATGGAACCTATGGTTGCAGAAGGAGGAGGTGCAGCTTGTTTTCTCGCACTCTTCCCCTCTCACTCCCTCTCCTGCCATTTCTCCACAGTCCCACGGGCGCCCCACCCTGGCAGCCCTCCTCAAGCAATGGAACCGATGGTTGCAGAAGGAGGGGTGTGCACCTCTCTCCCTCACACAATCTCTCCTATTCTCCCCTTCCTCTCTATCTCTCTTTCTCCCTCACTCCAGTCCCACGGGCGCCCCACACTCGCCGCTCTCCTTAAGCAATGGAACCGGTGGCTGCAGAAGGAGGAGGTGCAGCTGAAGCGGCACAACATGCTGCACACAGCGCATTTCAACACCCTCTTCGCCAACACGCAGGCTTCTGAAGACCCCTTCCAGACCCTCGCTCCCACCACCAAAGACCCCCCCATCCAAATCGTCCCCCCTCGGGAATTCTCTGTTGCTCAAACCTCAGAGGACGGCAGTTTGGGGTTCGGAGCAGCGGGAGCAGCAGGAGGGTTTGCAGGAGGGTTCCAGTCTTCTGCTGCAGCAGCAGCAGCAGCTCCAGCCTGGTCTCTTGCTACTGCTGCTGCAGGAGGGAACTGGACCGCACCTGATTCTGCCACACCAGACGATGCTTTGTTCTCGCGTCCCCCGCCTCCTAGGGCTGGCTCTAGTGGTGTAGAGGGCATGTCTGCTCCGCTTGACCTTTCGGTGCTTGAAGGGGCGGGTGAGCCGAAGCGTGGGCCGGCGACCATTGCTGTGCCTGTGGATTTCGGTCAGTTTGAGAGGGAATTTGCTGCCAAGGCTAGGGTTGCTGAGGGTGGGAGGAAAGAGGGAGCAGCAGCGGCTGGAATGGGATTGGCAGGAGGAGCAGGAGCAGTAGCAGGAGCAGGAGGAGGGGTAGCAGCAGTGGTTCAGGGGGGTGAGAGGGGAGTTGGGAGCAAGGAGCAAGGGAAGGGGAAGGCAAGTGCAGGGAGTCAGGTAGAGGGAGGGAGGGGAGGAGGAGGTGTGGGGCCTACCATGGCAGATCTGGAATGGGCGGCGTTGGGTGGCAACTAGCGCAGTTAGTGAGGATGGTTGATTCTATGTACCATTAGTAGTCACAAATCACAAATCGCTGGCGTGGTGTGTAACCTGTGATTGGCAAATTTGGGAATTCATACCGTATGTGTCCTGGGATAAGGAATGTTCTCCGGTCCTTTGTTTACTATTGTAACTGAATGGCACTATAAGAAGGAATCTGAAAAGCAGGCATAATAGCTGTTTTGGGGGAAGGATGGAGACTCGTTGTCGCATGAAATAGTTCTGAGACAATTAGTGACATGCATGAAATAGTTCTGAGACAATTAGGGACATATGCATGAAATAGTTCTGAGACAATTAGTGACATATGCATGAAATAGTTCTGAGACAATTAGTGACATATGCATGAAATAGTTCTGAGACGATTAGTGATATATGCATGAAATAGCAAGCTTTATTGTCGCATACTGTGTTCAGGATAGCTTGAGTGTAAGAACGCTGGTGGGCGATGGATTACAGAAAGAGCAGGATGGCCTGGTCTGGGAGATAGGAGAGCCAGAGAGAACAGCGGCATCGGCAAAGGCATACCGTACATAGCTTCATTATCAACAGCCCACCAAATGCAAAGAAAGCATCTAACTAAAGTAGGAACCCACGAGAAAAGCACAACCAAGATGCAAAGAAAGGCAAAAGCGAAGCAGAAAACATCCATCTTGTTCTTCCCACACTCTATTCCTTGCAGCCTATCTTGCCCCTTCATCTCCCGCCCTCCACACCACCTCTGATGCTCCCGCACGCCCCTGCGATAGCACAAACATATAGCAGCCCCCCTCGCATCCGCCTCCTCGCCCCCCCTCCCCTCTCACACACACGCGCGCGCGCGCACACACACACACACACACACCACACACACACACACACACAGACACACACACACACACACACACACACACACACACACACACACACAGCAGCAGCAACAGCAGCAGCAGCAACTAGTTGCTGTCTGCCGCTGCTCCCTTCCCCTTGCTGCCACCCTCCCCGTTCCATTGCAAGCTTCAAATCTCCTTCGGGAAGGCTGCTTGGTAACCGGCTTCGGGAAACCCCCCCCCCCACACCAGGCTTGGTGAGCGGCTTCGAGCCAGGCAGCACACCAGGCCAGCCTGAGGTGACCGGCTTCCTAAAAGGCCGCACACCAGGCATGGTGACCGGCTTGAGGACGGGCCTCACCCCCACGAACTTGCCAGGGATCTTAAGGATCGATTTGCGCACGTTCCTCCCCTCCTGCCTGAGCTAGTTCTTCACGGCGCCGGAGTTGTCTTTCGCTCCCTCCGGCTTCGTTGGAACACCCGGCGTGCCAGCGGCGGGAACAGGCGGCTTGGGGACAGGCGAGCCCGCGGCGTTACCCTTCACTGACTTCTTCCCAGGGGCAGAAATCTTAACGCCCAATCCCACGCTGGCCTTCAGATCAAGCGCAAGCCCCTTGGGTCCAGATCCCGCGTTGCCCTTCCTCGGCTTCTTCCCGGGTTTCCCCCCGCGCTGCGGCTTCCTCTTAGGCGCGAAATGGCCAGTGCGGAACGTTCTGTCGAACGAGTTGCGCACGTTCCTCCCCGCCTGCCCGAGCGAGTTCTTCACGGCGCCGCTGAAATCATCCGACGACCACTTCAAGTCCGCCGCCACATCACGGAGCACCCGCGGGTCCTCGAAGTCAACGGAGTCAACGGATTCAATGGAGTCATCGCCATCGACCCCGAGAAGCGCGCGCGGCTGGGGGGCTGCGCCCGAGTTGCTGTCGGCGCCCGAGCTGCTGACAGCTCCCGCCCCCTTCTTTTGAGTCGACTCAAAGGTGCTGACGGGTGCCGCCTCCTGCTTCCCAACTGCCGGCACGCCACTATCAGCGCCCTTCGGCTTCTCGGATGCCTTGTCAGCAGTTTTCAGGCCGCCGGTTCCCGTCTTCTTGGTCACTCTGGCATGATGCTTCTTCGTCGCTGCCCACTTGACGCACCTGCCTCTCCTACGCCGCACGCAGTTCCTCTTCGTCCCCTGCTTCCCCTTCTTGGGCGCCGCGGCGCTGGACTTGCCCTCCTCGGGCGCCGTTGAGTCCACTGGCGCGCGCGCGTTCCTCCCCGCCTTACCGTCGAGCGGCGATTTCTTCGCGCTGCCACTGCCGCCGTCCGACTCGGACGGCTGCTTCAAGTCTGCCGCCACATCCGCCAGAATTCGCGGATCCTCCGAGTTATCGGATTCAACCCAGTCAACGGAGTCAACTGCAGCCTCGTTGTCGGCCTCGAGGAGCGCGCGCGCGTCGTATGCTTCCTCGAGACCGGAAAACTCGCTCACTTCGTAGTACCCATCCGGAGGGATCGCCGCGAAAACAGCGAGGAGGTTCAGAGACGCCACGAGGACGAGCGCGAGCAGAAAATTGCGAGGGCGAGACGTGCCCATGATGGATTTCGCTATTGCTATCAGCTGAGCTGGGAATGAAGCGCTGCTGAGATAAGAAAGAACTGGTTGTGCTGAATTCGTTGTGGTGAATCGGTTCCTACTCCCTCCGCCATAAATATGCTAAGCGTGCGCGCCGATTGCGGACTTTGCTGGAATATTGCGGCTCGACATCTGATGAGGCGGTTCGTACCCATGATGCCTCTCGTAGCGCGATTGCTGGGCCTCACATTACCGTCGAATGCGGCGCTGATCACTGGGGAATTGGCGACCAAGGCTTAGCTTACGCTCTGGTCATTATTACGCACCTCGGAATTATGATATTTGGAGCTGCTGGTTGGGTTGCAGGCGTGGTTGGGTTGTGCGAGAGGAGAATCGAAACTAACAGGTAAGGAAATTAGCGGTCAGGAATGGTGGAAGAACTTTGTGTGAGGACCTGAGCGATCATTGCGCGGGATGTGCGGCCAAGCAATAATTGTGTATCTTGATACGAAAATCTTCGCACGCACCGCACATTACGATTCCCGTTTGAAAATTATGCATTTTCCTGTTGAAATGGTGTAAGGATATTTATGTAATGCATAATCAAAATCATGTGGCTCCAAATTCTATTATGTTTGAAAAAATGCTCAACATGATCTCATATGTACGATTTTAGCGTAACCAGGGAAAAATGTGATGATTTTCCTCGATATAGGCATGGCATTTCTTCGCAAGTGAACATACCTTGTAATTTGTAAACACTTGGTGAGCTATGATTTTGTAGACTGTAAGGAATTTTCTCGCTATTCCTTACTGCTGTTACGAATAGTGTTGCGATCAGAAGTTGATCGACCGCAGGATCACCTCAGGAAGGTTCGCACACTCCTAATCTAGTAGTGGAGGGCCCTTGACCTCAATAGCAGAGTGAATGTAAATGCTTGAGATAATAAAAACATGCAGTACAAGGAATATAAATAAGAGTACAGGGGAATTTGAATCGACCTAGCTAGCCATGTACTCTAAGGGGTACATTCGCTTATTACATGGAAATCCAACCGTGCGACTCCAGACAGTTACGAAACTGTCTGGGCAAAATCCTCGCCACTGCTGCTGCCTGATGCTGTCTGCCCGGCGGTCCAGATCCTTTCGTAACCGTGCGTCCCTTGGCGTCACTTGCGCCCTTTCGCCTTCACTCTCGGTAGTGCGTGCTTCGTTTGCTGCGGTGAGGAGTGCACAGTAGTGTTTCAATCATTTCTATTCGTAACACCCCCCTTCACTCCTGGCCGTAGCGAGTCTTGACCCGCTTGACTACTCCGCTGAGTTCGGAGCAGTGCTGGTACTGCTGACGTGACAGCTTCTTCGTGAGGAAGTCAGCTGCCATGTCACCCGTCGGGCAGTAGGTTAGGTCAACCTTGCCCTTGTCAACTTCGTCCTTGACGAAGAAGTACCGCAGCGCGATGTGTTTGGTGCGGTTGACGAATCCAGGCTTGTTCGCGATCCTGATCGCGCTCTGATTGTCGTAGTGCAGGCGAAAGTTCGTCGAGGCTGGAATTTTTGCCTCCTGCAGCAGCTCCTGAAGGTAGAGGCCTTCGCGAACGGCTGCTGTTGCTGCAATGAATTCACCCTCCGCTGATGACAGGGCAACCAGCTCCTATTTCTGTGAATTCCAGGAGATGGGGCCGCTGGGCTCGAGCGGAAAAGGAAGCCTTTTCTGGACCGTCGATTGTCAGGGTCAGCTGCGTGATCGGCGTCCACGTAGCCGATGAGGTTGAAGGATGAAGTTGGGATGGTGGAGTAGCAGAGCCCGGCACTGGGCGTAGAGATGAAGAACTGGAGCGCCCGCTGGAGATCTAGTAGATTATCAGCCGTTGGTTTGCGAGAGTACTGAGCCAACTGGCTCGCGATGTAGGAAAGGTCGGGCCTGCAGGTAACAGATGCAAAGAGCAGGCATCCCAACTGCTGCTGGTAGGTGTGAAGCCCCGCAGGGGACAGGGCTTTGTTATCAGGCTTGTGGTTGGGTCCTGGAGTGCGGTAAGGGGTGGAGAGTGGTGCAGGCGCAATGTTGAAGCGCTTGCTAAGCTCCTCTGCATACTTCGTTGCTGAGAGATGAATGGCTTCCGGCGAGTAGGTGATGTTGAGCCCGAGAAACTGCTTCACGTCATGGTTGCAGGTGATGTCGACGCGCCCTGCGAGGTTTTTCTCGAGTTGTTCAAGCAACTCGTTGCTTGACCCTGTGTAGAGGAGGTCGTCGACGTAAACCGTGAGTAGGATGTATTCGCCGCGGAAATCGCGGCGATACATCCCAGGATCGTGAGGCAGCTGCTTGAACCCGATTTCAAGCAGTATGTTGTGCAGGTACTGTTGCCAGAGTCTCGGCGCCTGTTTAATCCCCTAAAGCGATTTCCGCAGCTGGCAGACCCGCGAATCCCCTTCACCGTACGTGTGCGGCTGCTCCACGTAGATCACTGCATCTACTAACGCGTACAGGAACGCTTTCTTCACGTCGATTTGTCGGAGCAGAGAGTGTCGTGCTGCGGCGATGGCGAGGAGAATTCTGACGGAGGTATGACAGCTGACCGGTGCGAATGTCTGATCGAAGTCAATGCCGTGCCTCTGGTCGTAGCCGCGCACTACCCAGCGTGCCTTGAAGCGCTCGATCGTCCCGTCAGCTCCGGTCTTCACGCGGAAGACCCACTTGCCGGAGAGGATGCTGCACGGTCGACGAGCACCCAGGTGTCGCGTGACTTGAGTGCCCTGATTTCTGCGTCCATTGCTTCGCACCACTCCTTGCTGTGTGGTCCCGTGAGTGCTTGCCGTGGGTTCTTAGGCTCGATGATGCGCGGCGCCGTTGAGGTGGCAGCGTGGAGCCCGAGGAGTTGCATTCCGGTGACGGTGCTGTCGTGGCGATGCTGCGGGACGACCTCCTGCACATCGTCGTCGTCGTGATGGTACTGCTCCTCCGCCGTTTCCGCTTCCGCTTCCTCCTGTTGCGCCTCCTGCTGCGCCTGCTCCCCCTTCTCCTGAATCATCGTCGTCCTCGTTGTCGTCGTCGCGACGATCGCCTCTCGTGAACTCGCCTCTGAGGTCCTACTCCAGAATTGCTGCTGCGGCTTCGTCCTCAAGTGAGGCGTAGCTGTGGCCCTCGTTGGCATAGACGCGGTTTGCGTTCGCCTGTTCGTCTTCGCGAAATTGCCGAAGGAAGAGCCGCTCGTAAAAGATGACGTCGCGCGCATTCTTGATTTTCTGGCTCACGAGGTCCAGAATGATCCACGCCTTGTACTCGTGGCTGATGCCGAGGTGGATCCCCCAGCGCGCGCGGCTCTTGAATTTGCCGATGGTTGATGTTGGCGGGCGGTACTGGACCATGCATCCCCACACGCGCGGTGAGGAGTTGCCGGTGATCGCGGTGGTTGACAGCATGTTGTGCACCCGTACGGCATGATGCATTGCGTGGGTCCAGTAGGTCGGCGGAAGTTTCGACTGCTTCATTAGCGCCCGCACCTTCGTCATGAGGGTACGATTCGTGCGCTCTGCTACGCCCTGCTGCTGGTGCGCGTAGGGGAGAGAGATGTGGTGCTCGATCCCCTTCTGCGCGAGGTAATCCTGCAGCTCCTTGCTCCTGAACTCCGCCGCGCCGTCAGACTGCCAGATCTTCAGCTTCTCCCCAGAATGCCGCTGCGCGTGCGTCAGCCACAGGCGGAATGCTTCGTATGCTCTGCTGCGTGCTTCCACGTTTACGACCCACATGTAGCGTGTTCCGGCGTCAACGAATGTGAGCGTGTAGAGTTCATTGTTGATGCCGCAATGCCCCACGTTGAGGAAGTCGCTGTACACCTTCTCTAGTTTGGTGTAGCGATTGGTTCCGGGCTCTAGTAGGGGGAATGGCAGGTGGCTCTGCGCGGCTTCGGGGCAGACGGCGCAGTTGCGCGGATGTGTCGCGCCCCTTACTTCGGTGCCATCAGGGCGCAAGAGTGCGCCAGGTGCGAATACGCCGGCGTCGATGCAGTTCTTAAGAGTCACGCGCGAGGGGTGACCTAGGCGCTGGTGCCAGATGGCATCGTCAGCGTGGAATCCGGAGGTGCGCATGTAGCGCGCGAGTGCTTCTGCGAGATCCTCATAAGGTGCATGAGCAGGTGTCGCCGCTGCTTCTTCTGCTTCGTCTTCTCCGTTCGCCTTTGTTAACATTAGCGCGAGGAATTCCCTGTCAAGAATAACGGAGAGGGGGATATTGGTTCCAGGGATGGTTCCCGGGAAGAATGTTGGTTCGCGCGGTTCGGGGGCAGGCCCGTAGACGGTGCGTCGCGGAGTTGACGGCTCGTTCCCCCAGTCGATGGTGTCCCAAGGGTCACTTCCTGGCGGGATGTCAGGTGGGGGAAGTGCGGGTGCAGGGCGACGCGGGGGACGACCAAGAGGGACCACAGGAGATTCGGCCTCAATGACCTCCTCAATTGTTTCTTCTTCCCCCCTTTGGTCCTCGCGGAAGGCTCCCCAACCGCTCGTCTCGCCGCCAGATGCGGCGCCCCATCCGCCAGTGTTGCCGCCGGTGTTTGCTCCCCAGCCGCCAGTTGCGGCTCCCCATCCGCCGGTGTCACCACCAGTGTCGCTCGTGCCCCATCCGCCAGCGTTTCCCCACCCCCCTTCATTGGAGGCGCTCTCTTCGTCGCCCCATCCGCTCCAGGCGAATGTTCCGCGCGACTCTGCAAGACTCTGTGAGAGAACTAGCGAGGAAATGAATGAACTAGAAATGAGATGGGTACAAATAGGAAAACCTAGAAACCTGTACCCCCTAAGGTCTAACCCACTACAGCCTAAACAGGCTATATCTTATATGTTTGACAGACTCCGTAAGTGAAGTTCTTCTGCTTCGCGTCGCGCTAGTTCTTCTTCTTGTGCGACGGTGAGTTTCTTTGTAGGGTCGCGCTGATGAGAATAGATCTCCAGGAATTTCTCCTGCGTGTAGGGTCGCGCGTTTCCTTCCGCATCGAAGGTGCCAACGCCAACGCCGCGCAGCATTCCGCGAA